TGCATTTCACCGGTGTTGAAGGGAAAAATGTTAATGAGAAGATTGAGTTGGGGAGGTTGACATCTAAGAAATACAGTACAAGATTTGAACATTACCAGTGTGTCAGTAATATGCACGTGTATTACATTCATGCAGAGGGGCCAGCGTAAAATGAAATAATTATAAACAATTTTGATAAAATGAAGCATCAGTCCATTTGATGTAAGGGGTGTACAGTGCACAGGGTAGATGGGCATACATGTATAAATTTATTGTGTAGAGGAGGTCATCACAACCTATTGATTGGAATTTGGCAAGAGAGAATTATGACAAATAAATGGGCTAATCCCCACAGCTGGAAAGTTGAGTGCTGGCCGACAGAGCAGAGCTGACTGTAGTACCATATGTATGTCTTTTTTTTTAAAGGAATTCTTTGACTGTGTCATTTGTGAACAACAAGCAGACACTTTCTGCAATCTGGACGTTACAAATCTGTGATTCCATGTAACTGTGTGTGCTTTGGTCTTAAGATCTGATCTGTGAAATTGTTTTTTCCTTTGGGATGAAAAGAAAATAGGAAAGGTGGGGGTGGGCTTGGGGAGTGGAGAACGGAGAAAAGGGTGCTGCACAAGTACATTGGCTCCTCAAGAGTTGCCTTAGTTTGCTACCGTGATAATCTGACCTCATGTAGTGTAAATGTACAGGTATGAGGATAAGTGACTGACTTTTGTATGAACTGGCTTATCAACCATGCACTGAAGCACTGGTGGCAGAAGGGGGACAGCGGCCCTCCCACTTTTGACTGTGGGGGTGGGGGCATGGCCCCTCCTTTCCCCTCTTTTGGCTGGTCCTCTACCGGGGTAGGGATTAGTGGATCGGTTTACTGATGGTCTCACAACTGGCCTCCCTTTTGAAACTTGTTTCATTGCTGGTGCACTGAAGTCACCTCTACAATCTTTGTTCCCCCATGATGCATGTGCAGCATGATTCCTCACTCCTCAACAAATTTGTACAACAAATCTGGTGTGTGTAACATTACAACAGCAGATGTTTGATAAAAAACTCAGTATTATTTGTAAACCATGGCAGATTTGGGAACAAAAATGGCCTAAATGTGGCCAGTCAGTGTGTTACAGTCTGCCTAGGTACACATACATGTACCGGTACATGTACAGTTCTCTAGTGCATTCAGTGCAGGTAATTGCCTCAAACCATCTGAAATGTTGTCAGTTTCTATGCGCCATATGTCAATTTTACTCTGCTTCTTCATAAAGCAACTCTGTTAGTGCATTGCATGTACATGTAGTTCACAAGTACAGTACATTCATGTACATTTTGTACGTGTCCACAGAATGTGGTGAATGTGCAGGGAATATTGAAATCAAACTGTCCCAGTGTCAGAGGTCACAAGGATGGCTGGCCAGGCTCATCATAGGCGGTTATCATGTTTAGCCGTTAATGGAAATTAACCTGCATCTGTTGATGGCACTGTGGCCACTTCCCATAGTTGCACGTTACTCCTAGAGCTGTAGCCAGTTGATTCCATCACAGCCAAGCATAGAGAGAGAGAGAGTTACGTCGCTCAGACCACCATCACAAGTCCTTATACACCCAACCTTTTGATACAGACAGCTGACAAACCGGCTACCTTCACCTTTGCATAACAATCGCTTTCATCATCATATACATACCGGTAGTGCCATTAGGCTTGACAACAGATGTGCTCATTGGTGATCAGGAATCTCCATTTCATATCTTCAATTCATTATGTGTGATACATTTATATAAATAATGAACGTGCATGAGTGCAGCATTGAGAATAATTTCATGAGGTCATTGATTGAATATTATAATCCACAAAGCAAAGCCAAAATGGACAGAGCAATTAATTTAAACTCTTTATTTCGTTGAACATTTTCCGACAGTTTTCAATATCTTTCCCACCAAAAACTTGACGGCATTCTGCATATGACATCTCATTAGACCTTGATACGTTAAATGACTGAAGCTGATTTTTTTGTGTGTTTTGGGTCACAATTTCTGACACAGACAAATTACATTCCAGAGGATCAGTATTGAATCTGACAAGTCTTTTTCAGCTGGATTTTGTAAATTTAATGAGTCAAATGAATGAAGATTTTTTATGAAAATAAAATCTCATTGCAAGGGGATCTGAGTAGAAAAGTAATGGATGGCTCATGTGCATGTACCGGTAATTCAGTGGGTTTTTTGCGGTCTTCATTCCCTTTTTATTATAAAATATTTGCAGAGATACATGGAGACAGAGCTTGCGTCATCATCAAGACCTGCTCAATGCTCATTAGGCACATTGGCTCCTTTCTCGTTGAAATAATGGGAACAGAGCCGACAAGATTCTCATTAATCATCACAGAAGGAGCAGATCCACTTAGATTCACAGTTGATAATTACGACCCTGCTGTTATTGAATGAAATGCATCATTTCCAACCAGAAGCTTAATGGACTTTTGTTCTGCTCAAAGGATTCTTTTCTGAATTGATGTGTAAATACACAACAATACATGTACATTTACATGTATTTGTCAGCCCCCATTACAAATTGTCTAGTAGAAAATGTATGTATTGAAGTGGAAAAATGGGAAATTTTTTAGAAGTCACGGCTCAACAAATGCAGTGTCAATCAAATTGCTACAGACATGTTATGTTGTAGGAATTCTTTACAGCTTTAAAATGGCTTGGATCAACTGTTATAAATAACAGTTGATCCAAACCATTTTATTTTTGTAAATACAAATAATATTTGTATATTTGTAAATTCTGCTGAGCTTTACGTGTGTACATACATGTATATACATACAACGTAAATGTACCGGTAAGCTGCTTCTGCTTTAAACATGCATAGAGAGGGGAGTTTGGTTGCAGGTTGTCCTAGAAAGATGAGCAGAAACTTCCACTCAATCCGGTCTGCTTATTGATTGAAATTGACATTCAAGGGATTGTTAACAGTCTGGCTGCATTTGTATGGGAAATGGAAAAACCCCGCTTTTCATTCCAAAGTGATAAATAGTATAAAAACGTCTAAGTTGAGCAATCTGTTTCCTGCTTTGATAAACTAGTGCTAGAGCATGACTTTGTTGCAAGGAGCCACTGCACACTTGGTTAGAAGTTTTTAAAGTTTTGTCAGCAGTTTGTGCGGCATTTTGATTTCTATTTTTGTTTTAATTGCCGACTTACTTGAAAGTGATTGTACATACCTGTGTGAAATAAATCAGAATTAAATTGTATGAAATTGAGCACTTCCACTGAAACTTAACTTGTCATTCTAATACTCTTTGTTTCAGAACATGATATTTTATTGGCTTGTTAGCCGCAATAAGCAGATTCTAAATTAAACGTACTACTCATACTGTTACATCGGGCTAATGCTCCAATGTGTAACATACCATAGTTTTATATAAATGTATGTGTGCCTCATGATGCCCCACCTTTGGCTGTACATGTAGCATTCACCTTTATCACCATTCACAGTTGTTGTTTCCACTCTAACATTGTGCCTCCAGTGAAGTACTGTTTCTACACCTCTCTAGCATTAATCACCTTATGATTGGTGAATCAATATACTCTCTCAGTTAAAACCTGTGGCTCTTTGTGTGTGACAAACATGCTCTTAGGCATCTGGCTTATTGACAGCAAGGGCTTATTGCTACTACAGGAGCGTTGATTTCAATCAAGAGGCACTGGCATGCGCGTAAAACCGGTATTCACATGTGGTTTCTTACATGGAGAAGGTACATGTACACTGTACATGTACATGTATGTAAGGCTGTGTGTGAGGCAGTTCCAGGACTGTCTATATACATGTGTATACATGTGGCTTACGAAGTGAATCTTTTTTGCCATCGTTTTGTACCTGTTTGCGTTAGAAACAGTAAACTGAGCTCTTTGTTTTGCTACTTCGCTCAGTTTGGCATCCTGATCAGAATGGCATTATTTTCTCTCGGGTGTTAAGAATTCCTTTTTACTCATATTCTGCACAGCTTTTTCATACATGTACATGTAGGCTTTTATCTCAAAAGTGGCTCTGTTGAATTGAGACTCATTTTTGCTGGTTGGTTGCTCACATAATTATTGTCAACTTCTTGTAAAGACTGAACATTGTTCATGTATACATGGTACACATGTACACAGGTACTGTACAATGTAGCTCTACACATGATCAGGCTGTGAATGGTCATAAACCTGTGATGGTTTATCCCTTATCACCCCCATCTTTTTGGAGCTGAAACCTGTGTATAATGTACATGTATGTTCTCGTACATGGAAATCAACAAATTTTAACAAAGTGTCTCTGAGCTGAAATCTATGTACATGTACGTACATGTGCCGGTACATGTACATGTATACATGTATGTACCAATACAAATATGTAAATTAGCAAACTTTTTAGCAGTGTACATTGTGTAAATTGTATTTTTTAAGTTTGTTGAATTAATTAAAAAAGGTGTAGATTTGGATTCATCGAGGTAGATTGATAGGGGTACTTACAAATTATCAAACTGGTCAACTGGACTTACTGTAGGTGAAAAATTCACAGAGTGAATGGTTTCAAGACTCATCTGAGTCATGTCTTCAACTCTGACTGACTGGGTGAATTAGTAGAAAGGTAGTATCAATGCCTCAATGGTTGTGAGGGTGTCAAGGAATTTTCTGGATCGCTGGTTTTTAAGCCGGTGAAAGGTTTTGCAGCTGTCCTTTTTGTTGTTAATTACATGTAATGATCACATGGTTGAGAAAAAGGTACATGTACCTTCAGTATTTGCAGTGGAAACTCGACACCATGAGAGGACAGTTAAAACTCTTAAAATTCAGAGATTAGGTACATGTATGATTCTAAATAAAAATTGAAACTGAAAGAAAACTTGTGAGGTTCAAACGTGGATTGGAGTTGGAAGGAGAAACTTTGACTCCCCAATTGCTGGTACATGAATGGCAGGTACACATGAATGACCTTTTTTGGACTTTTCCCCCCCCCTTCTTTTCAGGTGAGACTTGCTGGTGGACCATCTACCCAGCATCCAAACAGAGGTCAGAAGGAGAGAAAGTGAGGGTAGGGGACGATCTCATCTTGGTCAGCGTGTCATCGGAGAGATATCTGGTGAGTTATTTGAAAAGCGGCAACCTTTTTGTGCCAAGTTGGCTGAATTTAAGCTGCCCACAAATACACTGTGGATTGTTTGTCACGTACAGGTAATTAGGAAGACCAACAGTGATTGTGACTTCTACAGTCACATTGTGTTTCATGACTAAACAAATCATTCAAAAGGTGTTTTCCATTTCCCCCCAAAAATCAGAATTGAAAACGTGTCATTCCATGCAAAATTGCATGCAGAATTATTTGTTAGAGTTGTGCCAACTTGGAAAGATTTTGGCTGATGCCTTTTCATTGAGTGTTTTGAACATATTTTGACATTTGTTGGTTCATTATAAATGATAAGCAATAAAATCTGTAGAATGAAAATTGTTAATTGTATTCATAAATGTGTAATTAGTGAGTGGAGAAAAAAAGTGTTCTTGAGTCTTCACTGGAAAATCTTTTAAATGTCACTGGCCATGGAAAGATATAAAACAGTGTCAGTGAATTGTGAGCATAGTTTCAAAATTGAAGAAAGTCTTTGCAGTGTACATTCTTTCTTCAGTTTACAGTGTACTAGTACATGGACACGTATATATCTGAACATGTACATGTACCATTTGATGATATTGTCAGTGTTTTTCTTTATTTGATATAAACCAGAAGGGATTATCTTTCTCATTACTGTTTGATGTATTCGAGGAATGCTTTTAAAATTGAAGCTGTCAGATAAAGCTTGTGCACGTATTTTCTGTACTGCTCGACCATCTTATCACGAGTCTTGGAGGCAAGGAATTTTTCTCTTAATTCCAAATTTGGCGTATGGCTTAACCAGATCCGGTCTCCATGCGCGTAACCACGCGCCGTCCATCTATGATTAGGCAGTGCAACACTTTGAGATCTGGGGGTTTGTTTTGCTCTCGATTCTATGCAAGTTGATACCCGTAGCCTGTGGTTGTCAGCTTTTATAGTACAATCCCTCTAAGTCGTACAATTCTCTGAGTCCAGTGTCACAGACACATGAATAATGATCACTTTTGTTGTGGTTTTTGGACTGAAGTGAATTTCCTCTGGAATTCTTGCTATATCATTAGAATTATTGTTTTTATATTTCTTGGTCTACAGTTTGTACATGTAGTTTTTTTAATTATTTGGTCTAGATTGTAGTTTCAAACAGTTTGAACAGTGAAACTCCTGACATGGATATGTGTACCGTGATCACTTGTGTCATGGGTTTTTTCTTGGAAGATGGATTTAAATGCATGCCCTGATGTTGTTTTGTGTGTGGGGGGGGGAATTGTTATTGTAAAGCATCATTTCTGGATTTCTTCTGAATTTCTGGCCACTTAGTAGAAGTTATATTTTTAGAATGTATTTGTTGTTACATGTACATGTTGGTCCATAATTTCAATTTTTTACTTACATATAGTTAGTCTAGATTTTATTTTCGAGCAGTCTGAACATCAAAATCCCTAATGGTATTATAAAAACACATGTACATGTAGGAATTGATTTCAAAAAGGTATTCAATTTCAGATGCATATACAGGTACATGTTTCACTTCAAGCATATACTGGTATTTTGCTAAGCAAAAACAATTCTGTTCCAGCAGATAGTACATTCATGCACTGCTATGCATTGGAAATGCTAAACGTACATGTACATGTATGATACAGTACTTACATGTACATGCACATGTAGTACGTACAGTGTATATTGTACATGCACAGTATGTTGTGAGCTGAAGGTAATCTGTTCATGAAGCTCACCGTTAGTCAAATTTTTTGTACATTAAAAGTTTGAAAATTAAGAATATAAATGTCCCATGACAAACTACTACTAGTACATGTACTGGTATGTGTATTTCTAGGAATTATACATTTTCTCAATTGATGATCTTACAATGTTTGTGCCAGATTTATACTGAATTACGAGTACTGTTGTTGTTTGTTATTGCAGCCATACCAGTTGGTATTGTCAGTGGACCCATTGCATGATAAAAAACAGTAACAAATGTTCAAGGTGCGTACTTTTAGTTTACCAAATGCTGACACCTTAGGCTTTGTTGTTGAAAATGATTTGTGTCTGGTCCTGTATTTCTGCAGCATCTCTCACCAGAGAAGAAGCAGCAACCACCCAGGGTTCAAGCCTCCTTTCAGCAGACGCTATGGACAGTGGCTCCCGTCAGCTCAGGTGGTGTCAAGACAAAAGCCATGGGTAAGCATTTATATTTTTATTACAACAAAAACTAGGTTACTCTTCAGCGACTTAATTTAATTCACACTGTATACTTTCCTGTCTAAGCTTGCTTGGGTGGGACTCAAAGCCTGAACCTCCTACCTATGGTATACATCTACACCATATGACCATCCAGCTGACATGGTCACCTGACTGGTTTGAATTCAATTTCAATCAATAATTCTATGGTTACTTTAATCAATATGTGTGTTCCATTTTGTTCTTATCTTGTGAGCTTGTTTTAATTGTAAAAGTACCCGTTCTTGTGGTTCAGCATGACTCTTGTTGAAAATCACATGATTGAGCAATAAGCTCTTTGTCTCTGTAATTGTACTTGGCAAGTAGAGCTCAGATGGTAAACTCTCGACTTTTATGAGAAAAAAAATACAAATATGTGAATTGCAAGGGAGACGTGGGGATTATTTTGTCTCCTCCCACCGAAATAATGGGGAAAATAAAAGGAAGTGGATTGAAATGGCCAGTTTCCAAGAAATACTTCAGACTTGGTTTCCCTTAACTTCTGATTGTTTGTGATTATCAATCTGCCTCTGTGCAGTACATTTCCCTACGCCCCCTCTTTGCAAAGAGTCACATCCTTCCTTGTGGCACCCATGATGACAAAGTGCCATTGGTATGATGTGTTGAAGTTGTTAACATCCTGAGTGCATTTGTGGTGATGCAAGATGCAGTTAATAAATCTGGTGCCATTTTACTTGATACCGTACATTTCCCCTGCTTCACCGGTCGTTGAAAAGTTGGTAAATCAATTCTTGCGTAGCCTGGATGTCTCAGGATGCTTCAGTGTGCATGAGGTTTTCAGGGAAGTCATGCTCTCGGTGTCTGCGGAGTGAGTTGGAAAACCCCCATTGAAACAAGTCATGCCCCAGTATCATTTTGCAATTGTGTAACTGTGCATTTGCCGCCGTGCTGAGAGAAACTTAATCATTATCACTGGAAAAAACCAGGAGTAATGATTTTGCTTGAAGATGTCTGCAGGTAGTCCAGAGTAGCTAGATGACCCTTGAAATAAATTAGACATGAGATAATGGCCTTGATGTTTGGCCAGATTTTGTGATACATGTAGCTTTGTAGAAATCTCAAGATGGTTGTAAGGTGCTCCTCAAGGAGAGCCGAAGTATTAGATTAACCTTAAAGGAAGGATACAGTGAAGAAAGAACTCAAGCTGAATCCAAATTCCTGGTTCGTTTGCACTGCTTGAGTTGCTCACAACTTGCCCTGCTCTGGGGGAGAACATGCTACCAGTAAGGTCGTAAACCTCCAGGCATTATCATAGCAAAAGCAGCTGAGCCACAACTGATCGGGTAGATTAAAATTAGCAATGATGGATTTGTGCTTTGAGACAGGTTTGTCTTGCTTTGCAGCAGATTCAGTGGACCATTTGCAGCTGTTTGAAAAATAAAACCAACTAAATTTTCATTCAAATCACTTTGAAAGCCTTGGCATACAGCAGTAATGACATAAAGTATATTTTATTTGGCTTGGTATCATTTGAAAGAAAATGACAAAGGGTTACGGTATTTCCAAAGGTGTGTCTTGTTGGAAAAGCATTTCCCATACATTCTTAACCTAGGGTGCCGGTAGTACCACCGGTACATGTACAATCATGCTGGTTAATTGTAAATACATGTACCCTTCTGGTGAGGCATTTATTAAACACATGGGTAGATGTAGGACCTGTGTCACAATGTACTTTTTTAGTTGCCTAGAAAGTTTGGATAGAGAACTGGTCAGTAGCAAGGAACACCTCATGACATTTTGGTTGGCAGTCTGTTTCTGCTTTGCAATTTTGTTCTGTCCTTAGCCAATTTAGGTGCTTTGGTTGTATTCAAATCTGTTTTCTAAGGCTAAGTCAAGGTCTTTTCCCATTGGAAATACACATGGATGTGTTGACAATAGACGCAGCCACAGCTCCAGAAGCCTGTTTTAGACATGACCTTAGAAGCTGTGTGAAATTGGATTGTGGATATCGCAAAGGCTTAATTCTTTTAAGGCATAATTAATTAGGCCCTGATGGTTCACCCAGTTTGGCATCCAGATGAAAATTCATGTTATGAGGGTGAAAATTTGATAGGGGTTCTATTGATTCACATTGTTCCAGATTCATTGAAGGTCTTTGACTCGAAGTGGACTGATTTTGTTAAATTGAGTCACTTCTTTTCTCTTGTTTTCTCCCATTGTCCGATCTGTAGGGTTCCTGAATGGCATGGACGTCTTGAGGTTCTCCCACGGCCACTTGGACGAGTTCCTCACCGTTCCTCAGTCAGGCTGCAAGGAGGATGACAGCATCAGGTCAGTTTCCATGGCAACATTGATTGCCACAGGACAACAACTGGACTTGGAGCCCAGCAGACCATCTCCGAATGTCAGAACTGGGCCAGTTGGGGCCACACTCACATTGCATTAGTTCTGCTACATAAATGCAGTGGTAGAGAATCATTCACTACAAGACACACATACTTAATATTTGGTTAAAGGTTCGGTCTAGATTTGAGTAAAACTATGCTGCCATGATTTTGAAGTGGTCGGTTCACAGGGATCAGTTGTATACATCTGTCTAATATCCTCTGCAGTGCTGATTGGTTTGGGTGGATGATTTGTGGTCTGGTGGGGAAGTAATTGTTCTGGAGATTTCTCTGTGACTTGTTAACTGGGCAGTTTACTTTTTGCTCACATCATGACAAATTGATGACTTGTATTTGCCAAAATTTGATGAAACATTTGTTGAACGGAATGGTGCTGTGAATTGTGTAACTGTTTTAAAAGGCTGGTTAAACGTAAACAAGGAATTTTTGAAAGAAAAAAAAAAGCTTTGTCATTATCTAAGTGCTTCAGGAGCTACCTTTTGACACTTAGGGTAATAAATAGACTATAGACTTGAAAGAATAAACACAATAAACTTTCAGCATTCTTGCCTTAGTGTTGCATTTAGTCTCTAATTGACCAGTCATTAGTTCATCTTAATTCATTGTAACACTGACCTGAGCAGTCCACAGGTGTTTCTCTTTCACACCTACTTTCACTCCATACAAAATGGTCATTTAGTATGCAAATTAACTTCAGTGTCATGATTAACTGATTCTTTTTGAAACAATGAATTATTAACCAAATCAGTTGGCCATTGAGTTAATAACATAGAGGTAGTTTTTCTAAAGTTGCTAATTATGCCTATTTAACTAATCAAGAGAGACTAATACAGTCTCTTGGTGGAAGGAATTTGGGGGTCTGTAACCTTGGTATCAATACATTATTTTTCCCTTGTCTTTCTTGTGCAATTGTATCATTCTTTTAGTTTTATGGTCTCTCTGTCTCTTTCCCAGTGAGGTATCGTATGAGACAGGTGCCGTGTCTTGTTTTGCAAGGTCTCTGTGGCGAATAGAACTCCTCACCAAAAAGTAAATATCAGATATCTTAAAAGTTATTATTTTAGAAATTCAAATGAACTCATAGTTGATTTAAGTGATTAGCAGGGCTGGTATCAATCTATTTTGCAGCATTATTAGGAGTTTTATGAAGTGTCTTCCAGCTCCAAGAATATTTTGAAGGAGTAATGATTTTGAAATCATAGAAATATTCCTTTGAGGTAGACTGGTATCTGATTGGAATATTTGTTTAAAGAATCCTAAAAGATTGAGTGCATTCAGCTCTTTATTATTCAGGTATACATGTCATTGTTGATATTACCTAATATAAGAGTATTACAATTCGTAACAAAATAACAAAAATTTGCAGTACAGAGAATTATTTCATGTAAAACTTAAAGCTTTTTAATGTCTTTGCGCAGTAGTCCGAGATAGAGAGCTTATCAGAGTTAACAAGCCTATCACCGGAATGCTTTTATAAGGAACATGTGTTGACAAAATTCTGATGTACATGAATAGAAATGCCACACCAAAAGGGCAATAGGAAAATACATTATGGAATCAAGCTTTTTGTTGGTGTGAAGGACATTCCCCACCGTGTTTAAGCCAACAACTTAGGTTCAATCAAGTGTTATTAATAGATTCATCTTTTGAGTAAGGGTAATTCCAGAATTTAGGGGTCCTTTTTTTCGTGTCCCTGTCACATTTGACTTATGATTTTGTACATGTAAGTTCAGAAGTTATCAGAACACATTTTCTAATTAATGCAAATTACCTGCCAAACAAATAGTAATAGTTTGAAAAAAAATTCTGGTAATATTTCCATGTTAAATAACAAAGGACAGATGTAACAGGGACATGAAAATGTCAAACTTTTGGACCCCTAATTTCTGGAATTACCCATAACTGAAATGTATGGTAACACCATGTATGGATGTACGGAGAGCCAATTCTGATAAAATTTCCTGAATTTTTTTTGAATGATCTACCGGTAGATGGAATGGCAGCTATGTGTCGTGGGGCCAGGACTGCAGAATCAGACACCTAACATCAGGTAAGTACATGTGCCAGCAATAAATAGACTGGAGACAGATACAGTGAGCCCCTGTGGGCCATGCCTGCCCCCTTTCCAAATGAAAGGAGCAATAAGTACAGTGCACCAACAGGTTACCAGGGCTGATATAAGGAATTAACAATTTGGTACTTACCAGGTTACCAGGGCTGATATAAGGAATTAACAATGTAGTACTTACCAGGTTACCAGGGCTGATATAAGGAATTAACAATTTGGTACTTACCAGGTGACCAGGGCTGATATAAGGAATTAACAATGTAGTACTTACCAGGTTACCAGGGCTGATATAAGTAATTAACAATGTAGTACTTACCAGGTTACCAGGGCTGATATAAGGAATTAACAATTTGGTACTTACCAGGTTACCAGGGCTGATATAAGGAATTAACAATTTAGTACTTACCAGGTGACCAGGGCTGATATAAGGAATTAACAATGTAGTACTTACCAGGTGACCAGGGCTGATATAAGTAATTAACAGTATACATGTAGGACACCACCAAGTTACCAGGGCTGATATTAGGAATTAACAATGTAGTACTTACCAGGTTACCAGGGCTGATATAAGGAATTAACAATTTAGTACTTACCAGGTTACCAGGGCTGATATAAGTAATTAACAATGTAGTATTTACCAGGTTACCAGGGCTGATATAAGTAATTAACAGTATACATGTAGGACACCACCAAGTTACCAGGGCTGATATAAGTAATTAACAGTATACATGTAGGACACCACCAAGTTACGGGTTCTGATATAAGAAATTTGCATTATGCTAAGTGGTTACCAGGCAAAGGCAACATTTTAGAATGCATTCTGGGAAAATGTGCTAATCAGTGTTTATTTATAAAAATACCAACTAAGTCTACAGACGCTCATGGTTTTGAGGTAAAATATTAATTTTTTGGGGAAAAAATGTTAACTTATTCAGTGGTCTTGCAAATCAATTTACTGATGTTGCTTATTAACTGTGAGCGACATAGACGAACCCTTCTGGAAATTGAAGTTGACACCATCTTGTGCTAAATTGAAGATGAGCTAGGTACACATGTACCGCTATTACCAAAAAAAGGAAATATTTTTCTGTCTTTTATCCCAGCATGACACATGAATTAAAGCAAATTTCCTCATTTTAAAATTCAAACTTCTCATTTACATTTGCCATTACAAACTGAAAAGTTTGTGCAATATGGAAATTTGCTCTTTTTTCTGTATTACCTTTTTTATGTCTGAATAGAAGTCTTTTGGATGAAGGCTAGTAGAGTCTCTTCCCACAAACCGTTCATGTATAGTGTACCTAATGCATTTTTTGTTGTTGAGTGCAGAGAGTATTCATTTTGTTGGCTTATAATAGTAATGTTTATAGATACACCAGACTATGATAGATATCTTGGAAAATTCTTGATGTTTACATTTCACAGATTTATGTCCACATAAGCTTGATCTCTCTCAGGCTTGGTTGATTGTCATAATTGCTTGTGTCTCGTACGTCATCACGACATACATGTACATGTATGCTCTCATCAGCATAAAATACAGAAAGGTACCTGTACATCATGTACACTTAAATTATGTTTACAATGAACTTTAAAGAGTTGTCTGGTGTAGCACACTGAAATATTCAACTATTTGTAGGGAAGAATTAAAATCAATGTTTTCACTTCAGAAAATGAATAAATCTTGAATATCTTTATGCTACTCTGATTCGGTTTGGTGTTATTATTCTTGTCACACTCAAGATTCATTTAAGAGAAATTTCTTGTCTGCACATTTCAGGTATTTGTTATTACTAGTTGACATTTGCTTTGTATTGCAGGGAAGTATTTGTCTGTGTCAAGCACTGGAGACAACGATGTGTGCATAGTGCCTAGGAACCGGGCAGATCTTCCCTCGACTGTGTTCTGCCTCCGGCAATCAAAGGTTAGCAAGATAAATGATTCGTGTATTTTGGACTCACAAATTCATTCCATTGTCAGGCGGGGGCTTCAAGGGAACCTTGGTGTACGGTACCATCAAAAAGAAAAAACTGGGGTGTAGGAATTTTTGTGGATTCCTGATTCCAAGGATCATCAGTCAGCTGTCGTGCAGAAGGCAGATCTTTGCCGTGAACGATTCTGCAATTTAGATTTTGGAGCCCTTATTTTTTATTGGAGATCCCTTCCTGTCAAGATTGTTGCAGAGTGTTGGTCGTGGCATCTTAGAGCTCGGTGTCTGAATTCCAAATTTGAATCTCAGAATGTAGACCAGCAGAATTATGACAAAGTTAAATTAAAGTCCTTATCCTGCTGATTCTTACAGAGGTCTGCAGTGTATGACAGCCACAAAGGGTTTCATCATTCCTACTGAATTAAGAAAGCTCTGCCCCAAAGATGGCAGCTGTGTATAACATCCATTGACCTGTGTGTTTTGTTTCCTGTTGCGGTTGTAGTGTTTTGCCAACAAGTGGTTTGTATAAACTTGGCACGGCTGACAGAATGAGTCACAAAGATTAAAATAATAATCCATGTAATGATCAATTTGCTATAAAATCAGTAGGCTGTGCAGAAGAAGCTATGATTCTTACCCCTTCAGTACTGAGTGTATCTGCTATAGAGTACCAAAGTGTGATGTCACTGTGACCCAGAACAAATGGAGTACGCGCGCGTGCTGGTTCGTGCACTGATTCTCGCTCTAATGCCTTTTACACACACAATTATGCGCCTGACATAGTCACTTTGGTACTCTTTAGATTGCACACAGAATATATCTTGTCCAAAAATACTTCTCCAGCCAAGATTGGAATGCACGGGTTTACAGCCACCCACCCAAACAAAATGGCTGCCAATGTTGATAACGCAAAGAAAGGTCTTACGACAACTTCATGTGGATTTTGCCAATGGTAATGGTGAATCAACTTCACCTTTCAGTGTGGTATTTCTAGAGAAAGAAATAAATGAAATGGGTACTTGCAGGTTTAATGATGATTGTCATAATGAACAAAGTGTGCATCTCCCCCCCTCACCCCCATAGGAGGATACTTCTCATTGGAACAATAAGCAGGAACACGGCATGGGCATCGCCGAGATCAAGTATGGAGACTCTACAGTGATAATCCAACACAAAGACACAGGTCTCTGGTTGTCCTATCTGGTGAGACACTTCTCTTGTTTATAGCTAACCTCTCCTCACCCTCGCCCCCAAAGTATAAGTTGATGCAGTCCTTAGATTGCAATGAAAGGGAAATATCAAAGATAAACACGCAGGCATGTTGTATCCAACTCATGCAATAAATCTGACAGTATCTATGAAGCTACTTTGTTTGAAATTGTAATGCAAAAATGAGAAAAGCCTGCCTGGTCTTCTAAATTGAAATGTTTAATTTTAAAAATACAGAAATATTAACATTTTCTGATTTGAGAAGAAACTCAGTTGTACAAGAACATTTACATGCATAGTAACGAGCCATGCAAATATTTTTGCTTGTACTCAGTATATTTATTTTGTGATTTTATTTTGATAGTATTGCATGTGTAGTTTCTATCCAGATGTACAGTTTTGTAAAAGAAAGAAAAGTAATCAGATGTGTGCTTGAAACACTTCAGAAAACATTTGATGGTAATTCGTCACTTTTCAAAGCCGAAAACAAACTTCATCTTTTCAAAAGAGGAATTACAAAAAGATGTACTTCATAGGTTTGTGTCCTTCATCTGTCTGAAACCTTGTGCAGAAATTCTCCTGTCATCAAGTGGTAAGCTCTTGGAATGAGCTTTTGAACATCTGCTTATTCAGAACTGTTCACACTATTTTTAGTTGCCAGTTTGCCGATCATAACCTCTAGGTTATTTTCAGCCAGAAGGTCAAAGACTAAGGTCATCAAGGTCATGGACTGGACGAAGGCCTTTGTTTTCTCCCAAAAAGGGTGAAGGGATAGTGACAGCCCTCCTGTTATTTCCCCCTTTTTTTCCCTCTCTTACTTTGTATTCTTGCCATGCCGGGTGCAAATGATAATTTCCACTGTGGCATAGGCAAGCCAGAGCTAGTCACCAAATATGGCCCACGCCTGGGTTTTCCATCTGATATTAATCAGTGGCCCAGTCCTCTCTGGTGTCACACTGTGCAAAGACGGCTCAGTTGCCTGCAGCAAATGATCTCCCTCCTTGGCATTTGTTAGCATTGACTCATCCTCGTCACCGTTGCTCTTCGTGTCAGTCTTGATGCTCTCCGTGTGGTGTCGTTTATCTCCACCGACGGGAAGAGCACCGTGAGGTGAAAAAGCAGGAGGGATAAAGATGTGGCCTTGTGCGAGATGGACTGTTCACCCAGTGACCTCCACTGCAATATCCCTTACCAGGAGTCGATAAAGATTTGTGAATATTTCTGTATACCAGCACAGATCTGCCCAGCCGTCAGGTGGGATAGTTACTGGCCGTACTGTCGGTGGGGATTGGGCCCGATGAAATTTGGAGGACAGGCAGGGGTTATAAATGGTCCCCATCCTTGCCAAATAGTGCATTGTTCCTTTGACCTGTTTGGAGTTCGTTGAGGTGCATTACTCAGAAATTTATTTTAAGATGGTATTGAAACGACATGTCCAATATGCGTAAATATATTTGTGTTCATGTTTATGCCCGTCGCTCAGCCTTATATGATGTGTACAACAAAAGGACATGCAGCTAAGGGCAGCAGCTAGGACTTTTTACTCTAGAAGTAAACAAAACAAGTAAATCTGAGCAGTGTGTGGGGTTGGTTGAATTAAATAATAGAGCACATCTTAAACTTCTTCCCTCAAATTATCATATTTTATTGATTTTGTACCCATTTTCATAATTGAATGTGAAATAGCAACCATACTAGCCGATGGTGCTTGAGTATTTTGGGGGCAAGGATCATGTGGAAAGTTTGTGCAGGAGGAGGGTAACTTCAAGGGATAGAATTCCATTATACCTGTATGGATCCCTTTTGATATCTCGTGCACAAACCCTATGAGACTGGTCAGAGCAATTCTGTTTTCTTGACTTAAGTGAATATCCTCAATATTTTCACAGTTAAATTAGACTTTTTAGAACATTTTATTGCTTTCAGATGGCTAAAGGGTCACTGCAGGGAAAAATTAGTGGCATCCATATGCAGAATTTGTTCCAACTTAACCTTAAAAGTGTAGAATTAAGAAATTTGGCTGGTTGACATTGATGTGTACCAACCAAACCTAATGAGCCAACCTCATTGTCGAGTCTGATTTATCAGTTACATTTGTGGACAAAGTTGGCTTCAGTCATGACTAAGACATCTGAGACAGGAAAAAAATGTCAGTTTATCAAGGTTCTGGGATGAAATTGTAGAAAGTTAATTCACAGTCAATTCACATGTGCCTCTTTTTTCAAACTACCCTCCTCCCCCCACCGCCGCCCAGGGTAGGCTCACAATTTCCTGCCAAAGCCGTCCAAGCTCGACATTTATCATAGTGATATCTTCAACAGGGCTACTGGTACTTGATGGGCAGCTGGCTGATGGCCCACCGTGTTGCCTGGATGGATTACATGTTGCCAGGGGCAACTGTTAATTTTACACCCAGCTCAAGAGATCTTTATTGGATGGCAAAATTGTTATTTTACATGTATAAAAAATGAAAAAAAGAAACAAATACAATCATACCAGTATCATGAAAGGCATATTTTAACTTGCTCCATTACTGAAATAGGCAATTTATAAAAGAAAAAAAAGAACTCTTCTGGAAAGCCCATGGAAAGAATTTCAAATAAGAAAATTGGTGGAGATATCCACACCTCCCTTTGTGCTTTGCGGTCGTCATCTGTTTTCACCGACTGTCTGCCATGATCGCACAAATTGTCAAGTACAGTGTGCCAGTTCCTTTGCTAGGAACAAACTATTGCAAAACTTAGTAATGTGTATTGTGGTATCGCACTGTAATTTTAACTATAAGCAAATACCTTGGGTTTTTAAATACATCACTTTTAACTCACCATGTCCACTTATGTTTGAATAAAGTAAGTGGTTGGAAGATGTCAAACATCCAAATGTACATGTAATATCAGGCTAACGTTAATTAGTATTCATGTTGCTAATACTTTAGCATTGTACACGTGGAGCCCATTGCTTCTGAGCTCATGATTTTGTTAGGTTACATGCCACTGTACTGGTACATGTGCAGCTTCAAAAAAAAAAAAAAAGGAAGTGATGGCGAATTAGGCACACAGGTGCATGCCAAGGATTTTAGATTGGGCTTTTGGCCTTTCACTGATGAAAAAATTGCATCTTGTGAAAAGTCAAGGATTCTAGCCAAAAAAATTCTATTGCACATCACTTTGAATTAAAACTGGCAGTTCAAAAACTCTCCCCTCCCTAGAAAAGAAAAAGACACACCTTAACCCTGATAGAAGTGATTATTAAATGTGACATCGAACGTCCAGACAGCTCGGGAAGTCTGGAAGACCTGGTAAAGTGAGGTAAATCTGCATCAAAAACAACACGTTCTTGAGCGCACCCCAGACGCCCATTACTGCCGTCCCATTTTGATAACTTCATCAAATGTCTTCTCCAGTTCCAAGACCAAGGGGCCATTCAGTCCACACATGAATGATTGCAAAAGCTGTCTACATACATGTAGTTTACCCGCAGTGCGCTCCTCCGTTTATCTTGGTGGATTTGTCGGGGCATATTGGAGAGATCCTTCCCGAGAAGCTTAAATGCTTGAGGCAATCTATGACTGGCTTATTTATTTTTCATCTCTTTACGTGCTCACTTGCATGTCAACTCCTTGGTGTGTGTCCCTCCAACATGAATGAAGTCATTAGATTAAATGGTTTTATTGAGTTCTGTGTCAGGATCATTAACCGTTTAGTAATCACAGGATTCAGTCCATTAAAATCATCAGGGCCCAATTTCATGAAATGGCTGAGCAGAAATTATTGCTTTGTGACCCAACCTAACAAAATGAGTCTTAAGCTGGCGTCGCCACTTTTAAGTTTAATGAAGGCCTTTATAAGATCTTTCCATGGCAGAATAAGGAACAGGTTTCACGCACATAACGAACATTTTAATCTGGATGGCAAACTGAGTGATGTTTCCAAAAACAAAAGAGCCTAGGGCCCCAAAAGTCTGTGGTTTCTGGTCAGCGTGTGCGTCACTGTAGACCTACCGGTACATGTATGTGTTGGCAAAATAAAAACATTTTTATTTGGTATAATACGATTTCCAAAAACTGCCAAACTCACTTGATCAACTGGAATCCTGCTGCTGCGTAATGTAAATGTGCTTTATGGCACCGATACATTTAGTCGGGCACTCTCTTTAAGATGACGTCATGACGTCATGTATTACATGTATACATTTACATCTGGGAACCAGATAAACATGGTGGTCTTATGTCAAGGGTACATCTACAAGCTGAAAATGCCTTTAAACAGTAAATAGTGAGAGGGCCAGTTTATGTCAGTGTTGGAAGCAGCAGTACGTAAGCTATGGACACCATGTGTTTATGTACATCATTTCTAGGGGAAAAAAGTAGGGGCCAAAAAAAAAGTTGCATCACTGCACTACCGGAGAGTTTTTGGGGGGCTGAAATGAGTTCGCTTTTTCCAAATACGAACTGAAACAAAATTATTAGGTAAAAAAGGCCCTAGGCTCATTTTATGGGATCTGGTCATATTTATGTGACAAGTACATGTAAAAGTAAGTTTGGAACCAGTCCCATGCTACATTCAGTGCGTGACACTTCAGCTGGTAACCTTCTTTTACTATGCAAATAGTTTCTTTTCTTAATGAATTTCTGCACTTAGCACCACTTTGAAATCAGCCCAAGTTGTAGAATTTGAGGTGCACAATTTGGGGTTTACTTGAAATCCTTAATGCACCTAATCAGGCAAAAATGCCTGTTCTGTCTGTATGTATAAACCTAAAGTATAAAAACAAACTGCCAGCACTGTTCTTCAGATTCCATTCAGCCAGATGTGACTCAAAACATGTACTGACGCAGAAAATAATAAGTTTTTAAGAATGATGGCAATTATCCTTGTATCTTTATATTAATGTGCCCCACTTAAACTAACCAAGGCTGTATCATGATCTGATTTTTAATTTACAGTTGCAATTAATAGTTAGCTGTCATATGAGTCATGACGTGACCCTTCGTGACCCAGCACATGAGACTTTTGCTCTGCAGTATTTGTCCTCTGGTGAAGTTTCTAAACGAGGCAAGCCATTTGCTATCCCTTAACCTGTCTCTGTCCATCTGATTTGGGCCTGCCCTTCTTACACATGTATGTTCCTTCCAAAGTGTCTCAAATGATAAAATTTTAGTCAGGCTTATCCCCCTCTTTTGTTCAAAATTTGACCATGTAGCAATGAATCCGAAAGAGGTTCCCAAGAAATTCAAAAATTAAGGTGAGGGCGTGTGTATTTTTTCATCACCTCAATTTAAAATTTATCAGAGACAAGACACCATCCACTAGTTGGATGTGAATAGTTGAAGACTTACATGTTGATGACAGAAATGCCAGTTCCAGTGTTGCTGCTGTGCTGTTTTGTTGACAGCCATCTTTCTTTGCACTTTTCCTGGGAAGGGGGTGTTGACTGTCTACTCTCCATGCTTGCTAGTTACATGCCTACATGCAAAAAATGCAAGGTGTTTTATTGACAAGATTCAGAAGAAAAATTGCTTCCAGAAAGGGTTTTGCAGATGGTGTCTCAATGCTCAAGCCTGCCATGTTTGAAGTGTGGATTTTAACCATGTTAACTGCCTCGCTGTTGCTGCATGGTACCCTGTGCACTTCCACAGGTACTTGTACATGTCCGGTGCAGCGGGCATTGCATGGTATACTTCCTTGACTCAGTTGACGCTTGCTGTACAAAACATGCAAGTTGTATGGTCTTCTTATCCCTCGGTATAATTCATGTGAAAGGTGTTAATGTTGATAAACTAGACAGATATCTCTGCTACATGTACATGAAGGCTCCTCTCATAGTGAGAGATACCAATGCAATATGGGAGGGACCAAAATGTTTTTCCCAAGGAGTGAAGTTTGCATGAACCTTTCATTCAGTATGCAACAGAAATGCAATGTGGTAACTTGTCAATCATGGAATTTTCAAAAATGTAGTGAGTAACAGATTCACGTCATTATCATTGACAGAGAAGTTAAAAAAAAGTTTTGTCCCCCCCCAAATTACTTTCACTACAGAGGTTCATGTAGTCTTTTTATGGAGAGTTTATCCGGTCATTTAGCTTGAAGAAAAGCCTAACCTGAAGCATTTTGGACCTCATTGCCAACCATGTACCCAACATCAAAACGAAAGACAAATGAGACCAAAATGGTAACCCCTCTTTGCTCACGTGCTCGTTTTTGTGTACAAAGGTGTCATTCGTTGTGTGGACCTCTGCACAAAAGAAGTCCACATAATGCTGGGTACGATGGCGTTTTGTGGACTTGCACATGTCCACACAATGTTCTCCCCTCTCTGAAAAACAGTTTCAGAGGCATTTTGGGATCAAGGCTCTCTTGACCCAATGAAGAGGAACAGTCCAGGAAATCATCATCAAAAATCCAGCTCGAAGGAGTTATCCTAGTGAGAGAAAAAGGAGTAGTTATCTTAAACACAATAGAACAAAGGAATGTCCATACTTCATATGTAAAACAAGTATGGGTGTGTGTACGGTATGTCTGTGTTAAACATTAGAGGTACATGTACATGTAAATAACGTTGGCCATCAGAAATACTACATGGAATTTAATCCATTACACCCGACGTACACACAGTTTTAAGTAAGTTTTTTAATTAAACCTCCACGGGCAATAAAAAATTTTAAAAAAAAGTAAATATCTGAAAATCAGTTTCTCAAACACCATTGAAATGTTTCTCTCGGAAATTAATTCTACTCTATTTGCTGCAATTGGCAGGGGTACAACTGCATCAACACTTTTTGCTGAAACAGAACTATCCACTTATATTTTGCGTTTTTGTTTAATCAGGCATAGAAATGGTTTCTGTACTTGTGCACTTTATTGGTTTTGTCTATGGAGGTGTGAAATTGAACACGACATCTTTCAAATCTAAAATGGAATGCGACTGGCTCGCTTCCTATTCCCCCCCACCCGCCGACCCTGACTTGATTTTCTCAATCCTCTGGTTACCCTGAAGGAATTGAAAAGTAATTTTCAGAGAGATCCAGTGTGGCAGTCCACCATCAATAACATGATATAAACCGGAAACTTCTAGAGATCAAATGCTCGACAGAGTAAGATCATTCAGTCACCCTGATCTATCACTCGTTGAGGCTGTTTTTAATCTTGATTTCTTGAAACGCGTTGCCATCATCATTACACATTCTATGCAGACAGTGGTGCATGAAATGTCCTCCTGAAAATACCAGTCTCTGCAAGATTAAATTTTCTCCATTAAATTTTCTCACACCCATCCCCACAAGCTGCCAGCACATGTATTGTGAATCTCTAATTTTTTTTTATACTTATTTGGAGGCCATCAGTGGTAAGTGCCAATTACCTTTCTAATTGGCACTAATGTTCCTGGAGCACCCCCGGGGAGCCTCCGTCTCCGGCACGCAGGATTTGCCGCAGATGAGTTCATGCATTTTGGCTTTGCCTTTGCAGAACAGATGTGGCTGGGAACATACACGCTAATTCCCTCATCTTCACTTGTCAACATGTCCTTGCGTGACTGTAGCCTTTCAAAGTTTGTCTTTGCTAAATATTGGGGAGTTTTCTTTCCGTGCCTGTCAGATTTGGTCGGATAGATTAATTCTGTTCTCAAGTGTTGCGTATTCAAGTTTACTCAATCACTCCACCTGACTCCACTTATGTTTAATACCCGTATGTCATAACAATGGAAATCTGCCTTGCTCTTATCCTTGGGTTTTACATCCATTTTGGGCACCTTCCCTTCTTTGGATGATCTTGGCATCTCTTCCTCTTTGTAAATGCTGGATCCACCACTGTTAACCCAATAAGTACATGTACAGTACATGTACCACTACTCACCTACACTGTATATAAAGGGTGCAGTAGGTGCTTTTTCATTAAAGTTAACATCAGAAATTGTTTACCTTGGAGAAATTCATCAAATGCAGTTTCCCTTGCCTGTCTGTATCTTTCTTAATCATTGCTTCCACCTCTTTCCAAATTGTCCTCGACGACTTTTTCCTTGTGAACATAACTGCTCCTAAAATTGTAGAATATACCCCTTTGCCAAACATACGTGTGAGAGTAAATAAGCATTTTGTTTTCATGCATATAGATGCATATAGGTGCTTGTCCAAACATCAAGTGGTTTACTGTCGTTTCCATACTTGCTGTAGTCTACTTTACACATGTATACCTCAGCCTACACCATCTTATCCCGACGGATGAACCGGGACTCTAATGATCCGTCATGTGCTTTTCCGATCTGCACAAACATCACCGCAGCACTTTGCACATAATTAAAAAGCCAGAGGAAATTGTAAGGTCTTGTTGGCTGGTATGAAGGAGGGACTGTGCAGGGAAGTGGGATTGATCCGTGTTGGGAGAGAGTTTGTTTATTTTTTACCGTGTAAGCAAATGGTGATGTTATTGGTGACGTGCGTAATGGCTCTCTCCAGCAGTGTGTTTGGAAAATTGCCTGTCGGATGAGGGCAATTTGCCATCAAGGGTCGTTCAGGGAACAGCAATACCCTCGCGAAGTCTTCCCCATAAGCATGGCCATATGCACGCTCACTTGGGCACATACTTTGTTGAAAAACGACCTAGCCTTTTTGAAATACTTGATTGGCTCATCTCACGGAGCCATGACACCAAAAATGGTTCTCAGGAAAATTCATGGTTGCAGTAAAAATCAGTTGTAAACCAGTCACAAGTAATGTACTGTGCATACATGTATGTGTTTTGGATCTTAGCCCATTTTTGCTTAGTTCCAGTAGATATTTCAAATAGCTTACCAGATTGTTGTACTTCTCGAAATTGGCCTAGTATTTTGTCAATCGCACATGCTTCCCATTCACATAAATGCATACACATTCCAATTTTTGTGCTTAAAAAGGTGGAAATTTGTCACCACGGATTGCACTCTAGTTGTGTCCACATTCAGTCACTGGAACTTGCACTGTGCCCTCTTTCATTTTCTCATAAACTCAACTAGTTAAATGAAATGTGGATTCCCGTGAGTCACCATGACAACAATATGGTCGATTCACAATAGGGCTGCTTCCAAGAGTTTGCAACACGCTGGCCCGTCACAAAGTGCAAAATCCGTCGACCCCATGTGCATTTGAAAAGGGTTGACAAATTTCACGCGTTGTGATCGGCCAACGCTTTGCAAACTCTTGGAGACGCACTATTGTGAATTGCCCGTATTATTCCGAGACCAACAGCTATGACAAAGATGTCACTTACATGTATAACTGGCATTCATTGGTTTTGGTTTGACCTACCGGTACTGACATTTTTGAAATGAAAATTCTTGGATAACACATGTAGATCAGAGTACATGCATTTGAGTGTGATGGCTTTTTACTGTTGGTTTAGGGTCCGTGAAGCACTGGTACACAGATTTTGGATTGATTAATTAATGTTATTTTTTTAATGTGTTTATCCAACACGAAGCTACCGGTAGAATTATTTTTGGTGAAGACAGTCTTTCAGTATGGTGTAGTGGCCTGGAAAGGCTACCGTAGATCACAAGTCACATTCTCAGTTGAAGAAAGTAAAAGGATTGGTCAGAATCCCAATGCTCAGATTTTTTGTGAAGTTTAAATGTGGGCATTAGTCTTTTTTATCATTAAATCTGGAAATATTGCACTGAAAGTGAATTGTAATTTTCTTTTACACTATTACAAACTGCAGTAGGTGAAAATATCTCATAAGTTGGCATGTCACATTCAACTTGGTCAGATATCTGACTGTTTATCACACTTGAGGATTGTTGCTCATGTTTCATCATGTTGAGCAAGTGGACGACAGACATTTTATTGCTAATTGGAGTGGTGTTTGTCTGATTTGTTGCAGGTGGAGGATACGTCCGTTGGCGGAGGAAGACCGGTGGACAGGAAGGTAAGGTTGTTTGGCCACGAGATTGAGATCCCCACATTGAATCTAAAACAAACGGTGATTGAGATTGTTGGCATTCCCTCTTCAGTAATGCAAGGCCCCTGTGTAATTACACGCTGTCCATTCGATAAGCCAAAACATCTTGTTATCATGCAGGAGGAGGAGTTGGCAAATTAACCACGTTGTGACAGGATATCTGATGTTAGAATGTCTTGAGTAGCCCCCTTGTTGATGGTGTAGTGCTCTGAACGTTTTCTAGTTAAAATTTGTCCTTGTTTATAATACTGTAGGTTGGAGATGTGTGCTTGAGGAGTGCGATGCTGAAAAAGTTCTCCCATCATTCTTCTTACAATAGTTCTCTCATCAGGAAACAAGCATGCATTGCTGCGTGCATAGTTTTCTCATGGATAATTTTGGGTCAGAAGAAAACTGAGCTATCAAGAATCATGGTTATGTTATTCCTATACGTGTTATTCGCATACACTGTATTACCAAAAGTGACAGAATGACTAAACAGTGTTTCACCAAGAAAAGGCCAGTCGTCTATTCATGCAGAAGTGACAGAGGGTACTTTGTTAACTCTCATGCTCAAGGCACTTTTTTTCACTGGCATTGAGCGAACCCAAAAGGATTGTCCAGATATGCGGATACCTGGTACCCGGTGGCAATGGTGTGCTTTTGGCCAAGTCTCTCTCTCTCGCTTTGTGTAACTAGTGATAAAGTGCACATGGAAGGAATTAGTTGCCCAGTCTTCAAATCTGGTTTATTTTTGTGGGATTTATTGCTCAAGTAGTCAATATTTTAATGATGAGAGGCCACGTATGTATTGGTTGTAACACCTTCCACCCCTCTGACCCTAGGTTTGAATCCCACCCAGGCCGAGATGTGTATGTGGGTTTTAAGCCCCTGCCTGACTTTTGGGGTTTTTCCTGGCATATTCATCCGAGTTACTTTCCTCCCGCCTCTAAAATTGAATGTTATTCATTGTCGTCACTCAAGGCTCCCAGGCAGAACAGTTCATATAAAACTGACAAGGCTTCAATAAATGAATAAATGCACTACTCTCATGTTCACATCCTCTTCACACTAACTTTCACAGGGCATCTAGCCTTGGGTAAAGTGATAGTGGTTGAGCTCTACCTGCTTGGTCCTACAACCCACTTACTGTAGAAGTATTACCGCTTGATGAGTTCTGGTTATTACATTGCCCACAGGAGAGAAAATCCTTCTCAGGTGCTTTCACTTTGTGGTAGACTCCGCAGCGTTCTGTCACGAGAAGAATTCTTCATGCACAACCGCAATGCCATTACTCGTGTCGTTTCAATCATTTACAGTCTAATTACCTTTCTGTCAGAACAAGTATGACCGAACCTCAGTCCTGTTGGATTTTCCCCCATGATCGGTGGCATGTTTCTTGAATTGATCTTGATCATTAAAGATGTACTGTGACTTCTTAGGGGGACCTTGCCGTTTGTGACTCCTGTTCCTATTTCGGGATTACAAAACGAGGTCACAAGCCAATATGTTGCCCGCACGATGTGCAGCGCATGGTGTTTCTGCTTATGAGCCTCCAACTAAAGCTAGAAAACTCATCCAAAAGTTTGTTTCTGAGCGATTGCAAAAGGGTAGGGGGTGCTGTCTGTATATGCAATAGCACAGACTAATACATGTATGCCTAAGGGCAAGTGTGTGTGTGTAGTCCAGGGTGAGCTGGCTTGCGAGATTATATCTTATGGTACCACTGAAAAAAAGTCATTCGATGAGGAGAGTTTGTTTAAATAATCATCACTGCATGGTTAAGGTAAAATAAACAACTGACGATGAGAACCACTGTACAAAATGCTGTAGCTTCTGACAGGGAAAAAATTGAAGACCCAAACACTGACAAATTCAGTGTGTACCTGGGTACGTGTACGTGTGTCCTCTTTCTCGAGTCCCACCAAAGCAGGCTGGTGCCTTGCACTGAGTAATTAGGCAGTATCTGAATAAATTGGCTATGGCTTGGTGCAGCACACATGTCTACTGGAAATGGTTCCAGTGGCATCCATAGGCACACATGTTACTGATGGCCTGAGCCTAGTCATTTAGATGCAGCCCTCTGGTGCTAATAACACATCTCTCAGACAAACTTTTTTTGTAAAATTTACATTACTCAAAACCAAACTTCACTTGTGTAGCATTCACCAGCTGTACTTTTTGCATATTTACTTGTTTTAAATCGAGGACACACCTGTGAAACATTCTATCATAATTGACACCAGAAAACGCATACAAAAACCAACAGGAGCTGTTGCTGGAAAGTTTAGGTATAAATGAAAGGATAGACCATAGGTGGCCCTAGTTTTACGAATGTGTGTTTGTGTTACAGATGACAGTTCTTTTAAAGGGCCTGACTCAAAAAGTTTTTTGATATGCAAAGAGGAGCAAATCCTCACTAGCTAAGTAGTTTAGAAAAGGAAAGTGAAGTTTGGTGCCTGGGATCACTGCTCAGAAAGTTTATGCCAGCTCACCAAGCAGCTTCTCAAACTTTTGTCCAAGTTTGGTATCGAAAATGATCTTGAGCATATGGTTTGTGCATGATTCTGAATGTTGATCATGGTTTGCTTCACTGAATAGGTGGTCATGCATCGTGATGGCCACATGGATGATGGATTCTCAGTGGTCCGTGCCCGGGACGAGGAATCACGCTCAGCTGTTATCATCCGCAAGAGCACATCTCTCTTCCATCACTTCTTTAGGTCAGTCCCCACCATGCAGCCAGTGCATGGTTCCATGGCACACTGGTGCTGTGTTCAGTGTCAAATATATTGGGCACTGTCAGTGACACATGGTGTACACAAATAGTAATTGCATACTAGGCAAGCTTGAACGTTTTATACATGTAAATGTCAAAAGGTATGAGATAAAGGCAGATAGAGCCGGCAACCATGGCATGGACGTAGACCATTTTTATGCTGTTTAGAAAGAATTCCTGTTTACTTTATGAGAAAATGAACCTTACTCTTCAAGCCTACAACATACATGTACATGTATGGTGTATGGTTGCTAACTAAATGCTTTCCCACTGCAATGATAGCCAGTCTCATGGGAAGTTAGGCATGTGGTTACATGGTACTTTGACATGTTTTGATTGGACCCCTATTCATGTCACCCTAAACAAGGCTTTGTTAGCTCCCTGTGGAGTAAAAAAAAAAAATTAAATGTTGTGCATTCCATTGATGAAGACAAAAGTTTTTACCTCTTGGAGGTAAAAAGTCGCTCATTCAGTTTGTTGGGTCTGTTGACAATGTAAAAAAGCAAAGAAATGAAGGTGCCCTCTCTTGTGGCTTATTTATGAGAAAACCAACCTTAACTCTCTGAGCCGAAGCTACATTATTGAACAAAGCTGACTCTTTTTGTCCACAGTGCCTTGGAGTCATTACGGACAGATGATGACGAACGCAGACAGTGGGAGAATTTCCCCCTGGAGTCGGTGACCGACACCTTGCGGGACCTGGTTGGGTACTTCGCCCTGCCTGGAGAAGAGAGTGGTAAGCATGACAAGGAAAGGAAATATTGCAAGAAGGAAATGTAGGAATAATTCAACCTAACCTAGCAGTTGTCAAGTTCGTTTGGCTCCACCTTGTCTGGCTTTGACAAGTCCGAGGCCAAACCTAGTAAATGAATTGTGAAAATCTCAAGTTGGTCCTGTCTTGCCGATGTACATTTATCATGCCCCCTCATCAGCTTCAACTCAACTCCATCCATCCAACACTGCTATTTTCCACCAGCCAGAGTTTAAACCAGACAAATGCCAGCCAACATGTTAATGGTCAGCACAGTACAGATCCAGTCCTTACTTGAACTGAACTTAACCATGCCCATTGAATGTATTCAAATCCAGCTTCACCAATCTTGGCCACCAAACCAGTCCATCACTCGCACCCATGTTAACCAAGTGAAACTTCTACATACCCAACTGTGCAGATTGTATCATTGCAGAAGTTAAAGATTTGCCAATGAAGTAGCTCCTATGGTAATCTTTGCAATGATTTCAGATCATGAAGAGAAGCAGAAGAAGTTGAAGGCTCTCAAGAACAGGCAGGACTTGTTCCATGAGGAGGTTTGAATTATTTTGTTATTAGCCTAAGAGTCTTTCTTTTTTTAAAATGAAACCGATACAACTATTTAGGAACAAGTAATGAGCAAAAAAAGGACTTAACTTGAAAAATGTGCCTGAGAGTGGGGAGAAATTTGACAAGAATTTAACAATCTTTCACAAAAATTGGCAAAACATTTCCCAGCCGGTGTTGTGGTCAGTTACATATCCACAAGTACTACTGCAGTCATGCACTGATGAATGATTAAAGTATGGGGCATAAGTAGTACAACACGGTCACTATATTAAGCAACGTTGTGACATTGGACTGGGATTTAGGCAAATTTTTTTTATCATTGTGCCGGTGGACGTTGCTCAGTACAGCTTCATCCATTTTTATTTCATGAGGCTCTAATTCAATGCATCTGCAATCATCACATTTTCCAATGCCAGCTTGAATTCTCTCTTCTTCAGGGAATGGTTAAGCTGGTCCTGGAAACCATAGACAAGATTAGTATATATAAGAGTGGGCGGGACTTTGCCACCATCGCAGGAGAGGAAGCCGGCCAGTCATGGGAGGACATTCTCAACTATCTGTACCAACTCTTGGGTGAGTTATATATTTCCACTCTCTGGAGGGAGTTGTATAATAAAAACATCTGACTCCCTGTAGGAATTCTTCCATGGACTTGTTGGACTAGATTGCAAGCCAGAAAGACATCAGGTTAAAACTGATGTTTATCTCCATTTCCTTGGCACCCATGGAGGCAAGTTGGGGTAAAGTGGCTTGCCCGAGGACACACCAAATGATCATGTCTGGATTGAGCCCCTTACCTTCTGATTATGAGTTGCAGACATACATGTAGCCACTGGGCTGCAGTTCTCTCCTTTGGGGTGCTCTGCCAACAAAATTAAAAGGATCCATAGAATTGAACAATTCTGTGATTCCTCACTGAGATCAGCTGAATGCAGTGTGAATTCTCAGGTTTGGATTTATTTAGGTTAATTCAGCATGTAAGTTCATCCTGTAGTTTTTACGTCACATCCAATAGGGTTCACAGACATCCATATGTGCTCTTTATAGGCGGGATAAGTTGCTCTTTAATTCGTAGAAAGTGTGACGTTAACCCATTCCTTATCTCCCCTGACAGCTGCCATGATCCGAGACAACCACAACAACTGTGCGCTGTTTGCTCAAGCAATCCGTCTCGACTGGCTGATACAGAGATTGGAGAGCCAGCAGGCATCCAAAGGTTAGTGAGAGCCTTGGCATTTTGGGGACAGACAGTTTTTTTTAGTAGGTGCTCAACTGTTACCAGAAAAGTTACACTGACCTGAAATTTCACAGCCCAGATGAGCTGATGCTTTGATGTAGTGTGGATTTATGTTACTGCATTACAGTGTTGAGCAAGGGCTACCTCTTAAATTATCAGCAACTTCATAAAAAAGATGGTGGTTCAATAAACAAACAACCTTGTCAGAACCCTTTCTCTGGAACCAGCTTGAAGTTCATCTTAGAGAGTCTAGGAATGTGGAGAGTTTTAAGACCGGGCTGAAGACGCACCTTTTCAAACAAGCATTTTTAGTTTCTTAGTATTGATTTTAATAATGGTACATGAAGGTTTTATTTATTTATTTATATTTTGATGTAGAGTACCTGGGAGCAGCTTGATGGATTGGGCGCTTTATAAATGTCAATTATTATTATTAGTATCATTATGAAATTGGGATGCCAATAGATGCAAAAATGGAACAATAAAATGGTTTATAACTTTTAAGCCGCAGCATGAAAATAACCATTAAAAAAGTATCAGAATGTTCAAAATAGACTATAAAAGCATTGAACAATTTACAAAGTATTCCCAGATCTGTCGCCAAATATTGTAATTTAATAAGCCTAAATGGGACCAACGCTGTATTTTGCAACAGGCAAAGAAAAACCCTGGCAATGTGGCTGGTAAGCCATGAGATGCAAGTTCTAAAAGTGGAGACTGACTTTTCTTGGCTGAGCAGCCCCATGAGGGTTAGCTTACACCCTATATTGACCATGTCATGCCTGATAATACCTAAACACACAGGGAATCCTGTGTCAAAATGCAGAGGATGTTTTAACGCATTCCAGTTTGAGTGATTCTCAGTGAGTTTGTTCACACACACAGGCTTGAAATGGTCCTTGAAGGTTGAGCCTGTATGAGCCTTCAAGCGATCCCGTCCCGGGCCATGGCTGGGTGCTGTGGCAAAATCATTGCAACATGCGATAAGAAAAGTTGCACAAATCTTACACAAATGACAACCAGGGGTTGTAAAGTCCAACTTTCTGACGGACTGATGCGGAATTTTCAAAGTTTTTGCCAATATAACATTTATGTGAGGAATTAAAATGTTTGTAATTTGAAAACATATTCATAGGTGTTCTGGAAGTTCTTCACTGTGTTCTAGTGGGAAGTCCAGAAGCTTTGAACATTGTCAAAGAGCAACATATCAAGTCTATGATCTCACAGCTGGAGAAACATGGCAGGGACCCAAAGGTAAGTAGGAATTCTGGGAAATGGATGATTAACAACATAAGCATAGCGACTATTGGTTGTTAAGAGATCTGAATTTAGTTGATTTTCCTTCACTGAAACACAAGACACATGGCAGGAATATAGTGATAAGTGGGAAATATAAAAGATGAATAAGAATAGATTGAGGTGTTTGACTGCAGGCTGTGAACAAATTTGAATTCTTTAGCAATTATTTGTGTGAGGTTCATTCCTTGCTTCAGTAGAGTGATGCTGGCTAAACTGATGTCTATGGTTGAAATTAGTGCCTTTAATATGGCTCAGATCTGTGCAAAATATGAAAATTTGATTCTCTCTGCCTTAAAGGTGGGAGACGTTACCAACTCTTCAAAATGTTAATATAGATGGTTTTGTACATCTTTCTGTAATGTTTTTATTCATCAAAGGTGCTGGATGTCCTGTGCTCTCTGTGTGTCGGAAGTGGCGTGGCAGTACGAGCCAATCAGAACCTCATCTGTGACAATCTGCTGCCCTCACGGGACCTTCTGCTGCAGACGGCCGTCGTAGATGAAGTCGCAAGGTTTGACTTGATATTCTGTGTCATTTTGAATTCTGTGTTGCATTTATCCTCTCAGTGTTGAAAAGGAAAAAGAGCCAGTGCTGTTGTGTGTCTATGCTAGGATATGTCTTCTTGTGACGATGTGACAAGGTTGTGCTCATTCTGACAAAATACTCTAGGTATTCAAATCAAGCCAAATGCGCAAACCATCTTTCCACATTTTAATTCCTTGAATTTCTGTTCCACAGTATGAGACCCAACATTTTTGTAGGTCTTTCTGAAGGCAATGCCGTCTACAAGAAATGGTACTATGAGGTGTCCATCAGCCAGATAGACGGCGCCACTCCCAGACCGTTCAAGTTCCGTGTGGGCTGGGCTAACACGAAGGGTTTCTCCCCCTCCCCCCGGGGAGGTGAGGGGTGGGGGAGCATAGGCGTAGGCGACGATCTCAGCTCTTACGGGTTTGACGGCTTAGGCCTGTGGACAGGTTGGTGTTTAATTTTTTTTGAAGGGGGAGGGGTTTTCCTGTATTGCAGTCATTGTCTTTATTGAGGGTATTTTGTTTCAACCACTTGCTGCCGGGGAGCCTGGTTTCGGAGATGTCCGAAATCGGATGAAGGGAGCTGGGCCCTGTAACGAAAAACCGTACCGGGAACAAAAGACCGAGCTGCTGAGAATTGCCAACATTTTTTCAGTTGTCAATAGCAGAGGAAATCAATCATTGTTTTGAATGATTATACCACTGTTTTTGGTATCAGCATGAGTGGATTACCACCGAGGACAAAAGTGCCCCAGCGCTCCAGGGGTGAGCGATACAATACTGCTGCATGCTAATCTGGTCTGCATTTGAAAAGATGCCAGCAGCGCACTGGGTCAGTTTGGGGAACAAAGAATTATGTAACACCACACAATGTGGACGCTCTTTTGAAAGCGGCAGGTCTGGCTGAAATATTCAGCCGTCAATAGATGTTGTCTGTCAGATTAGAGTAGCCACCAGACAGTCATTCGTGTGGGTGTAAACGTCCAGTAAATGAAGTAATGAATTTCAAAGAATTTTGAAAATGGAAAATCTTGAAAATCCCCCGGATATATGTCATGCAACTTCAAATTAAACCCGGCAGCATATGTTTAAAGGTTTGGAGCCAGTCAGCATCCCTTTGAGGTTAATTTGATGATTTATAATCAGAAGACACAATCTTTAATTATCAGGTTCATGGCATTGCCAGTGTGGTTGTGTCGATACCCCAGGTGTGATTCCTTTCCACGTGGCATTTTTTGGTCCGTGCCTGCCTTAGAGGAATTTGCTGAGTGTGGCAATCACATACCAGTATGGATCCCAGAAATTGAGTCTTAAGGCCATTTTGTTGAGTAATTTTGTTTTGGTATGCATTACAGGGAGCAAACTGTGCCTTTTGTTTAGATGTATCGCTCCATTTGGCATCCTGATGAAAATTGGCACCGAGTGCTCGAAAATTTTTGAGGGCTCCACTTGATTGTTATCGTGCATGATTAATTAAAGCCCTTTAATTCAAAGGTGCTTGTAGCAACTGGTGTTTGTCAAAACAACAATAAAAATTGGCACCACCGGATTCAGCTTTTCTGCACTGTAAACATCTCATTCGATGGTTGAAGCTGCAAAAAGCAATGATTCATGTTGTTTCTTAAGGGGGTTGCTGCAAAGCAGCCTCTTGGAATGGTAGCAGGCCCCTCATGAAAGGGGACATCATTGGCATCTGTTTCGACTTCAGCGGTCCTACAATCCTCTTCCACGTCAACGGCAACCCGGTCAAGGCAGCCTTTGAGGCTTTCGACCTGGATGGCATGTTCTTCCCTGTTGTGACCCTGTCTGCAAATATCACGTAAGTTGACTGCCAAACTTAGGTGGGTGCAGTGGTTCTTTCCTAGTCACTCACGTCTGCAGTCCACATGTGGATTGGGTATTCAGTTCCTATCTTATTCTATTGGTTTTCCTTCTACCTTTCAAAGTATAGCTGCTTCTCATTGGCTCTGTACAGGCCTCTTCTTGAGACAAATAAGCCAAAAATCTATACTTTTCCCAATGACATTCTCAATGCACATGGATACACCCGAGGCCTTGAACTTCAAATGTCCTGAGCAAAACAATGTCAGGTCCAATAAAAACTTCAGAGATGTACTTGTAATCAGTGTCGATACATGACAAGTTTCAAAAGGAACAGGCGAGTGACAGCCAAGGTCTTAATGGGTTTGTCTCCCCCCCCACCATAAGATGGTCCAAGACACTTGCTCTTTAAGAGTTTGCCTCCTTGAAGTGTTCACCAGTCTCAATGTTGCCTTACCCTTCTCCATGCAGCGCTCACATTATCCTTGGTGGCAAACAAGGGCGCTTCAAGTACACGCCCCCAAAGGGCTTTGCTCCCGTCTACGAGTCCCTCATGCCCAAGGAAGAGCTGAAGATTGAGAGGTGTTTCTGCATTGGCGACCTTAAGGAGGGCATCGTGACGGGCCCCAGTCCCAGCCGCGATCACGCCAACTTTGTGCCGGCGCCTGTTGACACTCAGAATGTGAGTCATTTTTTCCTTGAGTAATATGCGAGGGAATCCAGTATTGTTCATTATTTGTCAATTACGTACCAGTTGCATTAAAACAAAAAGAATCAAACTTATGAAAAATAATGTGCGTTTTCTCCAATATATAAATTTAAGCTCACAAAGCTTCTTGTGCCAGTATTGCACTGAAGTTGAGCGTGGTCATTTTTCAATTGAAATTTCTTCAGCTTTGTTCTGCTGAGGTCACAGTTGTTTTTCTCTTCTGTTCATGTCAGTTCTTGTATACCTATTGGCAAATTTGTCATTGTGAATATAACATAATGAAATGATTGTAAAGATCAAGCTTTCCCCTTTTTGGTGAAAAATTGTATGTTTAGGGTTGTAAGATTGCATCAAGCCAGTTTTGACATGATGTAAGAAATAACCCGGATGCATTCTTTCTGCAAATCTGCTCCAGGTGGTTCTTCCAGGTTACATAGAAATGCTTCGAGACAAACTGGCTGAGAATGTTCATGAGCTGTGGTGCATGAACAAGATAGAAGCAGGCTGGAGCTGGGGACCGGTGAGTGTGCAGTATGGTATTGGCACTGGTAGAGGATAGGATGTGCTACTGTTATTGCTCTCCTTGCCGTTACACTGCCTAAATACTGAAGTTGCAGTCAGTTTTGCCTCCGTTGTCCACTTTTTGGTTTGGTCCCTTTGTATTTATTGTCATTATGGTTGTTTCATTTGAATTAAAAACAGCCCAAAGGCTGAAAGCATTCAAATTTATAGCAGGTAGATGTAGTTAAAAACATTAAACATACAATTGAAACATCAAAATCATAATTTAATACATACAAACTATGCTTGAAATATAAACAGTAAAAGAGACTATAATGTGAAAATGTGAAAGTGAAATAGGCCTATGCCACTTTGTTGTGATTAACCTTCAAAAGAAAACAATACTTGTGATTAAATTCTGGGAAACAATTTAAATTAAATACAGGTAAAGAAATTATTTGTGAAAGTGCAGAGCATAATGTGCATATTATTCATTTTTCTTTCTGCATTTGTAAATGAATTTTGTTTTCTGTCTCAGGTCCGCTCTGACACCAAGAAGACCCACCCTTGTCTGACATTCTTCCACAGCATGACAGAGGAAGAGAAGAACTTTGACAGCACCATGGCTTATGAGACGCTACGGTAAACTTTGGCATACTGCATTCTGTAGATTGAAATGATTTAATATTCAGATATTAACCACAAGGAGTGGCATAGTAGAACAGGGCTTTTCTGAGGTCATGTCTTAGCTCATTTGATGGCAAAATATAACCTTCTACCAATCACCACAAGAAACTGGTTTTAAACTTTGTTTCGCCACGCTTTCACCCGTAGAGTGTGCATAGTTTGGGAGATGTCCGAATCATTAAGCCAAAACTGATCCAAGATGGAGAGTTTGGTTTCTTTTGGTTGAAATGCTGTTTTTCCATCCGTAATGTGTAAATGACGAAGGACATGCACTTTTGACAAATCGGGTCATTCAGAAGTTGGATCCCACAGAATGAATCCATTTCTATAAAAATTATTCAACCGTCCAGTAAATGTAATTATTCTCATTTATCATTCACAGAACCCTGATTGCACTTGGATACCACATTAGCATCGACGAGGAGTCATCCAAGGCAACGCTCAAGAGGCTCCGCCTACCCATGAAGTGAGTGATACATTGCGACAATCAGACTCATATATTGGTGCCCAGCATTCCACACTGTATTGTCTAAACCAGCAAAAGGGCAGTTCTACAAAGCTTGAAAACAAGCTACCGGTACCAGTGTCATTTCAAATGGTTACCTCCGTGAAATCTGGTCTGTTTAGCTCATAAGGATTCCCAGGCTCTGGTGCCACAGTTAATTGTCATTGTTAGCACCAAGTCCTTTGCAATACAGACAATGCATCAACATTTCATCAGAGTCTGAATTTCAGACTTCACAGCTTCAGAAAGAAACCTGTGGAGTTTATTACTAACTGCCTTGTATTGGATTTAACCCCTTTGCGACGGATGACGGTAAGAGCCGCTGTAAAAATTGAGATCCTCAGCCCGCTTTTCAGCTATTATTCTCGGCCCACGCTCAAGTGAACACGGTGAAAGAAGGCACACCTTGGCTCTTGTATATATGGTGATGGGCCTTTGTGTGTTGCCAAGAAAAGAAAAGGCAGAATTTCCATCATAATCATCAGGTTCTGTTCTACCCTATTCTTGAAAAGTTCTAAGAACGGGGAAGATTTCCAATGGTTGCGCAGTAAGCGTGCAAGAACATTATGAAACATGGTCATCCTCTACAGAGTGATACACAAAATAAGATCTTGCGTGTAACCAGTTTTTGTCCATTTTACCAGCTACGTCATGTCCAACGGCTACAAGCCCGCCCCCTACAACCTCTCCACCATCACCCTCAACCCCAAGATGGAGAAGCTAGTGGAGTTGCTCGCCGAGAATGCTCACAACGTCTGGGCCAGAGACCGCATCAGCCAAGGCTGGACCTATGGCCTCTCAGATGTGAGCCAAAGGCAGAGATATCTTCTAAATTGTCATTTACTGTGGCAAGCAATTGAGCGTATAGCCTTCTGAGTACATGTATATTGTTTCTGATCACTGGGACCTTTCTTGACTACAGCATTCAACTTCATCCTCATTTGCTCAGCATACATATGTTCAGGCTATAATACTGTGTACTGTATTTTGTAGTCGAACATGTTTTTTTTTATAGTTTTTATTTGTCTCAGTTGTTGGACTGAATGCCAAAGTGAATCAAACAGTTGTAAAACCGTGTAAATTTCACACACGTGTGTATTCATTCATTGGAAATTCACTTAAAGTATGATTAGCATTATGTGAATTTCAGTCATTTTGTCTCAAAAGTATTTCTGACTTTGGGTGTTAATGGTGCACTGTGTTTCTTGAAAGATGTGTTCTGAAGAAACAAGAATACAGCACTGCTGGACAATCCTTTTTGTGATTATGGATCTTCTGTTTCACAGAGACAGTGAAGCAGTCAGCACAGCAAAAGCTACCTCAACCATGGGGCAAAAAAGTTGCTCAGTCAGTGACGTAACGATGCAAATCTTCACGTGCATGCAACTGTCGACGCATTCAAGTCGCGAAATAGCGCTTCAACAGCTGCAGGATTTTCCGTTTATTGGAAGTACCGCTCTCATGCTGTGCTGTAAAATTGGGCCCTGAACTGACTGTTTATTCTTTCCACTGTTTACACCGTCTTCCAGGACTCTACATACAAGCGCAACCCCCAGCTGGTGCCTTACAGCCAGCTTGATGATGCCTCCAAGAAGCTCAACCGTGACACCGCCAGCGAGACCGTGCGGACCATCCTAGGGTTTGGCTACACCCTGGAGGCACCACCAGACAACCAGGAGTCAAGCTTTAGAGGTAAGGAGATTGAAATCAGGTAGTTCTTTTGTAGCATTTACATTTCTGGAACTGGTCAACTCGTGGAAGACTATTACACTGAATACTCTTGTCAGCCATCTGCTGTCCATGACAAATCCCTGCAAGTCCATCATGAGTCCATCATGAGTCCATCATGAGTCCATCGTGAGTCCATCATGGGTCCATCACAGGTCATCCAGTCTCAAGCCAAGTCGCAAGCTATTCAAACGAACATCCGACATAAGCATTTATTTGTTATTGCTTGCTCATTTATTTCAGAAATGTCTTTTGAACGGACTAGTGATTGTATTTGTGAAGGGATTCCTGAAAGGACTGGTTATGAATTGACTACATCACTGCTACTGTCAACCCAAATAGTTCTCTGGTGCCAATTTGGTTGAGTTGCTGAGCTTGGAAGTTTGTTAAGCAGGGAAAATGCTTGCTCAGAAAAAGGTCACCAATTTCTCACTAAGTACCTCCAAAATATTGGATCCTGCTTCCCACACTGCTTCCTGCAAGGAGTTTCTCTGTACTTGACACCAAGTCACTTGTTGCATTGGACAGGATGAGTATGGTGACTTAGCATCGTAACTGCTGAACAAGTATATTTTATTCCTCTAACTGCTTCAACCATCTTTGAGTTGCGGAGGTTGTCTTATATGTTGTCAATCAATCCACCGAGTTTTTTACACCAGCGTCATGTTTCTTGCAGAAGCCAACATCAGCTCCTGGTACTGAAGATGCTCTATTGGTTTCTGTTATATTTTCCATTTGTTTTCCTGAAGGTCTTGTACGGGAAATCTCGGACACGAAGCAGAACACGAGAACCTTCCGTGCAGAGAAAACATATGCAGTGACCTCTGGCAAATGGTAAGGTGTCATGTTGTTCTTGCTGTTCATATGATGTTCAGAACTATTCATAAGTACACATTACTGAAATAGGTTGCAACAACCATTTGACTAAGTATTTTTTGTCAATACAATTGTTGAAAATGATGTTGAGTTTATTGTGCAATTATGCCTTCTGGTACATTCTGCATTAAATCTGTGTGAAGCTCTAAAGGTGGCTGGATTTCCTATTGTAAAGATGTGTAAACCTTTGTTCTTGGCAGCATGCCACAACAAACATGAATCTTGATATGACCTTATTGCTGTCTTGTATCTTGTACTGTTTCCCGGTTGCATCACTTCAAATTACGGAGCAGTGAAATCATGCACAGAAACACAGCCTGAGTGACAAAAATACGCAAAAAATGACAATTTGGGGAGTAAGTGTCACCCTGTTCAGAAAACTGTTTTTTTACCTAGACAATAAAGTTTTGTACGCATAAAATCCTATTTGTACGCATTCAATAAGATATTTGTTGTGCAATCCGGTGAACATTCCCGATATGACTCCATCCTCGGTTCTTGTGAATCGTCACTCATACAGTGCATTGCCCATCTCCTGAAGACTTTGCTTTTGAGGGCCAAAATACCAAGAATTGTGCAAGATGTTAAATGAAGTGTCCATAATCTGCAGACATTGTGGAGTTTGACCCTCATTTTTGCAGGTATTATGAGTTTGAAACCCTGACTACCGGTCTGATGCGGGTGGGATGGGCACATCCCTCCATCAGTGCTGATGTGGACCTGGCTACAACCGGCAAAGCATATCTCTTTGATGGGTTCCTGGTAAGGATTCACAGACCAAGGGTTTTTGTGTGTGTCTATGTTTTTACCTTAAAACATTCTGACCCCCCCGAATCCAAATGCAAGATTTAAAACTCAAATAAAATTCGTTGTTTTTTGGCTTCGAAGCATGTTTAAAAATCAACATTTTTGGGGCATCTCTAAAAGAGAGTGACTGACAGTGCTTACAAAATTATACTGGCAAAGCACGAATGTAATATCAAAACAATGCGACATTGCTGTGAGAAAGGGTTTTTGGGGGAGCGTTCTAAGTCAACACATACTCGAAGTGTGAATTCTTTAACATTATATTACTGGCTGAAACAGAAGTTAGGAACTTGTTTGAGTAGATCTTTGATGTTGGCTCTTGAGTTTTGGTAAAGCTGCCATTTCCCAAAGAGACTTAAAAGAATGACAAAATTAGAATGGCTGAGAATGCTCTTTAAAGTGTTACAGAAATTGAAAACATTTAGTTCACATGAAGTATTTCAACATAACAATAAATACGTAACCGTTTCAAAAACATCATAAATTTAATGTTTACCCCATTAATTGTGACCCCAAAATGAATAAAAAGATTGTGCGTTTCCCCGCCCACAAGACAGTGTTTGCCTGTGGGCCAAACTACATCAAACACAATGTGGTCTGTTGCAAGCGTGCGATACTGCATGTTTTTTGTCCTGAGCCTGATACTTGACGTGAACTAAATGTTTTCAATTTCTGTAACCCTTTAATGCTTGAGGGAACAGAAGAGACCTTCATAAAAGAGAACACTGCAAGTCTGTAAGATATTTACAGTGATAATTTGAATTTGGTTTAATCCAGGCTCGAAAGTGGCACAACGGCTCAGAAAATTTTGGCAAGACTTGGCGTTCAAATGACGTGATTGGATGCATGCTGGACATCACACACAGGACAGTCAGTGAGTGCAATCTGATATTTAACAGGAAAAATAAGGGGATCAGCGTTATCGTCACCAACAGCCTGCCATGCCTGCTAGGTTTCCTCCGCAGTGTTGTTACGCAAATAGCATGTCCAACATAAATATAAATGCAAACGGTTCTCAAAAATTTACACGAATGCTTTTGTATGGATAACTTTATTGCTTAGTTGATCATTGAAACCAACCTCTGCCTCTGGTTTGTGATCATCGGTTTGTGTACCACAAGCTCTGCATAGCACTTGGTAAACAAGTGAAGTGGAAATTGACTTTGTAACTGTTAACTTTGGTTCAAACCATAATTTTTCTTTCTTTTTTTCTGAGGTTTTACCTTGAATGGTGAGTTTCTGACGGATGCCAGTGGTTTGGAGACGGCTTTCAGAGATATTGAAGTTGGAGAAGGTAAGATGGAGTCCTCAGCTTTATTTAGTGAAATTTTGCATGATAACTGATATAATTTAATCAGTCATCCTTCATACAAGTTGACCGAATTGAGTTTCCTTATGTAGAGTACGCCATTTAATCTAAGACCATTTCATATGTGTATTGGGAAAAAAGTCGACACCTGTGAGCTTAGCAGCATTCTCTTTGTACAAGAATTTGATTGTATTTTTGGATTTATGTGAGTTGAAATTTTCAATAAAAAAACTGCAACGAGTTTGTTAATGACAAGTCTGAGCCTACACATTTGTGTACACGTTGTGCTACCCTTTAATAAATGAAAGATTAGTCAATGGGGAGAATTCAGCCAAGTTGAGGGGCGCCCTCTCTAAGGCAAATGCTTGAAAGTGCAGGTTGTTGGGAATTTCTCCCAGTGAGTTGAATTCTCTAATTGATAACTTTGAATTCTGTAATTGACATCTTGCGGTGTTTCTGTTTTTTTCGTAGGTTTTGTTCCAGCTTTTACGCTAGCGTCTGGCGAGCAGGCAAAGCTCTGCTTTGGTCAGGTATGTTCACCTTTGTTATTAACTTCTTTCATTCCTGCATTCAGGATTTTTAGGATTGGGTGTAAATAAAGTATGCAATGACAGCAAGCATTTTCATGAAAGGAATTTCTTGCCATGCCACATTCAGAGTTTTAGCTACATGCACCAGTGGTTGGCATCAGGTGGCGGCACTTAATTGCAGAGGCGAAAGGATAATTCAAGAAATGTCAAAAGATCTTTTGCAACTATCACAACACCAATTAATAAATATTGCAAAGTATGCACTACATGAAAACACTTCTCTTTATGGCAAATATATGTATTTTGGCCGAACCTGTTACTAACAGAAAGCCCATCAGAGTGGTACGCAGTTTAAGAAAAGTCAATTCTGCAGAATAAGAGACCTATAATCACACAGTCCACTGCTACTTTTTTTCCTTATCTGTTCCGCAGGACCTGAATCAGCTAAAATACTTCACTGTCTGCGGTCTGCAGGAGGGATATGAACCGTTCTGTGTGTAAGTAGCCGATAAACCAATACACAAATCCAGGATAAACAGAATTTCTGAAGCATAGTGATGAGTTGCAGATGTTTGGAACAGAACATACTTGGAGAAGATTTCTTACCAAGCCAATTGTGGCTACATTGTAAGCTTTGAAATACATTTAATTAAAATGTGAAACAACTTCACAATTGATGGTTTTTCTGTTGGTCTTTAACATTTGTCTTTGCACAAATACTTCAGGATTACTTAGTTGCATGGCGCTGACAGAGTTCATGTTTGATAGATTTTTGTGGTGAAGTTGGAGCTGTTTTTAATTCATTTCCTGAGGATAGCATTGTTGACAACTATCATCTACTTAATCTGAATTGTTTTTTTCTCCTGGCTGTGGTCACATTTGTGGTTGAACAAAAATCATCCTTGGTCTCTTTCGGCGAGCACACTCAAACAAGCAACAAGTAAATCAAAGGACAAACAGACTTCTGAGGCGGTGTGTGAATGTTGTGGCTGCGGCTGGAAATTAACATGTGCACCCATGAAAACCACTGTTTAGTGGCTGTTGCAACTTGACTTTTGAGATGTTCCTGTAGGATGCACAGCGCCCTCAACAATCAGTGTTTAGATCAGAAGCAGGCATTTCAGTGATTAGTCCCCCTCCGCCCCAAAAATGGTTGCCCCGTTCTTTTCCACTCATCAATTTCTACACCCATATGGAGGGAAAACTGTGGAGAAGGGTACCACATAATTAAGGCATATTTTGAGGCTGTGTCCAAAATGGCTATGGCTACATGCATGTCTGTTGTCAATGCATTCCTTGATATGGTTTCTGTTAATAACTCCTCATCCACAGGTTCTGTACATTGATTGGCTTAGTGCCAGTCACATGGCATTTTTTTCGTTTTCTTTCGCTGTCTTGCTTTCCACGGCAAAAATATTATTAGCAACGAAAGAACTGTATGTACGACTACCAGCATTGGAGGCAATTACTGGTGTGTGCATTGCGCGTCTTGCGCATTCCGAAACATTAGCACTGCAGCAGAGCTGTTTTCAAACATTTTGTGAAGAGGTAGATTGGAAAAGTGCTCCTAAATTTCCAACAAATTTTTTCAGTTATCATTTCAATCGAGCAGAATCTGCAGGAGGGGAGTTAGAAAACAAACACTGACTTTTTATTTTGTGGTGCAGTAAACCCAAGCTCCCTCAACCTCGCCCAGGAAAAATAGAGTGCTTCAAGGATTACCTTGAGAGGCTAGTTTTGCTACACCACTCAGCACAGAAATTTTGGGCCACACCTGTTAAGCAGGGAATTCATAGTTAATAGATCCATAGTAAATTCATCACCAACCCATAAAATATGCTGATCACTCGTGCAGAATTGTGCACTGTACTACTCAGCAAAGATTCTGGGCTTGAGATAAAGCAAAAGTGTGAAATACGGCTGGTGTTTAGATTAGGCATCACCAAGGATTTTGCTTCTCCCCAGAAGAACTGACAATAACATCTCATTGTGCTGTTTTTTTGTTGGGAAACTAAAAAACCGTTCACACTCAACTGGTGTTTATATTAATTCTTGCCATCGGAACATGTTTATTAGAGTATTAACATTTTGCACAGGAACCTTGGAATCCCTAACATTGATTTTAATTTGGAAACCCTCTTTTCTCATGTACCTGTCTTGTCTGACTTCTGTTCTTATGCCCCCCCTGGTGTTTCTAGACGGAATGCATTCATCAAAGGGTATGTGTTTACGAGGCAATATCATGCTGTGATCAAACAAATAAAAACAAACAAGACTCTTATATATAATACCAGAAGCAAGATGTACCAGTTAATCCTTGTCATATGTACAGTTTGTTCATAATGCCAACATTTTATTTATAAAGTGATTCCATTTTTAAACCAAAGTTTTTCTCTGTGCATGCAAACAATTTTTTAATGAATTTGACTATTCATTCAAATTAAAATTCTTCCTTGAGTTCAACAAAAGGTGTATGGCAGGTTTTTATTGATTCTATGAATTTAACTTTCTTGTAAGCCAGAAGAAACTTTGTTGAACTTGTAAGCAAATGAAGAGCTACTTGCAACTCTTGAAAATGATCCCAGCTTGAGTGTTGCCTTCACAACATTGTCATTAGTTGGAGGCGTAAGATGGTGTTGGTCATCGATACATGCTTGTCATATCACCCAGCATCAGTGGCTTTTTCTTTGTTGGTCATCGTCCTTGCACGTTCTCTGCACATTGTCATGTTCACCTGTGTCCTATCACTGTGATTACAAATTGAAAAAAAACCTCATGAAGAAAAAGTATCATTTATTCCAAGTCAAACCTTACTTCTGATTGGTGGAAGTTGTTGAGAAGTCATTCATTCCATTTTGGGATATCCCTAAACTCATTTACAGAAATCTGTCACATTCAACTTAAGGTGAACATTAAAGTAATCTTGTGTGGGGTGTCCGAATTTTCCCTGATGTGAGTGAAACTAGATCATGGCAGTTTTGGAAAGTTGAGCTCTGTCAAGGGTTCTGCGTTCAATTTCATCCATTTTCTCCCATTAATTGAGACCCTATGGCCCAGTGCTGCCTTACTTCTTCCACAGGGACATGTTCCATAGATTTTTGATCTGTTTCCAGTGGCTTCAGTGATTCTAGAACCTGCATGAACTGGAGGCCAGCAATGAAGCTGGACTTTGGAAAATGGCCTATACTTTGCAAAGGTTGAGCATTGCCCATCATAAGTCCCTGTCACAGGTCCAATCATAAGTCCTTTCACAAGGCCAGTCTCAAGTGACAGAGTAAATAGTGACTGTAAGGAAGTCATAATTCATTAAAGTAGCTTGATTTGATTTGCCACTGGATAGCTACTTGCAGGGATTGCAATAGACTGCAATGGATGCTGTTCTACATCTCCTAATCAACAGCTTGCAAAAAACAATCCTGAAATCATATGAATATAAATGCCAGAGATGTAGTATTCCAAGCTGCAGTACAGGGTGTATCAGAAAAAAGTAGATTCTCAGAAAAGCTGCCATAAAAATGACACAGGACCAAGTTTCACAAATCTGTGTGTGCCCGTTGGTGAAAGAAGCAGTTCTGCTTTGATTGATGCCAGTTTCACGGTTCGCATTTCATGCTTTAATGAGCACAGGAAGTTTGAATTTTGGAAAATTAAAGTCTTGCGCAATGGTGTATGAGGGTTAAAATTCATCGAGAAATGTATGCGATGTTAATCCCTTTCTGCTTGGTAATGATACACCCAGAAATGAGATTGTTTTGGTGTCGATCGTTGGGAATTAAAGGGTTGAATATTTTTTCAAATTTTTGTGAGCAAGGAAAACTACTTTTTAAACTTTTTATTCAATTAGGCAGATCACATTTTAAAGACTTTTATTGTCCATAATTGAAACTTCCGCTGTTCACTGAAGTGTGAAATGTAAACCACAAAACTGGCATCAGTCAAAGCAGAGCTAGCCCCTTCGCCAGTGGGTACAACCAGACTTTTGAAACTTGGTCCACTGTCATTTTTATCTTTATTTTTCTGAGAGTCTGCTTTTTTCGGATACACCCTCTAGACCTGTGTAACACTGTCTTGCCAGTGTTAAGTCAAACATGGGTGAAATGAATGCTGTTACACATTTGTGAAAGGATTGCCCCGTTCAAATCAAGGCACACGGTCAAGCTAGTCTTAAGTCTCACAAGTAATACAGGTCAATGAACAACTCTGTAGGGGACTCCTTTACATAGAGATAAATCAAATTTGTTCAGATTGGGCACAAATTCCTAGGTTGTGTTTTATATGGAATGGTCTTTTAATTTCACCAGTTCATCACGTCTCCTTGCTTACGTCATCACTGTGTGTGTGTATCTTTGTGTCATACCATTCTACAGGCATGTCCGCACACTCTGTCACGGAATGCGTCACTGTGTCATTCAGTCACCGTCCGTGTAGAGCCTGACCGTGCGTCCATCGTGGATGTCCTATTAAAGTGTACTCACTCCAAATTCTTTATCAACCTCAAAGCTGTAGTTTGAAGGAAGTTATTGTAATTTAAGCCTGACCTCTCTTCATTCATGCTTGCTGTTCTGTGCTGGAATGTCTATGCAGTATCTTCAAGTGTATAATCCCCTCAGCAAAACTGTTCATTTGCTTAGTCAGATGTCCGACGCAGGACAGCGTGTCATCCTAAGGAATATAAGCTTTCACCTGCACTGTGAGAGTCAGCCAAAATTCTTGGAGCTACCAAATTGAAACCAAAGCTTGGCAAATGCTCCAAGCAAACTTTTTTCAAAAATAAGTCACAAGCAATTCACAGCATTTTTGAAGGATGCTAGTAACCTGTTTTCTTGCTAATCAAATATTTTCCATGCTAAGCCAATTCTCCAAATTTACAAACTCTTTGAAATTAGTCCGTGCCAATTCTGATCCACGTTTATGTAAGTGGATGAGAAGCCACTGAAGTCTTTTGCCTTGTCCCTGGAGAGTAGGCCACCGAGTTAACTGGAAATTGAACCATATCAGGACAGGCACCAGTTTCTTAGGTTTACACCTTAGTGATTCTTTCCTTTGGTAAGTCTTTGCTTTATAGGCCACAAATAAGCAGTTGACTCTGCATGGGATGTGTCTTGGTTCGTGCATAAACATCAGATTAATCTAACTCTATGTCATTGATCATCATATTAAGAAATTGTGTGTTTTTCTGGCTGTTTCTGACTTTTACCAGAGTTCAGACTAGCATTAAATCTTCAACTGTTCTTGCACAAAGCCTATAAACCATTGCGTGAGAGTTGATAGACGAGGTCAATTCCCTTTGAATACTCCTGATTATATGTCAAACATCTTCATCTCTGACATGTGTGGAACTTTAATATTTTCAGGGTGATTCTTTCAAGGCCCCTCTTCCATTGCAAATGCTGAGCCAGATTGAGACACAAATGACAATATAAGCATTTGTAATAAAGCCTGACAAAAGTGAACAACCTGTGCCTAATTACTGCCAAATCAGCACCAGGGACAGCGTTCACCAGGTTTAGCACTATGCAACAGTCCACGGAGCTGCTGTATCCTGTGATGACTCGTGGGGTCACATGACCCCACGACCTTTGTACCCTTTAGGTCATTGCCGGTTTCCCTCATTTGCATTGTGTTTTGGCTATGGTCTCCTTAAAGTGATTCTTCTCAACATTCCATCTCCTAAAACTCAACTGATGAAAAATAAATTCAAATGACGTACTTTCATTTTCTTGCAATCAGTAACCGTGCACATTTTTCACTGCATTTTTCATGCATGCCATGATAGAGATGTTACCATCAGACGAATTCCTCCATGTAGATGCTCATCTTGTATTAGCATTCACCAGTATTGAATTTGTTTACAGTTTTTTCATTTCTGAGGTCACATGACAGCACTCCGTAGTGTTGATTGTGCTAATGTGGCATGCAATCCAGTGTGTTCAACATCATCGTGGAGCAATGTTGTTATGTAGTTATTCATGCCAGTAGATAACAATTTACTGATTTCCTTATTTGTTCAGCACAACAGCAGCAAAAAGGAAAAAAGACACTAAAAGGGACACATTCTTTAAATCCTCATCTGAAAGGATTTAAGGATGTAACCTATAACCTCTAATCTTATGATGCATGCATGAGCTTTACACAGTCTGTGTACATCAATGCTAGTTGCGTTGTTGATGTAAATACCCAAGAGGAAATTTCAGACAGACACAAGTATTTTGTCTCCACTAATACATGAAAACCACACATGTGTTATATTTCAGTTGCTGCATAGGGACTCGCCAAAGTCCCTGCAATCCATTCCAGACTTTCCTTACCCTAAAATCTCCCCACAAAAAAAGCTGAGAGGTTTGAGGTTTGCGCATACATGTACCTCAAATAACTCAAAACGGGCAAAATCTTTCTGTCTTCGTTGATTAAACTGCAGAGGCCTTCTTTTCTAGTGGCATTTTGATTAAAAGCTCCAAAGCGACCCCCCCCAAAAGAAAGCAGGAAACTTTTGCCTTTTTGTAAAAATATATTTAACTTTGGGTAAATTATTGGCTCAAATCTTGGTTATGTTCACCTGCCTGATAAAAGTATGTTCTGCGGATTTTCTATCCAAATGATTCAGTTGGAGTAAATAAAGTAAGCTTTTTGAATAAATCCTCTATACATGTGTGTTTTGTAATGGTACAAATTTATCTAACCACCCTGTAATGAAAAACCCTCCCCGGTATTGATTTCGACAGAAACATGAAGAAGACCATGCCACTGTGGTACACCAAGCATCAGCCAGTGTTCAAGTCAATCCACCAGGATCACCCTGATCTAGAGGTGACCAGGGTTCCGGCTGGGTGAGTGCAGGAAATGACCTTTGACCTGAGCAGAGCACCATAGCTGACTGGATCAGTTAAATAAGTTTAATTGAGGCAACAAATTTGGTCAGGGAACTGTGAGCGAAATGGATTTGACCTAGTCTGTTGAGTTTGACCGGATTTGGTCAAATTACAGCCTCAGTATGTTGCCAGATTCGGAATTTGAGAATGGCTGGTCCATAAAGTAACAAACAGGTCTCTGTATTTAGTTTATTCATTAAAGCCACACCTTTAAGTATTTAACATTCCTTTTCCTGTTATACCCAGCAAGAAATGAGACCGAGGGGTACTCCCCAACATGTCCAATCCCTATACACATTCCAGACTATTGTTACTTTGTAATAGCACATTCTTTCTGGGGGGTCTTGGGCCATGATCATTGTTGTAAATAACAATAGATTCCCGTAGAATGGGCCGTTCTCAGCAATCCACTGCTTCCGTGCACTTGGAGTTAGAATGTGTTTATAGTATTGAATGAGCATTTTGAAGAGCTCTCTGCCTGGGGACACTTCTCCTTCAGTTGGTGGTGGTCCTTTATTTTGTATCATGGAGTTTTGCTACCAGGAGATTGCTCTGGCCTGTTGTTTAAAGTTGTCGCCATCAGTCAGCTTTTTTCCTCCCCATTCACATGCCATTCTGGTGTGCAGCAGTTATGTAACTCTCAGACTGTACTGTGGGGCCAGTATGTTTGTAATATGCCTCTACAATTTACTTGGCTGTGGCTTGATGTCACCCGTGGAAGCTGCATGCCAGCGCTGGCGGCCATTTTCTGTATCAGTGTATATTACTACCCGTCATGGTTTAATAATTCAGATGTGGCTTACGGCATGACCTGAGTTGGATTACTGATGCACAGTAGACCATGATTTTAGCGTCTGTCCATTAAGACACATAAAAACAGCAGCAAGATCATTTTCCAAATATCTCAGTAATGAGGGGCAGTGAAAACATGACACCTAGCAGTGAATGCTTCCCTTGGTGTTAAGAAGGTAATGGTGTTTTCAAATTGGACAAAATTGAACGGATTTTGAAATGAATTTGGTTGACATCTGGCCACTTTGTGCTGCACATGAGTATGGGCCCAGGGTACAGAGGCAGTGCAGTACCTGGGCCCAATATTTCGGTCTGTATGTTTTTGGCATTAGATAAACTATATTATCTGGAGAATTAAGATTATTTCCTTTGGTCTTTTTCCCCGATACTAACATTTGCTTTTGCCCAGTGTAAAGTATTTTGTTGAGTTTGCGTTCTTTCCTGATGGGTGGGCGTGGCCCTCATAGGGGGGTCTTCATTACAGTAATTTAATTTTTAGACAATGGGGGTGCTAATCATCCTTTACTATAAGGATACAACTGATTCACGGTTAATATCCCAGGCAAGGAATTGAACCTGGGTCACAGGTGTTAGAGGCTAGCACGTTACATTCCAGCCACCGGTACCATCCAGATAACAGCAACTCTAAAGTTCTGAGTGACTTAAATGCTCATCATGAGGCAAACTCTTGCATAACTTTGAGGACATGTATATGAACCAGCCCAGCAAAAATAGTAACAAATTAATAGAGCCTATTTTGAGCAAAAGGGATTTAAAAGAATCATGTTTGTTATACATCAATAGGAAACTTCAAGATTTTCAACCTCATTATGACCATTTTCATTTCATTGTGAACTGAGTGGCACATCAAAACAGAACCCAGTTTATATTTTTTAATGCAAACTGAAATAAAATTGTTGAAAAAGATTCATTTTAGGGGCTCTGTTTGCTCATATTCATAAATTTTTCTTTTTGGGGGGAAGAAATGGGAAAATGGAGAGATAAGTAGCTGTTCTTTGTTCCCCTGTCCAGCATTGAGGGACCTCCTTGTCTACGAGTCTCCCACAAGCACTTTGGCTCCGTTGAGAATCAGCCATATGAGTACTTCCGTCTGAGAATGCCTGTTGAGTGTCGAGACTTCCCCACAGGGTGAGTATCCACCAGTGTGATATTTAATTTTAAAGCCCACTGCACACCTGACCAATTTGCCTGGGTTCACCAGGACCAAAAGGCCATCTTAAGCACAGACCAGAGGGAAGTGCACTAAAACATTGGACCAATCTGACCCTATCTGCTCTGAGTGGGAATGAGAGAGAGCATGTTTTGCAGAGCAGCTACGGTCCCTTGTTGAGAGCTGCCACGTAGGTGTGTAGGTTCCTGAGTGTCTGGCTGGGACACACCGAGTGCACACTACCAATTTCTACTTGAATGGTCTTCCCCAGTGCCCCCGGCCAGGCACATGAACCCAGTTGAACATGCACTTCATCTTAGGGCAGGTGCCAAGGACTGGATGGAGTCATTATTTATTTTTTTTATGTTTTTTGTCCAACGTGATTTTACCGTATCTGATGTCATGTTGTGGCATGTGATGTTTATGACAACTAGTCTGATTCACAAAGAAAGTCACATGGAAACCAAACATACAGCTATGGGATTGGTTTGCATGTGACTTATTATCAAGTGGTCAATTATAAAACAGAAATGGGCGTGCGTGGGTAATGCAGTGGTCTACCACGACACGTAAAAGCTAACTGTTGATAAGGTGGTCCAGAAACCGGTCAAATTGGAAAAGTACACTGTGTGTGTGTCCGCTCCGAGCAAACAAAAGAAGGCATTTTTTTTGGGTACTCACCGCATTGGCGCACCATGAGGCGCCCAAGTATATGCGCGTTTGATGCGGAGCACATGTAACTACTTTATTGCGGCATGTGTGGTCTTTGGGTACACCCAGAATGCATGCAAGAACCCACTTCAATTCACTTGTGAACTGAATCTGCTTGCCCTGAAGAAGAAGACATTTAGTTACCGAAAGCTCAGCAGTCGCATATTCCAGAGCACTGATTTTATATTATATTCTAGTCAATATTCTGATCACGGTGCTATGCAGCCCTTCCATATTTCTCTGACTAAGATGCATGTTCCTTTTCTGCCATTTTCATTTCAGAGGAGAGATAGCTGTGTCCATCCCTGTCCCGGTCCTGAGGGACAGACGAGGCTGGTCCAGTCAGCAGAGCGCCAGCCTGGATCTGAGCGAAACAGACTCCAATGAAGGCAGCCGGAAAGGTAGACACGGGCATTTCATGCTCAGATTGCGTTGCCGTGAGAGTCTCTGCTATGAATGCAGTTTCAATTAGGCATTGAGACCCAATATTGAGAGGGGCTCAACAAGATTATTTGAAGCTTAATACTTATTGGGTCTTAGTTGCTTTTCGACTTTATAAAATTCTTCATCCACAGACCATCAGAAATGACTATCTGGGTTGAATTTGATCCTTGCTGAAGGGTCAAAATAGCTGTCCAGTGGTAAAATTAGAAAAAGTAACATCTTGGTCAGCTTTTTACTGCAGTCCTTCTGAGTACTTCAGTACTTTTAAAATTTGGGATCAGTGTAGGACCCCTTGTTGTTCGCCTCGTTGACGTAATTACTCTAGTTAGAGTGTGTCACCTGATCAGCATAAAGTTAGCATCTGGACACCCATTTGGCAGCCATGAACCTGATCAGCATATAGACACCTGATTAAAATACAAAGGGACTTAATAAGCTAATCAGAACTTTGAGACTCAAGGACATACACCTGTAGTTCACTTTCTGCATTAGTAGTGCTAGGAGTTTTGCAGAATGGTTGTGCATGGTTCTTTGTTTTGGCTTTGATGGTAGAAAATCTGCCGTCCTGTATCTGGCATGAAACTTCCCCCACCTAAGAAAAAAAAACCATCCAAAAATTTGCTTGATCAACTAGTAAAATTTGATGCCAGTTAAAGTGCAGTCGACTAGCCACAATGTTTGGTAGAACCTAACCTGTCTTTAGCTCCCCTTTCAGATGGCGCTGAAGAAGACATAGCTTATTTTTTGAATGTTGTAGTTTCAAGTCTGTTTTTCTTGTTAACGATAATTGTTACCAATGTCTTATTTTTCAAATGCTGTGCCTCTTAACCTGTTTTTCCTTACCTGTATGTGGCTTGCCCCATTTTTCTAACATGGTGTTCTTTGCAGTGACTAATGGCTACCCTAGCAGTGCTGTAGAGAGTGACTCTGATTTTGACAGCATCTCCACCCCGCATCAAAGTAGACGTGACCGACGGAAGGGACTCATGAAAAGTAAATTCTTTTTTTTGTTCCAGTTTTAAAGGGTTCCCCTGAGAAACATTCATTGAAAAAATCATATTCACAATCTGATACATGAAGGCATGACTTTTCATGGATAGCATAAATCATCTCATCCTTGTTGTCCAAAGAATGCTTCACGTTTGTGGAATGATTGATTGTTTTGCTATTCACTGTTTAAAACCCTGGGGAATCATTTGAAACTACCTGAAAGTGGAACAACCAATTCTTAAAGAATTTGTGCAGTAAAGTCAAATGTAAAACAACAATGAGATTGCTATGTGCTCAGGCAGTGAGAGCAGTGAAGGTTTACAGGAATAATTTAGTCTGTGAATGAATTTAACATAAAAGGCTTCATCCTTTTTAGCAGGATTTAAAACAAAGTTTTTTTATGACTTGCATTTCCAGTGCCAGAGGTTGTAGAGGTAGTGCTGGAAGGTAACATCCATAATTACCGTTGAATTTTCAGTTCTCTGTTTCTTGGAACCTCTTCAAGTAATTTCTGGTCTGCTTTAAAATTTACCTCCTCGTTCATTCAGGGTTGTCTCTAACTCTTCCAAAGCTAACCTTCTCACAAGTGGCTATGATTAACATGAACTGGTTGTGCAAAATGGCAGGGGTGAGATTTGTCAGGAAGTTTTTCTGATGTCAGGATTTTCATCAGGATTTTGAAAGCTGGAAAATCCCGACTTTGCCATGTATTCTGCAAGAAGAGCCTCCACTACTCTGGGGCCCTCAAACCTTCTTGGGATTATTCCACCAATCTCACCCCTGTATGGTCAGACTTCTGCATTTTGCATGAATACACATGTACTTCATTGATTTTCTTTGTGAAGTTAACATGGCCTTAAATGGCCCGTTACTTCCTTGATTGATTTTTTTTTCGTTGATGGGTTTGTTCTTTGTGGAATTTAAATGTATTCTTCTCATCCGGTTTCGACACAAGTCCATGATAAATACGTGTATCAATTTTCCTGTACTCTCTTGCTTACAAACAGTGCACTTGAGGATGGACACAATGTGGGACACTTCACTGTGGTGAAGCAGCATGGGAGATGATTTGATTTTTGTGGGAAACATTTGTTGTCATTTTGGTTAATATCTAGCGATTTCGTTTCTACCCACCTGCACCAATCACAACTGACATCAACACAAAACTCAGCAAAAGTCATCTGCAGCACATCTGCAAATATTTGCATAATTTAATCAGAACAAAACAAAACATTCTTTTTCCGATTTTGTGTTTCAATTTTTAGCATTGTGGCTTTGGTGATATTCCATTTTAGAATACTGATGTAGCTTTGCAAGTAGCCATATAAAAGCTGGACAAAAAGTCAGGTTTCAGTAGGTTGATGCACAAATATGGATGTGCCAAGCAGGCTTCCATTTTGCACAGCAAGTTAGTCGTCTAGTAATTTGATATAGCCACATGTACGTTCCCAGGCTGAGGACACAAAATCGTAAGCATACAATGTAGCTTTCTTGGTCTGATGAGTGGACCAGTGCATCCATAAAAATGCTGCGGCAAACCTTTAGAGTTTTGAATGACAAATGAAATTGTGAGGTTCTCAATCAAAATGAGAGATAAGACCAATCTGCTTTTTTTTTTGTTTTGTTTATGTGCTGTATTTTGTTATAAATTTTTTTGTGTTTGTTTTTTTGATATTTCACACCAAAAAGGCCATGGATTCAGTTATCTGTTGTTACTTCATGTAAGCCCACATTTGAATTGCACAGCATTCAAAAGTATTTCAGATGCAAAGCGTTGGGCTGTTGCAAGTTCAAAACAGCACATTCTAGGAACATGAGTAACTTAGAGAAATGGCTGCTTAGGGTGAAAGCTTCTACTCCTGAGTCTGTTAACTTCTTTCTTCAAACATGCAAACATTTCACTGCAGAATCAAACTAACATCTGCTGACCCTAAAACTGGTTTGATTCCCAGTCTTTACTGTTATTGAATAGTACAGCCTTAGTACTTTGACTTTGTAAACTTCAGGTTATGGGGTTTGTTGTGTGTCTGATTTTTAATTGGGTTACATTACAACATTAGTACTTTGACTTTGTAAACTTAGGTTAAGGGGTTTGTTGTGTGTCTGATTTTTAATTGGGTTACATTTGATTTAAATCTTGTTTTGCATTAAAACAGTAAAAATGAACAGTTTTAGCAATCAAATTTGTACTTTTTACATCCACGAAATGCTTATTTTAAGCATATTTTTAGTTTTTCTATACTGAGTCACATGTGAAATAGAGTTAATGTCATTTTGATCAGACATGTAGTTGTTGCTTGTAACTCTTCTTGTGTTGCTTTTCAGAACACAGAGCTGTTGACATGGATACCATGGACTCTGATTCCACCCTCCGCACTGCCAACGGCACCCTGAATGGCACTCACAAGGAGAAGCGCAAGGGTCCTAGCCTACCCCTGGGCAGGAAGATCCCCATGGTCCGTTCCCCATCCACAGAGAGCCCCACAGGCCCTCCCTCTGAGGTCAGCACTGACGTCACACCATCGCCTTCAAAATCCAAGCGTGGCAAGTTTGTCAAGAGTGCCAGCATGGACACCTCACGGGCACTGGACGGTAGCTCCCAGAACCAGGCACGGTACACAAACACCGAGGTGGACGGTCGGCGCAGCCCCGGTGCTGAGGTCATGCGTAAGGGCAAGAGATTGAAGACGCCGGATGCCTCACCACCGGGGACCCTCACCCATGAATACACGGGGCTGAGTCCCCACAGTGACAACACCAGCTCTGTTGGGTCAGAGGGTCATACACGGCCCAAGTTGTCCAAGCTGTCCTCCATGGGCTCCAGCTTCGAGATGTTCAAGTCTGTCGACATCATGTCCGACATCAGCGAGGTGGACTCCATCGATGTTGCCATGGCAACCAAGTACTACTATGCGGTGCGCATCTTCCCCGGCCAAGACCCGTCTGAGATCCATGTGGGCTGGGTTACCCCAGAGTATCACCACCACAGCCCGACCTTTGATCCTGCTAAGACCAGGAGTGTCAAGGTGAACCTGATGAATGACAATGGCGGTGTGCAGGAAAGGTGAGTCTATCTGGATATGTCCCAGAATCCTTTGGTGTTTGTTTGATGGAAGTCTGTTTTTTTCTGTTGGTGTTTGGATGTGACTAACTACTGTCGAAATGTTGGCAATGTTGTGTGTTTTAATAATGAAGACCTTCCACACCAACTAAACTTTAACATGTTTTCAAGTATTCTTTCTCACTCATTTCAGTGTTGTCAGAGTTTTGTGGTGACTTAAAATCTGAGAGTCTCTGCTTACCCTGGAGCATTTTGAGCTCTTATTTTGAGATCTGAACACTGACATTTTAAACAGGCTTTTTGGTTGCATTTTTTGTGCACCCTTGGCATTGGGGCTTATTCACAATTATAAGCACTCTGAAATTTTTAAGTTACCACTTAAACAAAAGAAACTAAGATACATGTACACCCCAGCAGAAAATTCCAATCAGCTCAAATCTTTGAACCCTCGTTAGCTATGCATGTTTTTTCCCACTTAACCAGCATTCATTTTCAAATTACTCATAAAAACTGCATCATCTGAGGTTTCCCTGAGGAAAAGGGCATGGTTTGACTAATTGTGAAAAAGCCCCATTGTTTATTCATGCCAGTTCATTTCTTACTAACTAGGAACGTTGTGCACCGCACGATGCGTGACAGTGAAAGGGGGCGTGGCCCAAAGAGGTGAGATGTGAAATGAACGAGGTATTGGCAAATCTAGGATGGAGGATTGTAGACCATTAAGCATCTGCTGTGTTGTTTTTATTGTTCGCCTATTGAAATATGGATCTAGGAAAGAACATAAAAAGATCATTCCTTAACTGTTCTGCATTGAGTCTGCATACATTGTATATCAATTCAAACTTTAGTTGAGGCATTTTGTGAAAAAAAGGTAAAATTCAAAGTTTAATTTGTACTCATTATCATGGAACAGTAGCAAGCCTTCATTTGGTTGGTACTTTTCGCCATTGTTAGTATTACCCATCAGATGTGTATTGCACAGAGCAATTTCTCGTATTCTGTTTTGTAGTTTGTTTTAGCAACAACCCATTTTCATATTTTGTACTTGCCGTTAATACACTCCTCTGTGCTCTGTTTTACGCATTAGCTCGGCCTCGTAGAAGAACTTACACATTGATAGGTTGTGCACATTAACGTTTTGGTGCAACGTTGGTGGACTAACTCTTAACATTAGCATCCCCTTTTGCATTTCAACAGAAAATAATGACCAAAAAAATAATAAGCAGGTACACCTCTTAGCAGTCAATCCAATTTCTTTGGTGCAATATGACTGTTACCTCTCACTCGACGCAGCACTGTTAATAATACCACTGATGCTAACTCACTGGCTATGATTTTTAAATGTATCCCTTCCCTCTCACACCAGCAGTTTAGAGTTGTTATGGTATATTTTGCTTTCCTGAAGCAGTGTTTTATGTTTGCAAATGCGTACCGGTACATGAAGCAAAGATGTACAGTAAAAAAAGGCAGGTTAGACTGAAGATTTAAGTTTGTATAAACTTGTGTCTTAAAAATTATATTTGTAACGTAATCAGGATGTTTTTAGAGCAATCACAGATGTAATTTATACTCTGTGAAAAATTTCTAACAAACTGTGTAAAGTTCGCTTGGGTTTTTTTTTAGCAAAGAATTTGAAAAGGTTGTGATAAATAAATTGTTTGTACATGTAGTCACCAGTTGAGCCATTTTGGATGTTCATGATGTTGGTACTTTTCGAGTTGCACCTGTCCTTTTTTACAATTCCAAAGTTGTGGAATTGAAGACAAACAATTTTTGCTTTTACAAAATAATGCAGACGGACCTAGTGCAACATCTAAAGCAACCTTTCAGTAACCATGGAGGAAGGACACAGAAGGAGTTGTAACTCAGGCACTTCAAAGCGTCCAATGATGGTCGCGGCCGAGTCTGACGAATAATAGAAAACATTCCAAAAATGCCTTATTACTGCCTGCATCTTAGCTGGACAAGTGGGGCCAGTAATACCCTGGCAACACTTGCAGTTTTTTGCTTGCAATTAAATACAAACTATCGATGTGACCAGCAAATAGAGTGAGAAAAAATCCTGATATTATCATCATAAATAAACTTTTAAAATTTTGACACACTTTTTCATTATCCATGCAAAGTTTGTAATTCTAGTCTCCTCCGTCCAATACACATCAGTGCCAAAGACTTGGAATGAATTTGGCTAAGACTGGCCAACAAAATTTTCACTACTTCTGGAAAGCTGAGTTCATTAGCAACAAAAAGTGCTATTTCATCATAAGGAGTGATCGTAAAATCTCATAAAATACGCCTTTGTACAAATACCACCAAAAAAATGATTCAAACAAAACACAAAATCTTACAAACAACTTCGCTATTTACTCCTAAAAGAAGTCCAGAAGAAAGCGTTTGATAAGGGCAACAACTGCACATGAACACTTCGGGTATACAACCTCATAAAAGCAACTGCGCAAACACTACATTTGATGATGTTGTCGGTTCATATCAAGCACCAACGATGGCATGAATATTCAACTTCCTATACAGCAGTACACAACGTTTTAGGGTGCAGATCACCAACGAAAAATTGTGGCGACGATCATGGGGTACAAAGGGAGCTTATGGTTGCAAAACAGCTGGTGGGTAGAAGGCGTGCGCTGCGCTCAGGCTATGGACATACCGGACATGCCAGAAAGTGGTAATCGGCCAGATGTTATAGCCCGGGCAGTTCAAACTCCTTCTGTGTCCTTCCTCCATGCAGTAACTAAGCTATTGACATTTTTGGAGAAAGACGACCAAAGTTTCAGTTTATCTCAGGAATTTCGGCTAATACTGGAATAATCTGTTTTTTTTTCAAACTAATCTGTATTTTAGCACCAAACACAATGACTGCTTCATGATCTGCGTTGGTGACTTCTTGGACATGTTGACTAGCCCTGAGGGCCGGAGAGTAACCACTGGCCTGGTCATTGGCTGTGTGGTGGACACTGCGAGTGGAGAGTTAACCTTCTCCATCAATAATAGAGAAATACATACCAGATACTTGGTGAGTTGTGGTCGTCTCCATATAGCGTCAACATCTGTCGCGCAGAATGTTGAAATGGACCTGTACTGTCCATAGTTGTAGGTTAAATCTTCACAAGTGTGGTCACAAATGACAGAGTAATGACAATCACAAGGGATGCTTTGGTACAGTTAATTGAAATAGCTTAATGCATGACCCAAGACTAGAAGGCACACAATGGACTTGAGGTGGACTTGAGAGGGCATGCAGGAAAATTTGATGGTAGTGTGAGTGATAAGATTAATTATGACTTGCTAGGAAAAATGATAGACTTGTTCGGACCTGTTGGGGACGTGGCGGACCTTTGAGTGTGAGGACTTCAGGACATCTGGTAGGCTTGACCACAGCACTGCCTTTCTGATGGTTGCATTGCCTTTTAAAAAAAATGTTTAACATGTAGTAGGAGTGCTTTCCATTATGCAGGGGTACCATTTGTTGCAAATCAAATAAACTGCACATATTTTGTAAAAAAAAATGGGAACAACTCTGGAAAACAAATATTTTGATTTTCACAAGTGTCCTAGTAAACTTGCCCAAATAGTAAATGGCTACATGTACTCCACAACTACAGTGATCTGATAATGGCACAGTGACATAGAAGAAGTTAATTATGAGCCATGTTGATGACCACATGAACACTGTTTGCATCATTTAGGTCCAACCATGCACCAAACTCTTCCCGGCTGTGTTTGCCCGTCCAACCAGCAAGGAGATGTTGCAGTTTGAACTTGGAAGGTCAAAGGTCAGTAAGGTCATTTCTTATTAGTTCAAAGTGAAATTTCAGAATTTTTTTTCCAAGATGTATTTTGCGTTGGGGAGATCTCCCCAACGCAAAATACATCTTGAAATTGTTCGCAGTACCCGCTGCTACACCCGACTCGGACCGGCCAGCCGACCACGGCAAGCTCAGTGGTCGAGTGGTTAAGACGTCTGCACTAGTAAGCAGGAGGTTGTGGGTTCGAGTCCCACCCGAGTAAGCTTGTGAATTTTTTCGCAAGCTCTCGGACAAGCACTGAGCATACAGTGTTTATCAATATATACGTTGGGTAAGGGCAAAACCCGTTATAGAAATAGAAATTTAAGAAAGTTTTCACTGAGAATGTCAGTGAAACTCCCAGTGAAGATTTGTGCAACTTTTGTGGCTGGCACCGTCTTCTTTTCACGTTCTTTGTCATTGAGGTTGTTTTTAACTGGTAATTTAATTTTTTGAGGTAGCCTTAACCTCAATGCAGTAGTTACGCAGCAATATGCAATTCAGATCCAGAAGTTGTTAAAAAGGGTAGTTAAAGTCAACAAAGAGACCAATGCCCTTGAGCAATAACCTGAAATTTTCAGTTTTATGTGATGTTATCTCTAGAAAGAAAATGTGACATTTTTTCTAGCAACATCTTGCTGGAGATTGAGCAGACAAGAGTGGTTAGTAGCCCAATCTACATGTACCCCCAAATATCTGCCCTTGAAATGTTGACAGGATTAAGTGTCACAGTAGCACAAGGTTTTTCTAAATTTGCCGCCAATTCATTCCACAGATCCTAGCATTATATGTCTACGAATTAAACCCATTTTTTTGCAAGATGTACATTGTGTTTGGAAGGGGTCGAGGGGTAAAATGCCTGCACTAGTAAGCAGGAGGTCACGGGTTAGAGTCCCCACTTAGTAAGCTTGTAAGGTTTTGAAAAGTTTGCGGACAACACAGGGTATTCTGTATTTATAAATATGCATTGGTGAAGGGTAAACACCCAGTGTGAATCCCAGTTTTGTTTGATTTACTTTTCAGAATTGCCTTCCCATCTCCGCTGCCTGGTTCAAGAGCGATTCCCACAATCCCGTGCCTCAGTGCCCTAGCCGGGTCACTGTACAGGTCATGCAGCCTTGCGTCTGGTCCCGGGCCCCACACAAGACGCTGGACATTTTGACCCGCAAGCACTCCGACAGTGCAGGATGGATCATGGCATGTAAGACACCAGGTAAGATAACTAGTGTCCACCATAAGCTTCGTGCAAGAACTTTTGATAATGCTGTGTGGCCTAGCCGTATCCAATTATTATGGCTGTGGCTGTGGCAACACATGCCTATGAAAGCCATGGGTGAGAAGCAGCAGCCTCTTGCCATAGGTTTTATTCACAAGATGGCCATTTTTAGGTCATACTCCCCAAATCCACTTTACTCACGGAACACTCTCAAATTGGAAAGAGCCCAGCTATTTTGCTGTAATTACATAAAGCCTCTCTTTAAGAATAACAAAAACCTCACTTTGAAATACGTGTGTCATTGGACAATAAAAGTGGCATGAGTGTTTAACCTAAAATCAAATTACCCATCGGAGCACAAGGAGGGTAAGCTAACATTTAGCCCTATTGCATCATCTTCGATCCCACAGATATTAAGTGTTAAGAAAACATGTGGAGGGATTTCCTAGCTTCTGAGTAAAGACGGCCAACTTGTGAAGAAGGCCAATTGGCCTGTTTGGTACTCCCAGCCACAGGGAGCTTTACTAGGGAAGCACACACTTAGTTTGTACACCAATGAAAAGGAAATTACATATACATGGGTAATTTGCAGTGAGAGTATGTATTTTAAAACAGTACCGTTTCCAAGAGAGGCCCTTAATCACATGACATCACATTTGAGAAAAATTTACAAGGCCCGTTTGAGGTTTTTGTCTGTCAGCTATGAAGATTTCGCAAATTAATTTACTACTGTTCTGTCAGATTTTTCCCAAGTAAAAGATTCCCTTGATGTTTGATAAATTGGCCCTTGCATTACTTTAGTTGTCACTTATACCCTTCTGTTTCAAGAGGGAGGAAAAGTTGCGGAATGAATTGGCCGATACCAATGCCCTATTTCTTTGTTTTGTATTTCAGTGTCCTGGTTAGCAGTTCACATTCCAGAGGAGAACAGGTGTATGGACATTTTGGAGCTGATAGAAAACCCAGGCTTGTTGAAGTAAGCACTGCAACAAAAATTGAGGGAATTTGTTTGACTAAAATTGTGCACAAACTTTCAACTCCCATATGTATATTTTCCCATTTGAAAAAGGATTTGAGTAATGTGTTTTGATTTGTATGAGTCTGAGTTGAAAGAATCTGCTCCAAATCACAGCAGAGAAGCAGCGTATTTTGGCAAGATTTGGCTAATGTCTTTGGAAATCAAATTTGGCTTCCTGCTGATAAAGCAAGTGCACATTGTTGTGGACTCGTCTCTGCTTTCAGCCTCTTTCAGTCTCAGGTGACGCCAATTGTCATTGTTTGTCCCCTGATGCACTAATTAGTGACTTGGCTCTCTATTTACGCATGATTTGATTTGTACAGACTTTTTGACTGAATTGTGATGGACTTGACTTTATTTATTTACAATTAGAGATTGTAAAAGACTGACTGGTTAGGGTTCAAACTGTTCATTTTGTTGTTTCACTCAGGTTTCACGGCCATACTTTGAAGTTGTACAGTGCTGTGTGTTCCCATGGTAACCATCATGTGGCTCATGCTCTCTGTAGTCACGTCAACGAAGACCAGCTGACCTACTGCATACAGTGTGAATGTAAGTTGTGACTCGTGCTAACTGTAAAAATAAAATCAAGGAAACACTATGAACTGCACATTTTGTTTCTGTGTTGTTAGGGCACAGTTCACCAATGGCAAAATAAGATAAAGTCAAGGATAAATTCTTGAAATAATTGACATTACTCAATAATGGTTTGAGCAGTATAGCAATAATTTACCAGCCAAACGAGATTCATCACAGAGCTCAGCAGGTGTCATACTGCTAACTGTTCTAGAACCTTTTTGTTAAATTAGAGAAACAGTGCTTGAAAACAATGCAGTCCCATTGCTAACAATGCTTTTAAATAACATGGTACATATTTAAAGCACATTTAAAATGACTTATTATAAAAAATGTTGAAATTAAGCCTGAAATCTTAATTTCTAAGAGCTTATTGTTTACTTCATTTTTCCTGTGATTTGACATACAGACCTGTCAGGGCCCCTACGAATGGGCTATCATGATTTGCTCATATCCCTTCACCTAGCCACTCATGCCAATGCTAGGTAAGCAAACTTGTAATTCTAATCAATCTCGTTATACTGTTTCTCCAGAACATAGCTTAAAAAGTACATTATGCTTTTTCTCCCCCCCCAAAAAAAAATTAGCACATTTTGTCTTGTATTTTTTGACCAATCACAGTCGTGATTACACGTTTGACAAAAGCTTGATTGGTATACTTTCATAAATGATGAACAGAGTATAAGAATACATGTGCACTTGTAGAGTATGGCAATTGATTGAAAAATATTCATGTTATTGCCCTCATGTGCAGCGGATGTATCTTGATCACTCACAGGTTGGACGTGGCACGCAGTGTGCCCTTGACCAGTGGTGTTTCTAAAATGCACCAAGTTTCACTGATCCAGCTGAAAGTGAACAGCATTTTATTCTTGTTTACAGTGCATTGCAGGTTGTTGACCTTGTTTACTGTATATTACAGGTTAATGACCCAGGACGAGTTTATCATACCTCTCATGGCTACTAACCAGCGCTATGATGAAGGCGGTGAAGAGAGCTCCACTAACAGCACATCCATTAAGAGAGCACTGAGCACCAGCAAAACCGTCTCCATCCGGCCGGAGCAATTGTTCTCCGACAATGGGTAGGTCCAGAATGCTTTGCCTTGTTACTATTTCAGTCTCCCCTCTGTACGGATTCTCTATATGTGATTTATCTTTCAAGTGTTGGTCGTAACTTCATGAGGTTATCCCCAGTAATGGTCTGTGCCTTGCGGAATACGCTATGGTACAGTAGGTGAACAATATTAAATGTGTGAACTCTCCTGTTTGTTTGTCCAGCTCCAGTGTGAACCTTGCCCACCGTGTGAGCGAGACACGCCCACCACCTTTCCAACTCAAGGCTCTCAAGAAGCATGTCATCAACCTACTCACCCAAGCTGTGGCCCATGGAGTGTCCAGCTGTCGTGATCCTATTGGGGGCAGCTACAATGACCTCTTTGTGTAAGTACTTGTAAAAAAATCCATCACTCATGCCTGCTATTTCTTCACTTACTGTCTAGATATATCAAATATGCCGTAGTGGGCCTAAGGCCAGTATTCATTGATAAAGGAACCATCTAGTCCTCATTTTCTGTCATGCAACTTGAATTTCCAAGCAACTTCAAGTTGTATATAAAGTAACAGTGGCTAGGCACTACCTTTGTCTTCCAAAGCCTATTGAATCATCAAATATCTACTAAAGAGGGATATTAAAAAAAAAAGAATTTACATTGGTGCAACATCTTCTTCCCTTTAGTTGCATTTTTTTCTGACCAGTGTTATGGAGTACTGAAGTGTGATGTCAGTTTGAACCTGGCAGTGCAGTACAAACGAATGGAATGTGGATGTATGAAATCATGCACTGGTGTTTTGGCTAATGTCTTTTACACATATAATTCTGCGTGTGACGTCATTTCGGCACTCTATATTGAAGCAAAAATTGATGATTTCACTGAGTTCATGTATATTAGATATGAAGCTATAGACTTTAAAGGTTTTACCTGTTTGTGATTTCTCTGCTTGATTTTTACACAGGCCACTCCTTAGACTCTGTGACAAGTTACTTGTTATTGGTAAGTTCAAGAAGTGGCTATAGTGGAATTTATACAACAGGCTTAGGCTGTGCCCAAATGTTTTGACTATGGCTAGGAAAGATATGGACATCAATGAGAGCTACTGGCTAGAAGCTGCAACAACCTGCCGTAGAAACATGCATTACTGCCAGCCGCAGCCAAGACTTTGGATGCAGCCCAAAGTCACTAGAGAAATTCCCCAATTTGCAGAATTCAAACCTACATCATTTTCTTTCGTCAGGTGAATTTGATGATGATGATTTGAAGCGGCTTTTGATCCTTATTGATCCGACAACCTTTGATGACAAGTACAAGAAAGGTAGTGTCGTGAAGTTTGTTTTTTGAATTTGATTCCAAGCCGAGGGGGTATGGGACATTTCCTCTTGACAAAATGTGCATTGCCAAATCTTTACTATGGATATTTCATGGCAATGCTAAATGGACATGCATGCATTCGCCCCCCCCCCCAAAAAAAAGGTTACTGCTACAAACACACTTTTTTGTCAAAAAGTTGATATATACTTCCCATACATGTCAAATTGCTTAACCCTAACCCTTCTCAATCCTTCACCTGTTGGAGGACTGAGGAGGGTTAGGGTTAAAGAGAGTTTAAGGAGGAGATAAGAATGTATGTAGTTCTTTGAGAATGGTGGTTCAGTGTTAAACTAAAAATCGGTTATCCTCTCAAATAGTGAAAGAAACAAACAGCTTTTAGAAATGCACACAGAATTAAGTCTAAAATACGGCAGGGCTATTTTGAAAATTATCAAAATGGTACTAAAAGCTTCAGTTATAACTAGTGCATTTACAGAAAGAGGTGAGACCCTTAAAATTGGCAGCCCTTAAAGAACTTCCAACTCCTCTCATAATGATAACTGAGTCTTGGTGAATATAATTGTAAGAAGCAGATTGGTACTCTGTTGGAAGGAGATAAGTGAAGGAAACTGGCTGACCTTGATGACTGGAGTTGAAATCTCACCCAGGCTGTACATGCTTTTGTGGAATTGCACCAGATTTTTTTCGTGCCATTTTCAGATTTTTTTCCTGGCGTTGCTTAAGCCTGACCGTTTCTGTCGTCATTAATTTGAGAGTTCCCTTCCCCCCAGGCCTCTTAGCTGGAGAGCCACTCACACTTTTTTTAAGTATCTTAGTGTAAATATCTGGTTTTATTTATTAATGTTGAGAGTCAATGTTTGTTTGGTCAGAAATGAGTCAGGTAGTGGGCTTGCTTCAGATGGAGTTAGACGAGCCCGTCAAGTTGGAGGTTTGCTTCCTCCTGCAGCATCTCTGCGACAGCCAGCTCCGTCATCGTGTTGAATCTATTGTCAACTTCTCAGAAGACTTTGTGGCAGAGTGCCAAGCGGTAGGCTCAAGCTTCACACAACCTGTGGTTTCTGGACCCTCAAGGCCCATTAATACCTCAGGCCAATGTTAAAGCGAAGCAAATTTGACATTATGAAACATTTGCAGCAAAATTTGCTTGAGTTGAAATGGATTTAACTTTTGTCCAACTCGCAGTGTGAATATTGATCTGACGTTACGATAGTCATGATCATGTTTTGCTTTTACGCCCAGTATGAATCAGCCTTTATAGGATATTGCTTTAAACATTTGAGAAATTATCAGTTGTTGTAATGTTGCACAGAAATAGGTAATGCCTCATTTCCAAAACATAACCAGAGAATCAACTTTGGTTATTTAGCTGGAGGAAGACGCCTTAGACTCGCCATCAGAAAGTTTCTTATAATTGAGCTGGGTGGGATGTGGTCAGAGAAAATTGTTCTTACAGAATATATAGAGAGCATGTCTTCGCTGAGCATATTACAAAGCTGCTGTTACAGCAGATATTTTTAAAAGGTACTTCTTTTTTATTATGTCCTGTATGGCAAGAGATCAAAATTCAGTGTATACATGAGATTCATACAAAAATTTTGGTGCAAATGATTTACTTCTTTTTATCCGTCGTTTTATGTAGGACCAGTTCAGGCGATTTATGGAAGTCAGAAACACTGATATGCCACCTATCATAGCAGCCAAGAAAACCAAAGAATTCCGCTCAACTCCACAAGAACAGGTGAGGCTGCTTCCATTATTACTAACTTTCCAGTTGGGAAGAAAATACAAACATTTGCAAAAGTTTAAGACCACCTGGAATTTTATTGGTATTTCTGTCACTGGGCCTGCATTACACTGTCTCACTGAATGATCACTTAACATGTTTTTACAGTGGTGCATAACATCAATGTAGTGCTAATATATACTCATTTGAATGAAATTTTTTTTGGAAGGGCAGGTCTTGTATGGCATTTTGTCTTTAAGGCAACATGGGTAAAAAAACAAGTCTAAGTAATCAGAACTAAAGGAGGGCACACTAAATATTAGACTGTTAACATTTCAAATCATGGAGATGTACATGTAGTCAAATAGCTGTTTAACCATGATACTAAGGCTACACATTGAAAACAAACATGAGTTGCCATGATTGATTGGTTTAAGTTTGGTTTTTCGTCAGGTTAATGCATTTTGTATGGGTGGTCCTAAACTTTTGCAAATAACTGTAGATAGACCTTCATATTTCGTAGCGCTTTGAAATTCTTAGCTCTGCATTTTTCCAACACTTTTTTACCATTTAGGTAAGGCTTGCCTACCATGCACAGTCATTTTTTTAATAGTAGTCCATAACATCAGAGTCGTGCTATGGGCCCATCTGAAAGAAATTTTTTGCAAAGGCAGGTCTTGTATGACATTTTGTCTGTAGTGCAGCGTGGGTAAAAAAAGTCAGGCTAAGTTACCTGAAACAGAGGGCACACTAAATACAAGACGGTAACAATTTCAAATCTATAAATGAAGTCAAACATTTGTTCAACCAAGATGTTAAGATCACACATTGAAAATAAATATAAGTTGCCATGATTAATTAATTTAAGTTTCATTTTTGTTGCGGTTAATGCATTATGTGTGTTCAGTCCCAAACTTTTGCAATGACTGTAGATTCTTTGTCTTTACCAACAGTGGTCTGGTTTCATGGGTCAGTGAGAGTGCGCAATTTAAATTTTGATGGATCACCTCCCTTCTACCCCTTTACTTGTCCAGATGCGCATGCTGGTCTCCTTCAAGGGCAAAGACGACAGCACAAGCCCATGCCGGGAGGACCTGCGGGAGGTGCTGGAGTCCTTCCATGGCAACCTGGTGGCCCACTGCGGGGTGCATGAGGTCAAGGAGGGCGAGCAGGGCAAGGAGGAGAGGACCTGGCTGGGACGGCTGTACAGCTGGCTGACAGGGCGCGGCAGGGACGAGGCTGACTCCAAGGATTTCATGCAGAAGTTTTCTGGAGGTATCGGGGATCATTTTAATATCCTCTTGGGGAAACAGGAGAAAGGCAGCTACCTTTTTTTTTTTTTAACAAGATCACAGCAGTCTCGTATCCAGGTCTTGGGTCGGGGAGGGGACAAAATAGATTTTTTTCTTTAGAAAATGTCTTTGAAAAAACTGACCCACAAAGGAAGGTGGTTGTACCGTCGCTAAACTTCTAGCACGTTCAATCCCTTAACCCCTTCGCTACGGAGGACTGCTACTACCACCGCACCATTTTGTGAGGATTAGTGCATACCACACATACAGTCTATTCACCATGCAGCTGCTGGTTCAATGGGGCCTGCTGCTGGACAAAGCCCTCTATTTAGGGCATACCACAGCCCAGCAGTTGCGGTCAAAATAATCCCGCCGTGAAGGGGTTGAAAAATGATCGTTGGTAATGTATCTCGAGGGGGCTAACTCCCCCATCCCTTCTCTGGATACATGACATTATTTATCATCATCTGTTTATTTCCCCTCTCTTCTCTTGTGCAGATTCCCTGTCCTATCTGATCTCGGAGACAATGATCCGATGGGCGGAGGAGAAGCACATCCAAGATGCCACCCTGGTTCGGGAAATGTTCAAGCTCCTTCACCGACAGTACGACGGTGTAGGGGAGGTATGTTTTTGATGTGCATGTGAATTTGATGAGACTAAGTTAAGTAATTTGTCATTATGGCATTAGTTAAACTACAATTTTTATTTCTACAGATAGTTTGGTGTACAGAATCAAATATCTACTCAAAGCAAGGATGTTGAGTTGGGTCCAAACTCAGATCTAATCTTCCATCTTTAAAACCCACGTACACTTCATGTTAAGCTAGTTTAGGGAGGATTTGAAACGTCAGCACCAGCCCTAATGGTCCAGAATCCTCCTATTTCAATATGATTTTACATAGGTTAGGTTTTATCAACTTTAGCCTTCCAAACTTTCCATGGTTGGTTATCAGTCTTATCTTTCTTTTTGCACAGCTTTGCCGAGCCCTAAACAAGACCTATGTTGTGAGTGCCAACCAGCGGGAAGACATAGTGCACCTGTTGACCTCTCTGGGTCAGATCAGGTCGCTGTTGACGGTCCAGATGGGGTCAGTGGAAGAGGAGGCCCTCATTAAACACCTGTGGTGAGTAGACGCGACCCCACCCAATCCCATCTCCAGATCATGACCTCGGCATGTAAAGTACGCATTTCTGCATACTTGAGTTTCCATTGGTCGATACCGGTAGGAATAGCAACTGTGATAAAGTATCACGCTTAGGAACATAAATATCATCAACAAAAATAAAGATTGGAAAGTATTCAGTCTATTAGATGAGCCTTCAGATGTTCAGCATTTTCAAAGCGTCTGTTTAATAAAAAATGAATGTGTGTGTTAACATACACTTAATTTTACAGAAGTTCAACTACCATGTAATGTATATCTGTCTGTACAGCTTTCTTATGTCACAAACAACCTTGTCTCACTTTAAACAATGATGTTCTTGGCATGTAGCATTTTACACTGTGTAGTTAATAAAGTGGTCTGTAAAAGATTTAACAGCAAAACGTTTCACAGTATTTAGTCTCGCAAAACGTGTCTTTAAAACGTGTCTTTTGGTGGATTATCCCCAGGGAGTTAACAGACAACAAGGTCTTCTACCAACACCCAGACCTGATGCGGGCCTTGTGCGTCCATGAGACTGTCATGAATGTAATGGTCAACGTCTTAGAGAAGCACCAGACTGCCGTCCAGCTGACCACAGGCTGCTGTGACCTGGGTAACTTGCGTGGGAGCCGAACCCTGCCCCACCAAGTTAGCTCCACCTCCACCTCGGCCAAGGTTCAGGTCAGTCCAGTTCTGCACGTACAAGCGGGCAAAAGTTTGTGAGAAAAATGTCGAAAGAGGAGTGAGTCAATGTTTTACAATGTATCCCTAATGGCAATAAACTTCAACTTAAACTAGTTCTAGGTCATTGAAGTTACCAGTGCCAAAATCCTCACAAACTCAAAAATGCTATTTCATTGTTGACTGAACTGTCCTTTCAAATGTCTGCTTCTGAGATATTTGTAAACAAGTGTAGCCACGGCTGTTGTACGTCTAAAGTCAACAATTTAAGGATATCAACCATTATTGTTATTGCTTTTGGATTTCCATTGCCAAAGTTGTGACATTTTGAGAGTCCCACATTTGTTCCTCAGGACTTCAACCGTGAACTGATCACTGCCTGCTCACGATTCCTCAGCTATTTTGTCCGTATCAGTGGTCGAAACCAGATGGCCATTTTTGACCATCTGAACTATTTCCTAGATCAGAGCGACATTGGCCTTTGTAAGTTTGTTTCAAGTGAAAAAAACAAACTGATTCACTTGGCTTGAGATTTGCTGGACTCAGTTTGTCTTGGTTTTTTGAAAGCATGCCTGAAATGAAAATGTGCTGAATGTTTGGGTGTGTGGCTTTTCCCCAACATACCTAATTGCTAATGGCTTGTTTTCTCCTCTTGTTCATTGGCTTTATAACAATATTTTCTGTAGCGTGAATACATTTTAAAAAGTGTTTTTATCAACTCAGTTTAACTGTTGTTTACTAACATTAAATGTTAGGATAATTTTTCAATGCCAAAGCTACTCTGTTCTACATCATCTCAATATACACTACAGTCACTACACGTGGAATGGGTCCAGTGATTATCAGGAGTAGAAAGCGAATTTGCCACTTTTTTCTAGCAGGATTTTTGCAAAAAAGTGACAAAGCTTATAAACTGTCTTTAACAATAAAGACTCGGTACTGTTTAGTAAGTCCATTTCAATCACAAAGACGCCTTTGGACAGTATGTTCTGTCCATCATCGGGAGACTGCAGGGATTCCATGGTGTATTACATGATGTATTGGGGCGGTTAGGTGTGAAGAGGATACCAACTTGGTATCTAACCTAAGGGTACTTGGGCAGGACATGGTATGCTACATGATCAGCAAGGTGTGTCAGTCTAAAGGAGGGAACGGGGGAGGGAGAGCAAGGTTAAAGGAGATCCACATGTTCTAGGTGTATATAGGAGACTTACAGACTGGAAACATGTCCCAGAGTAAAGGAGGCCCATTGGCTGGAAACAGGTCCTAGATCCACAGGCAAACATGTCTTGGGGTATAGAAGACTGATAGGCTGGATACATGTCCCAGAGTAAAGGAGGCCCTTTGGCTGGGAACAGGTCCTAGATCCACAGGCAAACATGTCTTGGGGTATAGAAGACTGATAGGCTGGATACATGTCCCAGAGTAAAGGAGGCCCTTTGGCTTGGAACAGGTCCTAGACCCACAAGCAGACATATCTTGGGGTAAAGGAGACTTGTAGACTGGAAACATGTCCTGGAGTAAAAAGACACATCGGCTGGAAACAGGTCTTAGACTCACAGGCAAACATGTTCTTGGGTATAGGAGACTCATAGACTGGAAACAGGTCTCAGAGTATAGAAGACTCATTGGCTGGAAACAGGTCTCAGAGTATAGAAGACTGATTGGCTGGAAACAGGTCTCAGAGTATAGAAGACTGATTGGCTGGAAACAGGTCTCAGAGTATAGAAGACTCATTGGCTGGAAACAGGTCTCAGAGTATAGAAGACTCATTGGCTGGAAACAGGTCTCAGAGTATAGAAGACTGATTGGCTGGAAACAGGTCTCAGAGTATAGAAGACTCATTGGCTGGAAACATGTCTCAGAGTATAGAAGACTCATTGGCTGGAAACATGTCTTAGAGTAATGGAGGCCTATAGGCCGGGAACATGTCCTAGGAGACTCATAGGCTGGAAATATGTCCTATGGCTTGGAGACTCACAGGCTGAAAGCATCCTAGGGTTTAGGAGATATACATGTAGACTAGAAACATGTCTTTGTGTATAGGAGACCCATAGGCTGGAAATGTCCTCGTGTATAGGAGAGACCCATTGGACTGGGATGTGAAGATGGTGTGCCAGATGTTGCTGATGTTAAACCTGATTTGGAAATTTGTTGTGCTTGAGAAATTTGATGGTTTCCCTGATGCGAGGGTACCAGTAGTCAAAACTGACCATGAGTTCTGCTTTACTTCAGTTGACCTAATGGCCTGTGATGTGGGAGTGGTGATGATGGATGACTTCTCAAATTCTTTCCTGCCATTGGGTTTGTGTTCTTTGATTTTTTGTTGGGAGGTCCCTACAAGTCTCACCGTTGTACACTGTTCCGCCTTGTCATGGGACCTTGTACGCTCCTGACATGTGCTGTGCGTTAGGTTTGCCCTTGTGTGAGGTCATCAGATTCTTCATCTTTTTTGGGGGGGGGGGCTGTATGGGTACACTCACTCCCATGGTTGTGGAAGAATGCGCTGGATGTTATGGGAAGTGCTGCCATTGTAGTGAGGGTAAATAAACTGGGGGCCTTAACTAGTTGGCTTTGGGTACAGGTGACCCTTCGGCCGGGGTCGGATCTTCGGTTATGTGTTTTAAGCGGACTTGACTTGTATCCATTCAGATACAGCCCAGGGGTGATGTTATGGAGTTCTTGAGTGAGATGTTCTTGTCGTAGACATTTTATGCCCTGCAAACAAGGGCCCCATTGACAGAAGACTTCATCTTGGGCTGATGGAAGGAAGTGCTGTGTAGTTATCTTTCTTTATAGACACCATCTGTAAGGCTGCTGTCCTACTTCCTGGATACCTCAACATCTAAAAATGAGATGTTGCCATCCCTTTCTTGTTCCATGGTGAACAAGATGATTCATTGAAATGTTTATTGAGATTGAGAAGAGTTGAAGATTACCCCACCCATGCTGCAAGAAGAGGCAAGTGTCGGTCGCATAACGCAGCCAAATCTTGGGTCCTTGGTTTGCCATGGTGATGGTGTTCTGTTCAAATTGTTCTAGAAGTGTGATCACTAGAGCAGGAGATAGAGGATTCCATGAGGTTCCGGCTGATTGTTCATTGAATTTATCCTGCCAGTGGAAGCTTGATGAGTTGATGCAAGTGAGAAGCATATCATTAAGCTGGTCTGGGGTGAGATTGGTGCAGTCCTGGAGGGGGGATCTGCATGAAGTCTGCCCTGTGCAATATTTAGTGGAATCGGAGGTCAGGACATTGATGAAGAGGGAGACATCAAAGCTGGCCATGATGTCATCCGGCTTGAGAGTGAGGCCTCGAATGAGATGGCAAAGTGGTCAGAGTTCTTGATGTAATGTTCTTTAGTGCCCACCAATGGATGGAGTATCTTGGTGAGATGTCTGCCTGTATTGTGGGGGGGGAGGTGTCATGTTGGAGCGATGATGGGGATGTAGTGAAGTAGCCTTCTTGTGTATCTTAGATTGGGGAAAGAACCTTTCTTACATGGAGTTGGACAGTTGGAGCTGTCTGTACAAGGACTGAGAGATTGTCGCCAAAACACAGGATTGAGAAGCATAAATTGCTGCTGACTCTCAACAAAAGGTGTGGGGTCTCTTTGTAGTACATAGCAGCAGTCCATGTTAAGGATGTCTACCACCTAACAATCATTTTTGGCCTTGTCCATGACAACCAGGGTGTTACCCTTGTCTACTTGGAAAATGTAAATAGACTTGTCTTGGCACAGTGCTATGATGGCTGACCAGTCTTGTCTTGAGAGGTTTGGCTTGGCTGGCTTGTGTTTCTGGAGGGCTTGATTGATTGATTTGAAGGGAGATCTCTTTGGCTGTAGATTTTTGAGATGACTGAGGGCCAGCTCAGTTCACTGTATGACATCTGTGATATGGAAAAACTTGGACACGAGGGCCAAGTTGATACCCAGTGACAGAAATTTGTCTCCTTTACAGTGAGGGTTTGTTAGCTCAGATTAACTGCAGTGTGCTATGCAGTGTGCTATGTGAAAGATTCCTCGGAGTGAAGGTGAGGCTTTGTGTAGTGTCAGCTGGAGGGTACAGTACATTTCATTGGGCTAGAGGGTTTTGGGCATAGGGATGAAAAGATCCCATATACAGAGTCGGGGGCTGTAGGCATGGAGATTGTGTGTTCCCATTGCCTAGATCAATATGAGGCTGGAACTGGTATTGGTCACGCATTTAGTGATCTTGAGAAATTTCTTGACTTGGTGGCAATAGGATTCCTTGAAGGCATGGTCACTGGATGAGGTGACCTGCTGGATCCTTTTTATGTTACCAGCTGTGGAAATACTAGATTGGAACAACTCCTGGGTAGTGAAGATCTTCTTGTCCAATGATGCAAGGGTGGATCTTATGGTGCTGATATGGTGGCAGAGTAGAGTGAGGCTGGCTTTGTGTAGGACGGAACAAGCCTTGTGGTTGCCGATGGAATCACCTCAACTCCAGTGACCACTGCCACCAAGTCAAGAAATTTCTCAAGATCACTAAATGCATAACCCATACGGCCCGTACCGGTTTCAACCTCACATTGACCCTGAACATGGGATCCTCTATATCCCTTCATCCCACCTTCCAGCCTGATGAAATATACTGTGCCCTCCAACTGGCATTACACAAAATCTCACCTTCACTCCAAGGAATCGTTCACCAAGCAATTAATCTGATCCAACAAAACCCTCTCTGTAAAGGAGACAAAACTTCTGTCATTGGGTGTGAACTTTGCTCGTCTCAAAGTTTTCCCATATCACAGAGGTCGTACAATGAACCAAGCTGGCCTTCCACCATCTTGAAGCCTACAGTCAATAAGCTCTGCCCACAAATCAATCAAGCCCTCCAGAAACACAAGCCAGCCAAGCTAAACCTCTCAAGACAAGACTGGTCAGCCAGCACGTCACTGGGCCAAGACAAGTCCATGCACATTCTCCAAGTAGACAAGGGCAACACCACGGTTGTTGTGTACAAGGCCAAGAATGACTGTAAGGTGGCAGCGTCCTCAACATGGACTGCTTCCATTCACTACGGACGGATCCTACACTTTTCTTTGAGAGGAAGCCGCAACACAACCTTCTCTCAATCCAGTGTTTCAGCAACATCCCTCAGTCCTTGTACAGACAGCTCCAACTGTCCAACTCCACTTGCTAAAGGTTTTTTGGCTAACTCAAGATCCACAAGAGGATACTTCGCTGCGCCCCCATTGTCACTTCAATATGAGGCCCCTCTCAATACAGCTGGACATCTCGCAAAGATGTGTGCTGTGCCAGTCCGTTTATGTCACTGAAATATAAAAGATACTGGCCAGAACCTGATGCAGTAGAAACCTTTTTTTATTGAGATTTTTCCCCCTCCAACTATGAATTCAAACTGGGTAGGTGTACCTCCTGTTGTCACTGTTCAGATTTCTGTTTTTATCTAGTTCCTGGTCTGGTTTAACCACAATGTGACAAATTAATCACGCTTGGTGGGTGTTAAGTACATGTATTTGTGTGGATATTCATACTGGTGATTTGTAAGTTTTGGCTGCTTTTCAAAGAGGGGAAATGAGTGAGAGAAAAACAAGACCATTTAGAACCATGTTAGAGAATAGGCGTGGGGAACTATTTGCGAACTATGGACAAGGTTTAAATACCTGCTTCTGGTCCGAATTCTAAACAATACGTACATGAGCTTAAGTATCAGATAGATCAGAGCTGTAGCCAGTTGCTTTGGATGCAACCTTGAGTACTTTTATAGGAATTGACACTGACATGCCTAACAAACCCTGTCCTGTTTTTTCTGTCTTGCCCTGTTTCTTACCCTGTTTGCTGTGTTGTTGGTATGTGTGTGTGTGTGTTTGGGGGTTATTTCTGTAGGATGAGGGCTCGCGGGATCTGACATCCAGCTGCTGTCGATTCCTCTGTTATTTCTGCCGTACCGGCCGGCAGAACCAAAAAGCCATGTTTGATAACCTGGGCTACCTCCTGGACCATGGCTTCATGGGATTATGTAAGTAAAAAAAAAAAGAAATCACAGAAAACAAATCTGGAAGTTCCTGGCATGTTGGAAATGAAAACTGGTTTTCATGGAAAATCAAAAATCCCTCTCATTATAGGCATGCAGTTATGCAGTCCTCTGCAGCTGCATCTAAAATATGTGATTGTAGATTATTCACACTGCGTGCGGAACATTTTTGAGAAAAACAGTTTCTAGTTGCAATAGTTATGGTCAGTGCAAATATTTGTTTTCATAGAAAAAGTGAAATTTCAGTTAAAGTCCTGCTGGTGAAGAAGTAAAAGCATTTCTTTCATCCTTGTTGGCTGTGTCATTCGATACCAATATTAATATGTTCTAAGTGGTTGTGGTTGAAAAATCTTTGCAATGAGCCAGTTTGGTATTTCAAAAAGCCACTGTCTTTTGGAAACAAAGCGCACATGCGAGTCAGGGTCTGGCTGCACTGATAGGACAGACGATCGCACACGTGTGTTGCTTTTCCCGAATAGCCTCATACTGGGCATGCACTGTTGGAAAACTGAACTGGCTCATTGGAAATATTTGTCTCTGCTGTGCTTTATAACAATGCATGGCATATTGCGGTTCACAGATTAGGTTGGCCTGTATTGAAATATTTGACATTTTGGTAATGAACCTGAAACTAGGTAACCCAACCCCATGTTGCAAAATACCAGATAGCAAATGTTGACAGCAAACGTTTATTTCTCCTACATGAGGGCAAACATTACTTTTATAGCCATTAGACTGACAGAAAGTGAAATAAAGAAATAAAAAACATACAGGTATCTGAAATTATACTGCAGCTGTTTGAGACATAAAGTTTGCTAAGCATAGAAACAGTTTCCTGAATAGAAGTGGGTTACTAGCTGAAACTATATGGGATGCACATGTACATTGCTTGCAGCTGGTTCCCAACGTGTGCTTGCTTAGCATGTTGTGTTAGACATGGACCAGTTGTCCACATCCGGTTTGCAGTTGTTGGTACTTGGGCTGGTTTTGGTGGTTTCAGGGGCATTTCCCATGAAATTAACTCCTGACTCCTATCTGTGATCCTTCAAAATCCACCATGGTTAGAGTCAAATCTGCGAAAACCCCATGGAGGTTTTTTACACATTTGTTGAATGCACTCTGATCGTACAAGGAATTTACAATACGATATGCCATCAGGAAGTTATCACAGAGGGGCCAATTTTTTCCAAAGCATTAATGGGAAAACAGTAAAACACCTGTGTTACAAATGATGTTTCAAAGGCCAAGCTAATTTTTGTTTTGGATACTCATAATTTCAGTTTGAATTTTCTTCCCTGTGAAGACGATGAATTTCTTGAAGGGGCTCACCAAATTATTTTTGTCACATCGTATGACTCATTTGCAGTGAATCAAAATTGATTAATTGTTGGAGCATGTACATGTATGTGGGATGTCAACTGTGTAATGAAAAGTGGTTCTTAGGCAAACGATGGCATATTTGCAATGTGAATGTGTCTCTAATTGTGTGTATCAATATGCAATTTCAGTATAGAGGTAGAGTCGGCAGAATTTGTGCTGTGATTCAGGTTCAGCAGGAATCACAGAGAGCTACCTTTTCTTACCACCTAACAACAACCATTACTCCCCCCCCCACCCCCCATTGTACAGCATATCCTTCCCTTCGTGGTTCCTGCCCCCTGGATGTCGCAGCTGCGTCACTGATGGACAACAATGAGTTGGCCCTGGCGCTGAGAGAGCAGCACCTGGAGAGGGTGGTGGTCTACCTGTCAAACTGTGGCATTCAGGTGGGTTAGCATCACCAGATGCGTGGTATTCAGAAAGAAGGGACCCTTGAGATATTGACAATGTCATCTCATGCGTACTCATCAAAAATAACAAGTGCATCATGCCAAACTAGCTTTGCAAGCAGCCTTGTTTGACATTTTCCTTTTCACTTGTTTTGTGCTTAAGTTTAGTCAGAGTGGGATTGTTACCTCTCTGTTCTGCTCTCAAACAACTGTGCTGGCCCACTTTTGAGGGGCAACTGTTTTTGTTATTTAACAATTCATGATAATTGAAATCAGTAGATAAAAAAAGTGTAGAAGTTTCAGTTTAATTGAAAATTTGGCGACTTATTTGTCACAAGCACCTTGTGAGATAAAGACCTTGATGAGAGTAGCAGCTCAGATGTCAGAGGTCACTGGTTTAAATGCAAAATAAATTCTCGGAAATAAAAATTAACAGATTTCAGATTAGTTCAGATATGTTTTTGAAAGGGAGAATTTATCAAGTCAGTCTTGTCTCTGTTGTCAGGTCCCCCAACCACCCCTCCCTCAATCTGGAAAGTTTTAAAAATTGACATTTGCAATTTGGTTTTAGGACAATTCTCGTCTGATGTCTATGGGCAAGCCATCCATAGGCTGGGACCCGTTAGACGGAGAAAGATACTTAGATTTCATGCGCCATGCTGTCTGGGTCAATGGTATGTACAGAAATGGCCAGCCAAGGTATATAACCTCATCATTTTCCTGATGTCAAGGTAACAGCTCTGGCCAAAATTCACTCAGGAATTCTCCCTTTTACAGTGGTCATTTCACTGACCGTTCAATGTGTGAAACCTTTATCATGGCAGTTGAGGTTCTATTTTTAATAGTGGCAACAAATGGAACATTCAGCAACTAGAGAAAGCACTTGGGTTACGGGCTAAAAGAATCATTCATTATTCATTGAAAATTAAAGAACCAAGACTTGGGTATGGAGTTCCTGCACAGAGCAGGATTTGGGAGGAAACGGGAAGGTGTTTTGCATGAATGCCTAAGGTATCAAGTTAAATAGATACATGTAAGCACTCAGAAATGTTTTTATTGTTGATCTTAAGGGGTCTATAAAATGTAGCCTTTAAATTAACCCTTGAAAATGCACCTTTCCATCTTCATCGTAGTTCCATTTTTGTTTGCAATTTTAAAGACCATATTTGTGCCTTTTTGGTCTTAAGCTGATGAGTATTCCCATATTCATGAGCAAAGTGGCAATGTTGCCCTGGAATGAAAACCCCATTGTTATAATGAGTGATGCGTAAGAAATGCTGGAAGTTTTTCGCTTTTTGCTTGCCAAGTGGCCATTTTCAAAACACCTTTCGCAAAATGGATGTCAGTTAGTTTTCACACATGGAATTGGAGTACAAGCCTCCCCAAAGAGCATGTGTAAGAAAAATTCACCGCCTGGGCTTGTTGATGATGCCTTGACCTTTCCATATTAGGAGAAACAGTGGAAGAGAATGCCAACCTGGTCGTCCGTCTCCTCATCCGACACCCAGAGTGCTTGGGGCCAGCACTGCGTGGCGAAGGCAAGGGGCTGCTGGCTGCCATGGAGGAGGCCATCCTCCTGTCGGACTCATCTGAGGACATGCTGGTGATGAGCACCCCTGCCATGGTAGTAGTGATGGAAGAAGGTGGGGAGAGCCAGCCCCTGGTATCACAGGGGTGAGTCGGACCTCCATTTTCTTTTCTGTTTACACTTTCTCAGATCAGTTTTTTACTGATTTTTACTCATTAAGTACGGTTACAGAAATATGATGTTGGACAGAGATCAGGTACATATTGAAATTTTCCTTCATTTGCTGAATTCTTAGTTGCTTGCCTGTGCTTGTATTCTTGATTAATATTCTTGATCAATATGCCTATGACATTTTTTAAGCCCTGGTTTTTGTATCTGTCTCCATCATCAGGTTTCAACTGGGTTCTTTCACTTTGAAGGTTCGCGCAAAATGTGTTTAAAGTTTTAAACCTAATCTTTCAGGTGTGTGAAAAAGCAATTCTGGAAATTTGGAGACTGATGATTGTTTAGGTCACGTGCAGGAAAAGTTGCCAGTAGATGGATTTTGGCCATCAGCCAAAGATGGGTTTCTTTTACTTGAGAAAGGGCTTTGCCACAAGTGGTCATTGTTGGGTTGGAACTTAAGTTTTGCTGAAGGCACTGCAGTGTTCTTTTATCTCCAAGATGCCATTGTTACAGTGCCCTTGATTGCACAAAATTACAGTGAGTTTTCGTTTATGGACAAAACATAAATAATTAAGGACAATAAAATTGTGAAACATACACGCCCATGTTCAAGCAGTTGTTCATCAGGCCCTTTAGCCAGGGCATGCCAAAATGGTTAAATGAGTTTCTATTGGTACTGGCACACAGCATAAGTTACAGGTTATTGTATACATATACTATAATTTTAAAATACTGCAATTAAAAATTACAATAAAAGACCAGTGAAGCCTTGTTTACTGTTATCTATTGACTCCCGGACTGAAAGATGTTGCAAGGTGTCTCACAGAGGAACACATGATACAGTAAACTAAAGATTAGATGCAAACCCACACAGAAATCAACTTAATCCTGTCTCTGAAATGCCACTTCACAAGGCTACAGCCCTCCATTGGTGGTAAATCCAGAGAATGCTCATGTGTTCCGAGAGTGCATTCAATTGTTCTTTCTATTTCTGAAAAAATGACGAAGGCCGGACGTGGATGCCAAAGAAGACGAGGATGAAGTGGACGTAGGGGGTGCTATCTTGACCTTCTATGCAACCTTGATAGACCTCCTGGGTCGCTGTGCCCCTGACCAGCAGCTCCTGTCCCAGGGACGCACTGAGCCTCAGCGTATCCGTTCCATTCTCTGTAGTCTTGTGCCCTTGCCAGACCTGGTTGGTGTGCTCAGCCTCAAGTTTGTCCTGCCCTCTCCAAATAAGGTCTACGAGAAGAAAGATGGTGGGTAATTCTGTTCTCCTGTTTTCAACACCCAAAGCTTTAAAAATAAATTCAGCAAAGGCAGCATAGAAAGCCTGGTCTGAATTTTTAGCAGTTGATAATCATGAATCAGTTTAGAAATAACAGATAGAAGCCTCCTGGTTGTTATGGTTACAGTCACATGAATGCAAACCACCTGTACAGCTTCAATGCACAATCTTATACTTTTTTTCGTTATTCATTTGTAATGTGAAAATATAAGATTCTTAAAGAACTTCTGTCATCTTCCCGCCACTCAGACGGTGTTGGCAAACCTCTCGGTGCAGACCTAAAGGGGCTTACCCCAAGCCACAAGGAAGCCATGCTGCTCTTCTTGGAGAGGGTCTACGGAGTCAACGATCAGGAGTTGTTCTTCCATCTCTTGGAAGTTGGCTTCCTGCCAGACCTGAGAGCTGCAACCACCATGGACACAGTCAGTATTGGCACCGGCAAATCTTTTCAAAAGCCTATGAATGTAGTCCACCTCTTTGGAGTTGGTGTCGTAATATATAAAGAATAATTGACTGGTGTGATGTGGGATAGGATATTCAACATCGCAGGGACTCATCCCTGAAGGTATTATGAAGAGTCTGGTCTGCAGTCCTTGCATTATAGAGGTTATCCACGGCAGCCATCTTCCGGTCAGTGCTGTTTTTACGAAGGATATGCACAAAAGGTCTCCTCGTTGAAAAAATCTCCAGCCTTTTTTCAGTCTGCAACTCTGTTTCCCTCTGCGCCATTTAATACAAGTATGGCTGGACACAATTTTCTGCAAGAATGGATGCAGAACTGTATTATTGAGGAGGGGTGGCACTGCCTGGGAAAATGGCTGCTTTGCTTAACCTCAGTTGTTTGGACTGTGGGGCAGGACTATTCTATGATATCATGATGTGGGTAACGACCAGGGTTGTTAAAATGTGCTTTTATTGATGGTGTTCATGTATACAGCATTCAAGATGTATGCTGTTGAGGTAAAGAAATTTTAAATGTTTACTATGGATGACTCTGTCACCTCATTAAAGCATTCTTCCCGTTGCACTCACAAACATTCATTCTTTGTATAATGTAGACCTATCCTACCCTCTACTGATTAAAATATCCAAGTAGCCAAATGCTGATGACTGTGCCTTGTTACACTGTCAATTTTGCTTAACCATTTCCTGCCGGTTGCTTTAAATAATGCAGTGCCTACGTACTGGCGATTTTTCAATATCTTTGGTTTTCAAAAAATCTTCAAAAATTCTTATCATTTTTCTCAAATGCCTAAACCCCATGGAGTGATTGTCTGGCGGCTATTCTAATCCGACACACAACATCTATTGATGCCAGAGTATTTCAGCCAGGCCTGCCGCCTTGCAAAACGAACCCAGATTGTGTGGTGTGACATAAGTTTCATTTGTGCCTGAAACAGGCCAGATTAGCGTGCAGCAGTATTGTATTGGTGATAATTTGCTCATGCTGAATGCCACAAACAGAGGTATAATCTTTCAAAACTATGACGGATTTCCTCCGCTATTGACAACTGAAAAAATGTTGGCAACTCCCAGCAGCTCTGTCTTTTGTTCCGAGGATGGTCTTTTGTTACAAGACCCACAGCTCTTTTGTCCAATTTCAGGCACTCGGGCTATGCATACAAACCCAAGGTACCAGAAACCAGGCTCCCCGGCAGAATATGGTTAACTTATTCCGTCCCAATCTTCTTGTTTTCTGGCACCCGACATTTACAATCACAACAGATTTTTGCATGTGTCATTTTTTGTAATTTTACTCTGTATTGTTGGATCGCCATTCTCCCCACAGCCTAACACCCACGACCATGACATGTCCCTAGCCCTGAATCGCTACCTCTGCAACTCAGTCCTGCCCCTGCTGACGCGCCACGCCCACATGTTTGAGAACGCTGACCAGTACGCCTCGCTGTTGGACTCCACCCTCCACACTGTCTACAGGATGGCGAGCTGCAGGTCGCTGACCCGGGGTCAGAGGGACACTGTGGCAGACTTTCTGGTTGCCTTAACAAGGTAATGGAATAGAACGCAAGCTGTCTGTCTGTCTGTCTTAGTCTCTGTCTGGCTATTCATTTTTCATATCTTGCATTTGTGATTCATCAGAATAAAAAGACAAAATACAGAGAAATTCCTTTTCAAATTGGACTAGCACTTTAAAGGTGAATCCTGTTTTATGTTGGTTTACCATCTGTACAAACCATTTTATTCATTCACACCATAGCAAGCAGCCATCCACTCCATGTGGCAATGCAAGGCCAATATGGATGGTCCTCTAGGAGTTGATTATTCAGTATCCGGTCCCTAGTAGTATTTGACAGTGTGAAAAGGTGCTAGATCTAAACATAAAGCAGTAACATAACCCCTGTCCTGAACCACCGCCACTGACTGTGCTGTGAATGGAGGAAATGGTTTGTGCACATTTACAAGAATTGTCTGTTTTAGCAACATTGTACAGTTAGCATGACCAATTTTTCAAAAGGTCATCAAGTAACCTGCTTTCAAATACCGGATACCATTAGAAGTGGTGTGTAACTTGTTGAGGAAAAGTTGCCACTGATACTGCCTTGTTGAGTGATAGTACATGCTGGTATTTTACAAGAAGGGGTTTGAACCTGTTGATCGAGAAAGTATAGGCTTTAGTCGCATAAAAGGGGGACAAGAGGGCTGCATGGATCAGTCCTGGTCTCAGGCTTTTATCTACTTGGCTGAATCACTCTGATCGTGGCCATACTTCCTCACAGGCTGCTCGCCTGTGTTGAGTTGATAGGAATCACGGGCAGGTCATTACAGCGTGTAAACTGACAAGTGAAATTACTTGCAGCTTGGTGAGATGGATGCATGTGTCTTTATTGTGACAGTAGTGATATTAGTGTTGGAACAGAGTTAAGATGAACAAGGGAACGCTTTTAGCCTAGTGCACTATGTTTATACTGATTCAAAGTTTACTGTTCAAGCATGGTCTGGTTTTAAGTTGGATGAGCCCGTCAGGGTTGAGTGATATCACGTTCAACGAACAGCTTGAAAGCAAAACATATTTATTTGTACATTAACCCTAACCCTCCTCAATCCTTCACCTGTTGGAGGACTGAGGAGTGTTAGGGTTAAAATAAGTATAAATACATTAAAAATACATGTAAGAGGGATTTAAAAGACTAGATACACCAAAACCAAATGATAAAAATTGAACATATCAAATTTGACAGCAAACAATAACGAAGAACAACTTCTGAATCTACTTTGTGATACAGGACAGGACTGATTGCCTGTACTGACTTTTCATTCCCGTCGTCACATTTTTAGTTCTTACCGGTTTTTTGTTGGCTTTTCTTGATGGAAATAACTGTCATCGACAAGAGTAATGCAGTTGCTTTGTACTGAGACATAAAGCAAATCTGATACTTCTCACATAAACAACTCCCTATGTGCACCCCAAATACTGGGACAGGAATGATGCTATTGTGTACAAACTCATTGTTGAAATTATTCTCATTATGTTCTCGTTTATTTTTTGTTTTCGTTTGGATGACTTTAATTGGTATTGCGAAAAAATGCAATGTAGTTGCTTTTCACTGGGTTGGAATGTTGCATTCGCTTCTGAATACTGGGAAAGATGTGATTTATTGTGTTAGCATTAATGTTTGAAGTACTTTTATCTTTTCCATTAATTTCTTCTTTTGTTGTGGCATGTAAATTTGATTTTTTTGTAACAAAATCAAATTCTAAATCTGAATCTTACTGTAAGAGTGGTGTTCCTACTGTGTGATTGGGTTGAAATGTGTTGAATATAAGAGGGAACAGTGTTTCATGATTTTACAAGGTTGCCACGGAAACAAGATGAGGTCTTACCTGTGAGCCTGTCACATTGAGACATATCATATTTGGCCAATCAGAAGCAAGGATGGTGAACACACCTCAATTTGTAAGTGGCCTGTAGTGCTTTTACGTGGCAGTGCCCAGTTTCTAGACCTTGCGCTGCGGGCTGGAGCGTATATATTTGCGTTTGGGCAGCCATACCCGATAGATCAAACTTTGGTTGTCGTGGGAGCCCGCACTACGCTGTGTTCAATTGCAAACCTTCTGTGCATGAATTCATATTCCATTGGAGATTTCACTTTGGATTCAACTCCAAACTTTGCGGATTTCGATGGCTACAATTTTTCAACAACATCGACACCAGCAGACAACATACCAGCCAGCTACAGTAAGATAGTCACTTTGGTCTTACTTCCCTTGTCCACCTTTCTCAACTTGACACTGAACCCCCTGTGTCTCCTTGTTCTGAGACGGGTGGACAGCATCCAGGAAACCACCAAAGTCTTTCTGCAACTGATGACACCTACCGATCTTGGGGTTAGGATTTTTCTGGCTCTGCCCATGACTTTGTCTGCTCTTCATGGCGAGTGGTTCCTTGGTGATGTACTGTGTGCACTGCAAGCATATATTGGACCTGGTTTTGTCTATTGCTCTCTGCTATCACTGACACTGTTAACAGATGATCATTACATTTCAGTGGTGCATGCACTCCGTTATATCAGTTGTAACTGTGAAGCGAGCATGAATTGGTAGTATGTTTGACTGCAGAAGTTGGTTTGAGGATACAGATTACATGCCTACATGCAGGAAGAGCAGTTTGTCATTTTGTCTTTATGGCCTTATTACTTCATTGTGTTCCGATGCAGGTTCTGCAAACAGTTATATTTACCCAAGCATTATTCTCTCTCAAATATTATTTGCTGTGGTCAATGTCTTGATTACTTGCATAAGACTCATTTTGAGTTTGCGGCATCATATTCGGCACATCCAGCTGACCACCAAGCTGCTCATGAATGTCATCAGCCGAGAAGACCCAGCAATAAGATGCTCCACACGTTACCTATGATTGTGCTGAGCCCATTGGTCTTCAACCTCATGCAAGGGTTTTGGTTAATTTGGCTGGTTCATTTTGGCCAGATGATGGCCTTCTTCATGTTCTTCCTACCAGTGCTGACAAACAGTTGGCTGAATGTGGTCATCTATTTTTTCAGAAGCCAGGACATTCGTCCTGGGTCACATTTTTTTAGGAGCATATTCCTTGCAGCTTGAACTGAACAGGAAAACCAATGGTAACTCTGTGAAATGTGCATTCCAATTTTTCAGTTGTACCTTCAAGTTCCTCACTTGTCAAAGCATGAATTCTCTATTTGGCATAGGGCCCCTTAACTTCTTTTGTGACCTACTCGTAACTATAGTTTGCATGGGAGGGCATATAAACATGATGTGGTAGTCTGCATACTTAGGGACGGCTGATGCCTTAAACTGCCAGGCATGACCCAAGTCACTGCCACCACCGGTGGAGGGGAGGACTAGTGCCCCCTCTCACTTTTCGAGGGGGGCATGGCCCCCACTTTTGGCCGGTCCTGTGATGCGATGGGGCTTAATAGATCGGTATAGTTATGGCTAGTGAGTGATGGTCTCACCACTATCCCCTCATGTTGAAGAACATTCCATTGCCATTGGTTACTGTCAGCAGACTCATACATCTGCTAATCTTTCAATTGTTTTATACAGACACAAGTCCGTTGAATCTGTTGATGTAGAATGTGCATGTTGCACATACATGTAACTTGACTGCTGTGCACAGTGTGTTTCTTAGCAATGGTAGCATCCTAGAAGTCGGGATGAGAAATGTCATACAAATATTGTTCCATTGACTCCAGCTGGTCTGTATAATGTGCCCTGTTCACCATTTATCCAAAAATACACCTGCTGTATCCCCCCTTTGTTGAAAGTCTAAATTTTCAACCAAAGAATTAATACAGTCAGGAAGTAGTTGTAATAAAGTCATCAAGGGCCGTCACAAGCTAATCACTAACCATTACAAATCAATCAGGAATAAATCATGAGTGCCATATGCTGGCTTTAAGTCAGTTGAAGTGTGCAATGTGTAGAAAGGTGTTTTAATTTGTCTATAAATGTCAAAAATTTAAAATTTTGCATCAAGAGAAAAATGCCATTTTGGTGCTTTATCACAATTATAGTCACCTGATATTAATTCAGTCTTAGTTTGTTAATATTCTGGAATTTCATTGTGAAATTAAACACAGACTGTGAGATAAAAAGACAACAGTGTATGATTATGCATGTACATGATACATGTATGTACACAGATCGGCATAAAAACATACCACTGGACCAGTGAAAATGCTGGTGGATTAGTAAAAAGTCACCATTACTGGTCTGACTGGCTTGTGACAAAAACATTTAAGGAGAACCCTGAATATTATATTTGATCTACACTTATTCAAATAACTTGTCTCAATAACTGTAAAAATCACACACAAACCTTGTCCCTGCCCTTTGCTTCCCCATTCCTGTCCATCCCCTTCTTTTCCTCTTTCCTGCTCCTGCTTCCTCATTCCAAGCCTGACCCAGCCCTAGTAGTGCACCAATCTCTGCCCCTCCAGCTACCAATGACCCCTTCCCATCCCCTGTCTTTGGCCCGTCCTCCCTTCGCCCCTTTCCCAACCCTGTCCCTAGCACCGTGCCCAGGCTGCATATGTTTTTTTCCCAAACGAGATCCAACAGTTTCTGAAGAGGGCGCCCTCTGTGCTTATGCATTATTCATAATCTGTCCAATCACCGATGCTCGACGGTGGATGTGTGGACTGGTCGGAAGCGGTCCTGACTAGAAATCCTCTGTCCAAGGTTCAAATCCCCTCTGTTGTGTTTACCCAATGCCCTGCCCTGTCTCCTACCCCAGCCCCCGTCCTAGTCCCTACCCCAATTTCCTGTTTAGTCCCAATCCTAGCACTTGCTGTAGCCGCTACCCCATCCCTTCTCCATCCCATACCTCGTTTGCCCTCACAAGCGTAGGCTATTTTAAAGATCAAGATCTTAGTGGCTTAAAATAGATTGAAACCACCCAAAAAAAGGCTGTAGAGTTCTGAAACCTTTGATATTGCTGTGTACATTACAGGAGTCTGCGGCCAAGCATGATGCAACGATTACTCCGCAAGTTGATCATAGATGTGCCTGCCCTTGTTGAACACACCTATGTTGCCCTCAAGGTACATATTTAAAGATTATTAACTACTGTGATGTTGGATATGATACTGTAACACCTGAGGGACTCATGGCACCCACAGCTTTGTCTTGGTTGCTGTGTGTCCATGAGGAGCACAACTGGTAACAAAAATTACAGTGCTCTTTTGTCTTGATCATTGTACATGTAGGTCACTGAAAACACAATATTCAGGACAGTGGCACAACAGTATTATGAAAGACAGGGGTGAAATCCGTTCTTCTCTCATATCTGCACTTTTGGAACTTTTTGTTAGAGCAGAACTTGCTTAATAGAGATTATGCGTTAATGCGTCCTCAGAGGGCAAGGGTTTTGTATCACTTGTATATATTGCTTGAGTAAAACCATTTGTGCATTAGTTGTATCTAAATTCAATTAACAAAAACAGCCTCTGAGATACCATGGACATGATGGAGATATCAGCAATGCTTAATCTCTTTCTTGTTCACATCTTGCCAGCAGTGGTCATTGATGGCAGTGTGCCGATTCACACTGGCTACCTCACCTGTTGAGTTGTCATTACATTGATGGCAGTGTGCGGATTCACACTGGCTACTTCACCTATTGAGTTGTCATTGCATATACAGTACACTAATAAGCAGGTCATGGGTTTGATTCTCACCAGAGGGAACTTTTGAATTAAGTTTTGAATATGCATTACTTTAAGGTACTACATCAAAAAAGTGAATTCACTTTTTCAATGCAATGCTGATCAAATTTATTGCAATTACGACAAATTAGAATGCTGAAAGACACATGTAGAAGTTTTACTGCAAGGAGACTGAGCTTGATAGTGTTCAGGGGTGAAATTTAAGAATCGTTCTTGAGAATTTGTGCAAATTGCTTTTTGAAATAACTGTGAAATGTTCACATCAAAACTTGTCGAAATAAAACATAACATGCAGTAGTGCAGACCTCTTGCACACGGATATGCATGTAGCTGGTCCTGCTTGACCTCATACACTCCATAGCCATGCATTGTTGGAATACAAAACTGGCTCCTTGCTTCAGAGTTACTCGTACATGCTACTGTCCTGTTTGTCCATAGCTTCTGCAGCTGCACTATGAGCGATGCATCAACTATTATGGCAGCATCGGTGGCTGGGGCAGCCACGGCATGGCCAACGACGAAGAGAAGAGGCTGACGATGATGCTGTTCACTGGGCTGTTTGATGCCTTGGCCGACAGGGTGAGCCATTAAATTTTTGAATGACCGTTTAATTGAGTCTTCCTTTCTTGGGTTCAAGCATAATTCTTACTCTTATTTAAGGATTGAGGGCTGTTTTGGATGAAATGCTATCGTATACAATCATGATTGCTTATGCTTGCAGTGGTAAGAATAGTTCCATTATGTGACAGATGGTATGTTCTGTTCCACGAGGCAGCACTTGACAAACTTCATGTAATTCCTGATACAAAGTGAAAGGAGCTAGTTTTTCAACTTCGAATAAGAAACATGTGCACAGTAGAGTTTTCTCAAATTTTGTTCTCAAATCTTTTAAGTTTATTAAATAACCCCTTGAAAAGTAAAGAAAATGGGGGAAGGACAAGATATCACTCCCCCCCCAAGGAAAATTGAAAATTATGTCAGCGATTATTCAGACACTTGATTTTGTCATGTTAGCAAAAAGAGTTTATCTCTTGTGTTTTTCACCCTTTTCAATGTAGGAGTATGACTCTGAGATGTTTGACAAAGCCCTGCCCTGTCTGACTGCCATAGGCAGTGCCCTGCCACCGGACTATTCCATGGCTTACAATGACGCCAGCTACATCCGAGAGTCCAGCTTTGATGCAGATGGGCTATACCAACCCAAACCTGTCGAAACGTCAAGGTGTGGACCGTACCGGGTTGCTTACATAATTCTAGATTTATATTTCATGTGATTGACAGATCTCCGACCTGTTGAATCTGCTGTTCATAAATTCCTAAGGCAGTTTGAACAGTGTAATTGGTCCAGAGACCATCCCTTTGGCTTTTTTTTTCTTTTCAATCAGATGATACCACGTGTGTGAGAAATGTTTGAAACCAGTCAATAAAAACTGTTGCCCCTCAATAGGGATAACCAATATGTTCATTGTTACTTTGAATCAAACATACTTGTCTAAACTGGCTCATCCAAATTTGATTCCTCTGTTTGTAATTTTAAATTTGTATTGTTGTCAACTTAAGGTAATTTGAGCAGTCTGGTTGGCATAGTGCTTCTTTAATCACCTTCCACTTCTCCAGCTTGGGTTAAATTCCTGACTCCGTCCATACATGGATTGGATCATCAGTGCCCACCTGATTCCCTGGGTTTTACCCAGAATATTCTAAGGTTTTCCTCCCACCTCTAAAACTGTAACTGCTTCTCATTGTCTCTACTTTTCACCTCTCTCCAGGCTTACGAGCAATGCCTAGGGTACTTTTGAGGAATCCTTGGTGTTATTGCCAGAAACACCTTATAAATAAATACTGTTTAATTGGTTTTCTTTTGATAGAGTGCTGTTGAATGAGAATCTGCTGTCTTTCAGTGATCGCTTTGCCGAGCACCTTCACGATGCCTGGGCACTCAATATGGTGCGTCACACAGTACATAAAGGGTCGTTTCATGTAAAAAACAAATGCGGTTGACGAGATTGCTTTTTCTTGATCCATATTCAGGCTTCAAGTTACTGGAAAGTTTTTATACATCTTGACTTTGCAAAGTTTGGTTTTTTCTTTCACTTTCAACTTGTTTGCGCTTGCAGTCAAAGGATTAACTCGTGCCTAGAGTATTCATATATCGCTCTGCTAGTGTTTATCTGCTGGAGTTAACAAGTCTTTTTTGAACCATTGGAAGTTCACCCCCTTGCAGGATGTCTTTTGATATTGGCCACTTAAGAATTAATGTTTGAGGAAAAGAACATGAAACAATCACTAATTATTCAATCACTCTTTTTTTCTTCTGATATATGTGCACACAAAAGAATGCTCCAACCTTTGCAAACAATATACTCAAATTCAAGGTTGTACTTAGTTGATCATACAGTGATGAGTTGGAGAAAAAACAGGGTCTATTTTTCATTTAAAAATTTGTAGTTTGAAGCTGGTTGGACCCATGGGGAGATCGAAAATAATGCTATGAAGGAACACCCGTCGCTAAGACCTTACCGCACACTCCACCCTAAGGTAAGAATTACTGATACACTCAAAAATAACACCGATTTACTGTCTCTTACGCTGTTTTACAAGGTGTCAACAAAACTACTCAAACCCTCTAACCGCTATACCTTTTGACAGACTGACCGTGCCAATTGTAATGTTTTTATAACACTTACCATCATACCCCTAAAAGAGGAAATCTGCCCTTACTTTTGCAAAATTGTCTGCAGCAACTAAACTTTGCATTTGAATGCAAATTTGCTGGGAGTGTGCACTGGCCCTTGGGAGAGCACTTTTGGAGTGACTTTAATCTTGTAACATTTGATCCTGCAGGAGAAGGACAGTTACCGAGACATAATCCGAGAGAGCTTGAAAGCCATCTTGGCATGGGGCTGGGCCATCGAGAAAAGCAAAGTTCAAGAGCAGCACGCTCATGCCCATAGACCGAGACGCCTGTCCAAAACCAGCCTGGTAGGTTGATGGTCCGTGTACACATAACTACTGCCTCAAAAACATTCAGAGATTCGTAGCAAAGATTTCTCACCTGGGGATTTTGGAATGGATTTTTTTAGTGTTTTGAGTGCATGTGCAGTGCCTTATCACAAAGTACAGCCTTTCTTCAAATACCAAACTCTGTACGAATTGTCTGGGTGTTACGAAGCTTAAACTAGCACTCAGAACAGCTTTTAAAAACTTTTTGCCCTTACTGACAATCTTGAGAATCCTTTGAATTTCCATTTTTTTCAGGATAAAGCAAAAGGAAAAAAGTGGTGTTCTAACAGATTATGCAGTTTCCAGTTTTTTACAAGTTGCTGGCTACCTTTTGCCTGAGGTGCTGCTTTTGAATTTGATAGTTTGTTGACCTCTCCAATGACCTTTGACTCCACAGGGTGCCATGGAATCTCCTCATGGTTATAACCCCCGACCAATTGACATGAGCAACAACACCCTCACAAGAGAAATGCAGGTAGGTCAGTCTTTAGAATGGCATTAAAAAACCACATAGTGGCTATCCGCCTCGATCAGAAGTACCCACTCATCGGTAAAAAAGGGCTGTGTTGGTCAGGAGTGTTCACTTTGTTGGTAGCAATGTGACTGTGACGCGTGCCTTTTTGAGTCGTTCATGAACCAGCAAAGTTCAGTTCCGACCAATGGAGCCTTCATTGCTAAGAAACCAGCGTCCTCTCTTTCTCCAACCCGAGGCTCATAAAGTAATGTGACTTCCAAATTTCATAGTTAGGGTATTGTACAGAAAGCTTTGCAAATCTCTGTAATGTTTTAGATTCCACTTTTTCGTTGAGGTACTTTACATAGAGGCCATTCATTTAAGGTCGATTCATGGCTCTTGGAGATTTTATATGAAGAGATATAAAGTTCCAGATCCATTTGTTTCAGAGTGGTCTGGTTCCTAGTCCCAGGGGTGTAGATTGGTTCAGTAGAAGTATACAACAACTCGCCTCCTAAGTGTGATATCATTTTGAACCGGGCAGTGTAGTGCAAATGAATGGAATACACGCACGTGTTGGCTCACACGCTGGTTCTCTTGTCCCTAGCCATTACCAGAGGAAAAAAGTGAGGATGCATACCTGCTGTGCACTTGTATTTCAGACAATGGCCGAGCGACTGGCTGAGAATGCACATGATGTCTGGGCTAAGAAAACCAAGATGGAGATGGATGCAACAGGTAAGGATTATTAAGGGTTGGAGGTCAGTTAAAAGCAGGCTGTGTACTCCCCTCACTGACCACTCCTCCTTCCCCCTCCCCTTCATTGGAAGAGCTATTCAAATTCCCAATATTGTCCAATCAGTGAGCTCCAAATCACCACAACCACTTTATAAAGGCTTCTACAAGAGTCTTGTACTCTATAACTCAGTAGGAATCCTCATAATTTTTGACCCACATCATGTCCACTTTCATCAGGATGCCAAACTGAGTGATAGAGCAAAACAGCAAAACAGAGCTCAGTTTGCTCTTTTCAATGCCAATCAGAACCAACATTCTAAAAAAAGGACTTGAAGCTTCAATTTGTGTTAGCAAGTCACAAATAATTGTGAAGTTTTGTAGAGATTTTTTACAGGATGTAAGTCAACCAATTCCAACTGGGTGACATGCAATTATGAGTATTCTTTGTACCGGCTACACAAGAGACATTTAAATACACCGTGGCACTTTCTGTATGTGATAGCAGATGACATCTATATACTCATCCCCATGCTTAGCATGTGTGAAGCCCTCAAGTTTTAATGTGCCATGACCAAATGTTGCCAAAGATCACTCTGTGGCATTGTCACTTCTGCAGAAAACTCTTAAGGCTGCAAATGCTCACTGAGCATAAGCTGATTACATACTGGCCAAGGGGTCATGTGATGTACAATTCCGAGTTTTGGTTCTCTGTTCATTCTTTTCCTTCAGCACTTTAATAATCAAATTCTCTGATTGATAACTTTTTCGCTTTAAGTAAGCTTCGTGAAGTTCTGCCGTGTCCTGCACCCCGAGACGCGGCAGTGTAAACATAGTAATCACTTTTTTTTCACACTCTAAGACTAACGTTGCCGGTTGTGGATACATTACAGGGGGAGGTTGCCACAGCCAGTTGGTACCCTTTGACATCTTGACCGACCAGGAAAAGAAGAAAGATCGCGAGATGGCACAGGCCTTGCTCAAATTCCTGCAGGTTAATGGCTACCGGTTGCACAGGTGAGAACAGATTACCACCAAGCAACACCTCTGTAATGAGCATTACACTACTGTACATTTGCCCATAACAATAATCCTCACTCCATTATACTGTGTAAAGATATGCACCAGATACTACATGTAAACCATACTTTTTTCGTGGATCCCAACATGTGAGCTCCTCTGTTATTCCTTAATCCCTTCACGCCGTGAGGCGTAAAGACACGCCGTAAAAATTGAGATCCTCAGCCCGCTTTTCAGCTTTTATTCTCGGCCCACGCTTGAGTGAACACGGTGAAAGAAGGCAGACCCTGGCTCTTGTGTATATGGCAATTGGCCTTTTGTGATGCCCAGAAATGAAAAGACCGAATTTGCATCATAATCACCAGCTTCACAATAGTTCCCACTTTGAAAAGAGGCAACGGGAATGTGGAAGCTTGAGTAGAGCCGCATGCCACAAAACAGTCAGCCTTTTCACCGTGTAATTCAAAGCGTGAAGAGCACGCTGGGCCACAAACCGAGAATTTGTGGTTTGGCAGCTGGCCTTCGTGGTCAAGCGAGGCTGGAATTCTTGGAGTCGGCTTTCCGAAAGCAATTTCTGCCGAGAAGGGGTTAATTGCTTCAAAATCATATCCAATTCTTTTCAGTATTATGACAAAATATTTAACATCAAATTTGGTCATGTATGTTAAATGTATGGTACATGTAACCTTCCTGGATCCTTTAAATCCAGTTTGAGTTTTTGTAAATCGAAGAAGGTAGAGCCTAGTGTTTATTTCTTTTGTATACATGTATAGAGCCAGGCCTGATACTCTAGTAGAGATAAAGTGCATAGTATGTGATGCAGATGCATTTGGAGAATATATGGACGTTTGAAGCAAAAATTAACACGAAGGCATAGTTAGTATCATTTTTGGTAAGTCAGGGTGTACAAAGATTTCAGGACATTTGATGCCCTATTAATATTTCAGTGTGGGAAATCTTTGTCAGAAATCTTCCAAGTGGGAAGTTTCAGTGTAAGATCTTCATCACAAGCAAAGGAAGTCCACTTGTTTTGTTTTATTCACTTTATGACTTTGTCAAACTTTTACCTTGATCCAGCGAAGAGGAAGAAGAAAAGAGGTAACCGTGGCAACCATTTTTCACATTGAAGTTCTTTTCTTAACTTTCCCAGTAGCTGTTGTAGACATCCTTTGGACTCCTGTTGTTCTTGAAATTGCATGAACACTACACCAAGCATGTTGTAGATTTTTTCAAAATACAAATCTGTTCCTCCAGATTAAAATGTTTTGTAGAATCTGACCCATCATCCCCTAACGAAGATACAGTGTTGTTCTCAGAACAGAATCACACTTGCAGAATTTGTATTTCTTGTGAAGAAAAATGTTGCCTGGAATAACTCACAGCCAAGAAGTTTTTTGGGGTCAATTTTGGCCAGGTTTGGGGATGCTGGATCATATGCATTTTCTGGTATATATTGGTTTGTTGTAATTGACTGTGATGTCTCCATCTGTGAGCATGAAGCCACAGTCTGGCTTTAACTCCTGTATCATTGGTAAATGGACTGTGTGCACAACATGATGACTTCTGTGTCTGCCACCTTCATTATTTGAAGAAAAACCCACATGGTCGACGCTGCATCCTAAATTAGTCTAAGGCTTTCCTTTTTCCATCACATAGCAGGCTTTGCTGTAAAACATGTGAGAGTGCCCTCAAGTTCTGGGGCTTTCTGATACGTTTTATGCCTTTTTCTCAACCAAATGGCCACTGATGATGTATCAATGATATCTCCAGTGAATTTTTTGTGTACTCCACAACTTTGCCAAACAGTATTTTCCACTGAGTGTCTCCATTAATGAAAAAGAGGCCTACACTGAGTAATCATGGCCCCCCCGCCGTACTAAGGCTAGGAACCTGTCTTTGTGCATGCCTCTTTGTTATACAAATAATGGTCTTGCTTCCTGTGTTGTTTTGCATGTGGATATGGTTGATGGCGATGACCTTCCAAAATCTCCCACAGTAGCAATAGTTTACTGCTTGATAGAACTTTCCATTCTTGAGAAAAGTATGTTCTCGTAGAATTGATTACATTAACCCTTCTTCTGTTTTAACCATCAAAAACAGTCAAAAATGCCTTCCAATTGATTTTCCCCAGTACACAGACACATATGGGAAATTTGACTGATTTTGAATGATATGACAACTGTGTCAAAAATGCATCTTAGCATAGGAGGGTTAAAGTTTATACTTTGAATTAGTGCATTTGACATACATGAGTGCTTGAAATGTGCATGTTTTAGTCTGTAATAATTCCAACAAACTTTGATGCTAAAAGAGTGATGTAATTTTACTTGACAGCTTCTATTGAAAGGTTTGCATCACTGAAATAACAATAGTGATGCATGCATTCCTATATCTCAAAGCATATTTAACAGGTGTTTCCTGGTATAGTTGGTCTTTTCCAAAATTACACCTTTTCTCTTCATCTTGTGGATACCTGTATATTTACATTTGCTCGTACTTCTTTACACAATATTGTCTTGTGAATCTGAACATTTTTAACTGTAGCTATCATACAGCGTTGCTTATGTTCTAGCCAATTAACAATTATTGACTGGTGTGATGACACCTTAGGGATTCATAGCACCCAAGGCAAAGCCAAAAGTGTTCTGAGTCGCGTCTGTTCTGTCTTTTGTTCTGTCTTGTTTCTATTCGTCTGTTTTTAATCTTTGCAGGACGAGCAGACAGTACGATGCAGACGGCCTGGTGAGAGGTGCCAGTACAATTGAGAAGCGCTTTGCCTACAACCTGCTGGAAAAACTGCTCCATTACGTGGACAAGGCACATACCAACCTCAAACCAATGATGAGAGATGGTAGGCCGGAACTTCAGCATGTGGCGCTGATATTGAATGGAGTTTACTGTGTCTGGTTAACTGGCACGGATGAGCATTAGCAAGCTCAGTGATAGAATTTCATCTGCTCCAGTGAGCAGGGTGTGGTTGACTCTGTTACATTATTTGTTTTTTGCATCCCTGGTGTGGACACTGAGCCGTAACAGTGCCAAATTTGTGGCACTTATGTTGCAAAATGATGTAATGGATGACCTTGGTTATTTGGCAGGCAAAGGGACTTCTTGAGTTGAATGAGCAAATTGGCTGCAAAATCACATTGAATTTTTGTCTCAAAGTTTACTGAATTGAATGAAAAATATTAGTGAAGTGTTTTCAATGTTATTCACTTTCCAGCACCACACAAGAGGAAAGAGGAAGAGAAGAGCTACAAATTCTTCACTAAAGTAAGACAATTTTAGTCGTGTTTAGACTAATTGCTGTGTGTTAAACGGCCTTGAATAGAATTGTGAAAGAAAGTTTCCAGCCCAAGTCCATGGTGACTTGGAGGTGATTTGAAGTCTGTATGGTGGGGGAAGCAATATGGAATAGCTGCCCTGCAACATGGAGTCCACTGTTTTGTTTTGTTTTTTTCCCTGAGCCTTGCTAATTTATAAGAGATACTTCCCACATTATGCTGTCACAGGCTACTTATTACATCATGAGTTGCCAATGACTTCAATTCGGAATGTTTTTTACAACTGCTAGAGTACACCCAAAATTTTGGTAGTGTGCACATGAAGCCAGAGTTAAATTTTCTGTCTGGCAAAATGGGTCCCTTGTTTCTTGGATATGAGATTATATTAATTACTTTTGGTGACATTGAAAGGAAAAAACTCCCTCGCATTTGGTCACTGTCCCCCTTAGACATCCATCTTTACCTGCATTCCCCACAGGTGGTGCTCCCCCTAATTGAGAAGTACTTCCTGGCCCACTCCACGTACTTTGTTTCGGCACCTAACTCACCTCAGAGCAGTCGTTATGGCTCAGCATCCTACAGAGAGAAGGAAATGGTCACCAGGTGGGTCTTGTTTTTTTAAAGGCTGTCTGCACAGAAATGCGCTTAGTGTCCACATTTGGCATGTTAAATTGCCTCAGGAACTGCTAATACAACTGTAGATTATCCAAATAAATTTTCAAATAAATGGTATTTTATTTTGAAAGTTTTCGAGTGGTCTTGTTCGTTTTCTCAAGGAAACCGTAGCTTTGCCTTTTAAAATCCAAAGAAAAAAAGAAGTAATTAAGTTTATAACATGCCATTGTAGTGTTTCTTTAAGTTGGAATGCTTCCGAATGCAGCCTGCTGTCTGAAAATAATTCATGTGTCGAAGTTCATCAGTAGAGACGGCCGAGAAGTGGAAAGATAAAACTAGAAACTTGCATTTTTGGAAATTGCTGCACTGCTTTGCTTCATCAGTTGGCTTGATATCATGTTAATACACCTAGTCGGAGAATCTAAGATTTTATGATTAAACATTAAAGGCTTTCAAGTAGAATTTGTGGTAAAGCTGAAGATGACCGTGCAAAATGAAAAAAAATGGTGTTGTCTGAGAAAATAGATATGCAGATGTAGCAACATTGGTCCCACAGTATGTGGACACGTGAAAAAAGCACGCTTGCACCGTCCATCACCAGCTTTTCCTTAACATGCATGGAAAGTCTACATGAAACCATCTACAGTGTTTACAGTTGTTTGATGTCGGATTATGGAATTTCCTGGGGCATTTTACCCAGATAGTGTTATCCATCTGTCTGCATCAGTAACCTTCTGGTCATTAGCATACCCGTACATGAATGTTGTTACTTCTACTGTTGCATGGTGCTATAGCAGAATTGTTTGACAAGTGAAATCCAATATTTAGATATCTTGGTTACATGACTCGTAAAGCATCACTGCCTCTTGATTCATTCCATAGTTGTTTCTTTGAAAAGAGGACTAGTGACAGTTTGCAAACGACAAAAGTTAAAATGTGTTTACTTTGCTGACATGCATTTAGCATGTGAGAAATAGTCTCACTATCAAAACAAAAGTTTGCATCTCTGAAAAGGGTGCTCCTGTGTAGATGGTCTTGTAACATTTAGTAGTTACTCCAAAAGTTGCTGGTTATACACTAGTGATTAGTCCATGTATTTTACACATTGCTTATCACCGATGTATATCTTCACAAGATCAACACTAAACTGGAGTCTCTTGACTTTGTAGTGTTTGGAAGAAAACAAATCCATCAATGTAAAAGCAAACTTGACAATCTGCTGCCTTACATTAAAACCCACGTCATATCTAGGTTTAAGGATTGAGAAGAATACTTGAGATTTTGAACGGAAGTTTAAAGACCTTTACTTTGCATCTCACACAGTGAGAATGACTCAGTGAGCTCTGCTGTTTGTAGTGTCGTTGCTAAAACAAAGTTCACATAGTTTTGCTTGTGCAGGTTTGGTTAATTCCCGATCAAGGGGAGAGGCCATCTTAAAGAGAAGCAGTGCATGCTGGGATTAGTTTCCAAATGCAAGGGCCGATGATGGTGTCCCACGTGGCTGTCTCTCTGCATAATGCATATTCTTTCAGATGCTCATAAGATGTGCACTTCAAAATAGTGCATTTATAAGCAGAAGATAAAGGCATATAAGTGATTGCATTCATCCTCAGGAACTGCTCGCTGTATGGAGAATGCTATCCCATGATGGCGAGTAGGGTAGCAGGGAAGCTCTGCTCTCTGCTGTGTTGATTTATATACATGCATGCACCTTGTGTGCCATGCGATGGCTGAAAGCTTACCAAGCTGGCTTGTGTACAGACTTGTCGTAAGAATAAGGGGTCTCTGGTTGATATGAGTATGTAACCTTGCAATACCTTGTAATTGACCTTTCACCCCACTTCCTGCTACTCAACTCCCGACCCCCCCCAACAATCCATACCCACCAAATCACAACCCAAAGTGGCCAACCCGCCAAGACAGGTGCTTCCCCCGTGGAAACGATCATGGTGGCAAGGTGAGAGGCTGAAAACTCTGCATGAGGGGAAAAAAAGACCCAAACCTTGTTTCTTTTTTCTGATAATGCATCCCCCTGATTGCATGAAATGCCGCATTGCCAATTTCTTTTTTTCTGAAAGTGGTGTATCCCTTCAATAGTTTGAAATCCCTTCTTATAGGAGTAAAATTTGGAGTACCTGTAATGAAAAAAATCCCTGTTTGCTTTGGGTTTTTTTTGGAAGTGCCTCATCACTGTGTATTTGTTTTATGTGTCTTTTTGATTTACATTATATTCATTGTTTCATAAAGTGTCTAAAATTATTGTAAATGAGCTAGAAGCTTTCTTTTTTTAGAAACTTATCTTATTTCAAATAATTCTTACGCTCCAGAATGTATAGTGTTTTTATTGCATAAACAGGAGACAGTAACGGTCATTATCCTGTATTGTAACTGAAATGCATGAGCTATGAATTTTAAAAAATTGGACTTAATTGAAGAAGATCCCAGCAACTTCTGAGCTTGACTCTAGCTAGGGCTTGAAGATATTTATATTTATAAGCATTTTGTTCATAATAAGCACAGATCACTGCACATTCTTTACCATCTAAAGATGCACAAATTGTTGTTACAGATTTTAGAAATTTATTTTTTTATCCCATTCATGCTCCTGCAGCTGCTCTTTGTTGCTTTTCTTCTTAATCGTGTCTCCAAATCAGCTTCATTCTTTATACAGAAAGTATGTAAAATTTCCTTCATAGACCAGGAAGCAAACTTACCAGAAAAATATAAGTCTCTGTGGTCACCGTATTAAGTGAATCGTCAGATGAAGTCTTGTGTACTCAGTTTTCTTACCGTGAAATAGTTTGCAGTCTGTCATTTAATTTGTGTTGTGGGTGTGAGTTCTAGTGTGTAACTTTTCCAGTGAAATAACCCGATGATTTTGGCTGTTGTGGTATGTGAACTATTCCTGAGTAGAGTCAGACATCCATCTGCCCTTATATTCACTTTTTTCAATACAGTTTACGATGTTACCTTGAAGAATTGTTTTGAAGTAGATTGACGATTGCAGACTCATTCCCTGATAGGCATTTAGTATGTTGGGGTCACGTGAACAAAATTATTGTACATGTTTTCCTTTTTCTCTGATTTTAAACATTTTTAACCCTCCTATGGTGAACTTGGTCACTTGGTGAACACCTCAAAGAAGCACAGCTGAGTTGTGTTGTGCGCTGCACCAACTGTCCCTCACAGGAATATCTGATCGCACTTTTTTTGCTGCCCAATATCTGTGCTTCACTGTTTCATATGCATAATTGTGCAGTAAACCAAATGCAGTGAAGAGGACTGCACAAAAGACCTTGGGTCATTTTGTGCTGGCAACCCACTGTGTACACACTGAGCCTGTGCATGTTTGGGTTCCATATAGAAAACACATGCAAGAGAGTGACTGTGGGCACTTGTGCATATTTGTGCTGTAAAACCAAAGGAGGGTTAATGCAGTGAATTCACCTACAGTGAGAAAAAAGTGTATTGTCTGTCAAAGATGTAAAAAAAAAAACAGCTCAAGAGGAAAAAAACAAGTGTGTCCTTAATTCAGATTTTTCTCATGGGTTATTTTATCCGTGGGCTAAATTGGCTTGTAGCAACTTACAGCATAACATTAATATTTCAACTTTTTTCTGAGCTTGGAAAAATATGAAGAAAGAGTCTTAAAACCTTACGTAAAAAGCTAGTCGTTGAATTCATATTTGATAGTATTTACAGGTTGGCCTTTTGGGGGTTCGAAAATTGATTAAAGATAATTTCAGTCTTGTAATAAATAAGTTAGAAAATTTGCATAATTTTTATTGGCATTATTATTTATTTCTAAACCTTTTTTATGCCATTGATCAGTGCCCTTTTCATTATTTTCAATTGTTTTTTCCAATTTTTTTTAATGAGTGATCTTGAATCTGTAAAATTTCCATGTTGACTGTAATAAGTGGTCATAAAGCTGTAAGTTTCCACAAAGTTTCATTACTTAAAATACGGGTATCTTGTTATTTTGAATAATCTGTTTAATTTTTCTCATTTGTTAAGTAATACTTTAGAACTTTCCTCCATCGGAATTTGTAAATTAGCATACAACTCATGATTTAGAGCATAACAAAAAGTAACCATTGTTACGTTTTTCTCTGTGCAGTCTGTTCTGCAAACTGTCACATTTGGTGAGACAGAAGATCAACATGTTTGGTGAGTTGTGAGAAAGTTTCCTGACCCTCTGCACATTTTGTTGGGCCAAGTTTCATGGCTTTATCATGGCTACCTTGAGAGGAAACTAAACTTCAAAACTACTTTCAATTGGAATATTGTTTAACCCCTTTGCTGTGGAGGACTTCTACTTCCACCACACCGTTCTGTGAGGATTAGTGCATACCACACATACAGTCTATTCACCATGCAGCTGCTGGTTCAATGGGGCCTGCTGCTGGACAAAGCCCCCCATTCAGGGCATACCACAGCCCAGCAGTTGCAGTCAAATTAATCCCGCAGTGAAGGGGTTATGGAAAACTTCGTGACATACACACAAACCAGAAAACAATGTACATGTAGACATAAATATGAAGTTCTGATTGGTAAACACTGAAGTTTTATTTGCACTGATTTTTTATTGGCTTGCAATGGTCATTTTACAAATTATTTCTTGCCAGGGCTGTATTCTAAAAGGTCTTTTTCTGAGAATTTCTTTCCTGCGTAAATGTGTTGTCAAGAATTTACGAAAGATCAAAGGCCTTATGACAGCCGAGGGAAAAATGATTGCATTTTCTTTTTCGTTTAGGTCGGGATCTAGAGTGCATCATCAGATGTCTAAGGGTTGTGGCCCAGTCCATGGATGCAAGGTAAAAGCTTCCCTAGTGATGGGCATTTGATTTTGAAGCAACGTGTGATGTGCTGAAAAGTAGCTCCTGATCCAGTGGGAAAAAAACTGTTTCTAATCTTAAAGCTTTCTGCATCTCTGGTTGTTTCTGTAATGGACCAAGCATGGTGGGTCATGGCCCAGCAAACTCAGTCCAAATGGGTCGAGTGGTGGCCTCAACAGACAACCCAAACAAACCAGAAAATTTTATAACTAACACAGGACATGGACAAATAAATGCCAAATCCGAAAATGATACTCGAGAAAAGAGACAGATTTAGGGGGCATCTCCAACATTTGTTTAATGCAAAATACATAGAAATCAGACAAAGTGATGCAAAAATAATGTGAAGCAAATGAGGGGTTAAACAATAAGGTCAGCTGACAGAGTGACTTGGCCTGGTGGGGGGGGTATGAGGCTAGAGAACACACACTGATGAACAAAAAAGCCTATTGTAACGCCTACAGCGCAAAGCAGAAATGAAAATGACCTGCCCCCTCAAATGCGCACAGTGGCCTATATATCCTGCCAAATGTATTCAAATAGAAAAGAATGTAATAAATATTGGGCATAAATGTGTGGTGTAGTGTGGCATGGGGAAGCATTTTTTGTGCTATTCTATGGCTTTTCATTTGTGTATTTCTTCCCGTTCTCGGCCCGTCTCTGTATAATCGGACGCGCAGCTCAGTGATGAAGCACAGCTCTGACGTGGTCAAGAAAGGTCTTGTCAGCTTCTTCCAGCACGCAGCCGACGACTTCGCCGCCACTGTCCAGAACGTGAAGAACGGCCGCTTCAGTCACATCAAGACCACCCCGGTGGTCAAGGGCAGCAGGGTGGTCAACTACGTGCCAGGCGTTCTCATTCCGGTGCTGACCAGTCTCTTTAGCCACCTTGGTCGGCACCAGTTTGGCCAAGACATACTCTGTGAGTAGATGAGAGGCTGATTTACTGGTCTAAAGCCAAGTTCATGAAGCAGCTCAGCTCGGGAACCTGCTTAGCACCACAAAATCTATGCTGAACAGAAACAGGTTACCATCCAAAAGTTTATGCAGTGGATATTGCTTTTGACTGGTTCCCAATGATGTTTGCATAGCACTTAAATTTGCTGAGTAGTAGTAGCTTTTATCGAATACCAGTGTCACCACACATCAACAGGCTGCCATGTGATGGGACTGGCATGTACATGCATTACTCCTTGTGGGTGTTCCTCAACATGGCTGCTGTGATGCCGTATTCAGTACCGGACCATTTCTGCCAAGCACCTGTACAAAATTTGGCCCTGGTAACCACACATTGAAGACATGATGCCTCTCTCTTGTGGTAACAATGTTGGTACAAGGAAAACTGAATCCATGCATACATCCTTGGCATAATACGACCTGCACATACATGTAAGTGTATTACCACTTCTGTAAATGCGTAATGTGTGGTTACCACTTAGTTCGTAATGAAATGTACAAAGTTTCTGATAAAAATGGCTTCATTCAAATAAGAAGCATCACAGTTTGACAATGAACAAATCTTTTGTGTTTTGGTGAAACAGTGGACCAGGTCCAGGTGGCTTGTTACAAACTCCTCAGCAGTCTGTACTCACTGGGTGCAGATAAATCCATCTATGTCAACAGGTGAGTCAGTTGAGGGCACCAACTTAACCAAGATGTAGTTAGAATGAGGTTTAGTAAGTAGGGGACCAGCACCAAACTTCCCAAAACTATATGTAGTGGCATCCTGTCACTTTCGCCGCATTTTATTGCCTAAGTTGTACAATATGTAATGGCACATTCACAAAAGGTACAATACACGTGTTAGTTCACAAATTAAATAACGCAGAAGTTTGGCCAAACAAATTGAAAATGAACAATGTTGTAAACTAATCATGTTCGTTTTGGACTTGTAATCGCTCACTTATCAGAGTTTATATGTAAAATTCTCAACATTGTTCGGCTGTAATGAAGAACATTTTTGGATTCTGGGAAAACTTCCCGATTTTTTACCTTGTGCCAACAAAGAAAGAAAAAATGTTCGAAATGGTGAACATAGCTAACAGGTGACTGCTGAAGTATTGAAAAAGAACAGAGGTCGCTAAAGGTGTTATTGCCCTCATTAGAGATGCTCAATTAAACAGTTGCAAAACTAAGTAATTTTCATGAACGTACATGTACATTGTGAAGCTGCATAAGAATTACACATGCTGTGAGGTTACGCCAAGTTTTGTAAAATCAGCTGCTGGATTGGATGCATAGAAAGAGGAAGACAGTGAAGCCATGTCTGAGAAGTTACAGTTGGGGCTGGAAATAACCAGTCTGCTTATGGAAGGCGCTCACTGGTGGCTGCAGCCACTTACCAAATACATGTGTGCTACTCTTAGCCACAGCCAGTCGATTCAGACACGGCAAAACAACTCCCAGCTGATGTTGGATTTATTAAGATTTAGGGTATTGAAAGGTCACAAATGTTCAGCATTGTTCCAATTTGTAAAGAGCGTTTGTTATTCCGTATCTTGTTCATGAAACAAAAAGATCTACCTTTCAATTCTTGTTTATAACTGGTGCTCAAAAAAGTCAGAGAACTTAATAGGGTAATCCTGTCCTCTCATCAGTTGTTCTTGTTGATATATGTATGTTTTTTTGGTGTCGTGTGTTTTGTACAAAGTTTTTGAAGTTTTCAAATTTACATTCACTTCAGGGAAAATCGGCATATCTGGAAATTCCATTTCTTGAAGCAGTTTTTCACAGTGTCTCTATAAACTTATCTGTTTTTGTTCACTATTGAGCACATTTCAAATAAATTCATTACTAATGTGAATATCTCATTCATTTGTATTGTTTATTGCCCTCTTGCACTGAATTGGAACATGGCATGATACGATGTTTATCTCTCTTGCTTGACATCTCATGATAACTATGGTAACCACATCTCTGCTTTTCAGCATGATGGTGAAAGAGGACATCGACAGGTAATTGGAGGAGAGACACTTCAAACCAACCAACCCACACTCACTGCATGTCCATGTGAAGTGTGCTTGCTTTATAACACTTTCCATAACGTCACCTGCAATATTGAACACAGCACCATCTGTCCATTAGCTTGCTTCAGTTCTTTGGGGAGGGGCCAGCTTACTCATAAAAAATAAACATATGTAATGAACCTCAAATATGAAAAGATTTTAAATGATTATTTCTCCATTTCTATTTACAGTCAAACAGCTATTTCCCAGTTTTGTCAGAAATTTCTCAACTTCCCAAAATTGTCAGAAGAGAAGTTACTATATGTTCCCCTAACTTTTTTTTCAGAAATTTCTTTTTAAAAAGTTGAATTTTAGAGAGTTGGATTGTCCAAAGTCAATTAGTTGGAAATCACTCAGCCAGGCTCTGTGCTCTGTTACCCATTGCCAGTCACTGGCAACCTCATCTCTGAAAAGCCATCGCATATTACATATTTCAATACATCTATTTCGTAATATATCTCACAAATGAAGCTTTAGAGTAATAGTTGGTATGGAAAATCGTTTTCCAGTGCTCTGCAGGTTTGCATGCTAAACTGCCACATTTCAGTAGCCCTCATCTTCTAGAATAAATTGATGTGCATATTGTACTGTGCACATTTTTTCGATAACCTTTTTTTTGTCAAATGATGCTGGTCCTTGGCTACGGGATTTATCTGGAATTCAATTTTCCGGTCTACTTTTCATTTCTCTGGCTGTATTTTAGCCTTTTATACTTCTCCAGTTCCACGGTAGCACATCCTGGTGCTTGGGATAAACTCCCAAGGTCCCAATATTATGGAGCTGTCTGCCTGGAAATGTCAAATTTATTTACTCAGCAAAACCAAACTGGAAAACGAGCAAAGATGAGCCACACCACATTTTGGCTGGAACCCTTTTCCCACCAAAATATTAATGCCCCTGGCAAATTCATGAGCTTGGCAGCTCCAAAATTGTTACCGTTGCCTGCCCCCCACCACATTACAACTGATTAACCGCAAACATACAGGAAACAATTCCAAAGTCATCTTTTTTGACTCTTCATTCCATTAAATATAGGTGGCATTGCCCTTTTCAGCAACCTTATTTGGCAATTCTAATTCAACAGCCTGTCGAAGGCACTAGGAGTTTTCTTGCACTGAACCCCCTCCCAAGACTGTCATGAATGGGATGTGTTTACCTTTGAAATGGTTGTGAATGGGATATGTCTTTTTTGTGCCTCATGTTTAGCCATGCTCACTGGATTGACTGGCATGTAAAGATAAAAATATTCCCCTAAAACCCAAATGCCTTCACTTAAATATGCTCAAATGAGACATTTACAAATCCACTGAATGTTTAGGGCCCCAGTTTCAGAATTGGATTGGGAAAAATAATGGAATTTAATATTTATTATTTTAACAAACTAATTGGTACTTAATGCAAATCCTGTAAGTGCTAACATTTTATTCACAGCTTTGCGGTACAAAATTCAAGTGGGAGGCAAGGGGTTGCTTTGCTAACCATGTGCAAATCATTGCCTGTTTTAAAGGAGCACTCCGGTTGCAATATCATTTGTGGAATTTTCCACAGTTGCCAGCGCGGCAGTCTCAAGTAATGTCTGCCAAATTGTTTTAAAGAAGCATGTTAGAAGATTTGTCTTTTCCTAATCAACCCAACAAAAAGATGAAAGCAAGTGGATAAATTGAAGTCATTATACTGTTGATATCTCATGATTGTGTGTTTGTGCTTTACCCTCCAAATTCTTGGGCACTCTCAGTTGTAACTAAGCCCACTGGTTTGTGGCACCACAGTGATTCAGAGTCTACTCATTTAACCAGAGTGCTCCTTTAAAATTTGCCACAAAGCTTTATCCCCCCAAGAACTGATGGCTGCAAGGCGTGATAGTGTTTAAACCCTAAAAGAGCTGGGGAGGGGGTGGTTGGGTACCATCTTATGGGGAAGGGGTAATCTGTCATACAAGATCTTTTTGAACTTCATATAAAGACATTGATTACGAATATTGTCGAAATCACTTATGATTCACTGTTTTATGCATGTTGGCCCACTTGCAATAAGTGTATTAGTTTATAAAGTTATTAATTTTGGCTGCCCTGTCTTGGAAAACTGGACATTTTTCAAGAACGGCATGTCCGATTTTCATTGGTGTCAAAATGATTGGAAAACATCACTGGAAAACTCCTGAATGCTCAGCACAAAAACCAGCATTATGACGGTACATATATCAGATAAAATATAGAGGGGGCGTATTCCCTGTCTGGCTCTTTTAGGGTTTAGTGTGTATTTTATGCATTCATCTTCATAACTGTAGGTGTATAAAGATTTTTACTGCTAGCAGTGTGGAACTATGTACAGTTTTAAGATTGCGATTTTAAATGTGTTGGTTGCATCCTGAACATGCTGAATGGCCATTTGAAAGCTTAGCCATACAGCACAGATACATGTAAATTGAAAGTTTTGCCTGTCCAAAGGTTGGCTTCGAGTCTTTTTCCATGAGAAGTGTTTAACGGGGTTCCTGTGGTCCTGAAAATCCTTGAAAAAAAAAGAGTTGTCTTAGAGAGTCATGGAAAATTAAGAAACAGTAGTCACAGAAAAGTCATGGATATTAAGATCATGCAAGGGTTACATTGGTTAGGCCACTTGTTGATGTGATAACAGAATGAAAAGTTACAGGCTACATTGTTGTTGGTCTGTAGTTAGTGGATGTGGTAGTCTTCTTGTTTGTAATACCAAACATTTTTCTCTGCAAAATGGTGTTAAGTGACATAGAGATTGTTACATTCTAATCCTGGAAACTCGTGGAAAAGTCTTGGAATTTGGACTTTCAGATTTTTGTGGGAACCCTGGTTTAAGCGCTCTTTTGCATGGTAAAGGTTGCAGTGAGTTTTCTGAAATTTTAAAAGAAGCCTTGAACATCAAGCTTACAGTGTAACACTATGTGCTTGTTATGGCCATGAAAAGCTAAGTACATGTAGGAAGCAATGTAAGTGTGCTACATTGCTGTTGGCACTGCTGTGGCTGCATCGGCAATACACCTTGAGCATCAAATACCAAGCAAATTAAAAAAAAAAAACACACACTTGTTGTGCCAGTTTGCAAGAAATGTAAAAAGTCACCAACATTTGCAATATGCAATTTAGACAAATCCAGCGATGCTTCACTGGCCCCTTCAGATGGTGGAAAGCATTGTGTCCAGCTTTGTATAGAGTGACTGCTATTTAACTGTGGCTTTGCACAATAGTTATCACATTGCTTTCCGCCATTGGCAGGGGCCACAGAAAATAACCAGCGATGGCGTTACCGTGATTGCCAGATTTGTCTGTACTAGCAGCAAGCTTGAAGTGTGTAAGTAGATTGAATGCTGGCACTTCTATTGATGGTTTCCTTGGGAATCTGTTTTTCTGGTACCAGGCATCGGCCAGCAATCGGGGAGCTGCTGGCAGCATTTGCTGGGGCTTTCCCGGTGGCTTTCCTGGAGCCTCACCTCAACAAGCACAACGGGAGCTCGCTGTTGGGTCAGCTGGAACTCAAGGGAGCAAATTACGAAGGAGCAGGTATTCTGGCCTGTTTATGTCTTTGGAATTTAAAAAAAGTGAAAGTTAGCATTTCCAAGATAGCTGAAAGATTTGGTACATATTGAAAGAGTTTAAAGAAAAACTTCAGTAAACTGCTTAGTGAAGTACACATTTCCATCCAATAAACACGGTAGCTGCTCTGTACAAAATGCACTTCAGAAACTTACATCAGTAGCACATGTATTATACAAATGCTCACTTTTTCTCTTATGAATAGAGGAACTGTTGAGACTGACCTCAGGTATTCCTACGTTGGAGGCAGTCATGAAGGAGCTTGATCAGATGGCCACAACGGGTGCCACATACAACGATGCACCCCACGTCATTGAGGTCATTCTACCCATGCTGTGCAGGTATTGGAATAAACTCCCTTTGTGCAGGGAGATATTCATGCACCTTTCCAAGTAGTTTGCTGTAATTTACAGCATTTGGTCTGTGAACATGCTGATTTTAATTTTGCACACCGAGACCATTTTGGTTTGGAATCTGTAAGTGCAACAATAACCTTCAACTACCCAGTTGGGTATTTCATCGAGTCAATGCCATTCAAGAACAAGACTTGACCTGTGGCTGTACTGATGGGGCATATACCTTGCACTCGTGTATTGCTGAGTGACCTTGGATGTGCTCCATTTTGGGCATGCCCCATTGGAATACCACACTGGCGCATTCTAGTCTCCTCATAAAAGAACACTCCACAAAAGCCTAATTAAAGAAAGTGTTTACTTTAGTTTTATGGTTATTTTTGCCAGTCCATCTATTATGCTGAGAAAGTGGCGTGGTAGGAATTAAGCTTTAGAAACTTGGCATCGTGGTCTGACTTTCGATCACAGGTTGAAACCTGAAAATGGGGTAAGAGGTCTACAAGAAGAGTGTCCAGGTTTTGGAAAAAGGACTTTCCTTAGATACCTGTATCATCAGACTATGTCTTTAATGCGCACATTCGCACTCATTCAAAGTACATTTTGGTTCAAGTAACTGTGGTGCTGGAGATCACTAGTTTTTATACAATAAGTGGAATTTACAGTATGTGAAAATATAACCACTGCACTAAACAGCAGGGATAGTCATTGTTTGCCAGTCTGACATACATGTATGAAGTGTAGACCCATGAACAAATCATGTCCAAATAGTGCAGGTTATGCGAAACCTGTGCTGACTAAGCCAGGTCTGCATAAGGTTACCCATTTCTGAAAAACTTTTTTGGAGGCATTTTTGGTTTTGTGTAGTACAAGGAAAAGGAAGAATTGGGGAAACCATCAACAAAATCTAGATTAAAAGAGGGTTCACAGAATAAGAAAACGGTTTTGTCACCGGGTTTTCTTAATGACTCATCAAGGCAACATTCACATTAGTATTTGGCAGTATAAGAATTTCATTCAGAGTCACTTGATTCCACTGTCTTCATATCTTTAACAATTCTTTCTTTTTTTTCAAACTTTTTACAAGCTACCTTCATTTCTGGTGGATGGAGGGTCCGGATAACATCTGCAGGAGGCAAGGGTGAATATGTGTTTCCTCTCCTCCTGGAGTTTCAGACTTTGTCTGTCTTACCTGGCTAGGGCTGGTGAACTCACATGTGTGAGAATTGGCTGTAGCCACGAGCCAGTGGCTTTCATATGGACACATAGCACAGCCAAGTAATTTGAACTGTCTCGTATGTTCAAACTGCTACCAGGGTCTTATTTGATTAAAGCCATAGCCGCTAGCATAGTTTGGCTTCAGTCACTGGTTTGGAGGGTGCATGAGGAAAGTTAGTTTGAATGGAATCTTGTTAAAGCACATTTCTGTTCAGTTTCCCATCATGTTCAGTCATTATGTTGGCATTTTTAATGTGTTCCTTGATGGCAAAACCTACTTGGAAAGAAGACAAGTCAGGCTTTGCACTAAACTATTTTTTGTAGTCTTTGATGTTCAACTTCAAAATGATTGTGAAAAAACATGTTGACAATATTGGAGTTGGACATTTTTTTCCAGAGACTGTTTTCTTGAAATATGTTGTTTGAATGAAGACCAGTTAATGAATCCTTATCCTGTTTGATTTACTCCCTCTTTTTTCTTGTTTGCATGGATAAAACTTGTTACGTGTAGTTTGTCCTTTCTTGTTCAGTAGCAGTTGCCAAAGTTCTCTCCTACTGTTGAATTAATTTTGTTAAATTTATTTTCGTGATTGGTGATTTAAACACGTGCTTTGTTTCTTTTCATTATTTCCAAACAACAGCAATTACTGGACAATGGTGAACTCAAATCATCTCAACACCACACTGGGTAACGTGCTGACTTTGATCAAATTCAACCTGGGTTCTGAAGATGCCCCATGGATGACACGCATTGCTGGTAAGTTAGTCTGACAACTCGTGGCATTAGTTTGGTCGCAAAACCACTGTTCTTCCGGACATCACTTATGGCACTGTGACTTGACCTTAACCCTCCTGCATTCCTCAAAATCCGTCTGGAGATTTTGGAAGATTTTGAAGGATTGAGAAAGGAAGAATTAGCTCGCTATTACTTACTGTCCGTGCAAAGAATTTGCAATTGGTTGGTTTCCTGCACTGTGAAGGATTTTGGAGGATTAAC